ACTGTATGTAACCCCTTTTATCCATGTGAATATGGTAGACAGTACATTATTTGGAACAACTTAGGAATTCTTATTTCACCTCTATGATGCGTGTCTTCTCCTCCAGTTGTTCACGAAGGTCATGTTCAGTTGTCTTGTATACTTGCTCAGCTTCTTCAAACTCAGCTGCAAGAACCTTTTCCTTTTCTTGAACATGGTGCTGCAGATTAACAACAGCCTGCTTGTGCTCTTCTTCTATTTCTTGAATGTGTTGTAATAAAGCTGCCTTCTCTTGCTCTATCTGCAAATGTACAATAGAAAAAAAACTTTGATTGGAGAGCTAGTGCTGGTGTGTCAAGCATGCTTTACACTCCTGAGCAGCAAATGCCATGGTAGCACCAAAATGTAACAGCATACTGTGAGAGGTCATCAAGTTTATTAATCAATACCATAAAACAGTATGTACAACAGATAATTATACTTTGGCATAACAACCAATTCAAAGCCTTTGTCTTTATAGGCATATAAGTACACCAACATAGTTGAATAGTGTATGAATGTTTCATTACTGCAGCTGAAGTAATTGTAGTGTGAAGATGCATCTGTCAGACCTGCCATCGTACAATGAGGACAGACATTTTGTCTGTAAATTATCTATGTTTTTCTACCGTATATTTCTTTGTAGCTGTGAAAAGTGAGCTAGTTTAAACGAAAAATTTTACTCACATCATACACAAACTTTATGTGCACATTTAACAACCATCCAAGTGCTTTACACCCCAACTTACAAACATATGCACACTCTGTATAAGTACTTGTCTGAAGCAAGGCCTTTTCACATGCCACTAATACTTTCATGGAGATTCAATTAACTTGTATATCATTATCTGTGTCAAGTATGTTACATTTTACCTTTTCTGCTGAAGCAATCAGTTCACTCTTCTCCTCCAATTCCTTCTTGAGCACACGTACTTCATTCTTAGCTTTCTCAGTCTCATCCACAGATTGCTCAAGCTTACCGCTCATTGCTTCAAGCTGCTCTCGTAATGTGGAAACAAGCTCATCAGCACCACTGTCCAGGTTCTTCATGGCTTTCAACTGATCAATAACCTGATCTCGGCTATCTATCAGCCGTTTCTGTGCATCAAGTCGGTCCATGAGACCTTCAATTGTCTTGTTCCGATCCTCTAACAGTTGTTTACATTCCTCAAGTTTTAGTTGGAAACCTTCAGCTGCTCTGATCTTGACAGCCAACTCACTCATTACTTTCTCTTCATTGTCTCGTCCCTGCTGTTCCAGTTGTCTGACCATGTTCTCACTTTCCTCCAATTGATTCTGTAAGGACAGTATGGTGTTGTCTTTTTTGGACAGCAAATCTTTGATTTGTTGGATGCTACCCATTTTGGTTGGATTCTCCTACAAAAAGGAAGGTTGATAATCAATATTCTTGCAATAATACTCAATATACAGGTATTTTGTAGCACCCATGTGATACTCCACACTCACACACATTGGGTAACAAGTACTACTTTCAATAAATTAAATGATTTCCCATCCTTGATTCTCTAGAAATCTGAGAACAGACACTTGTTTCACATTTCTGAAGAATTTTCACAAAATTTTCTATTCCTGTTTTGGGTTTTTCAAGAGGAAAGTATTGAAGATTGACTCTGAATTGGTACTTCCACCTTGCCATAGACTGGTACTATACACTTTACATAATATTATTAAAAAGAAAGTATAAGAAAAGAAGAAATATGCAAAGAGAAAGAAAAGCATAAAGCTTTTGGATAAAAAAAATATGTAGAACAAAGTTTCTCATAATGACTCTACACATGATTTACAACAGACAATACACATTGCACTGTATTCATGCCTGTCCCTGAAAGTTTAGTTTCATCTTCAGAAGAGATCTCTGAGTAACAGTCAAACATATTTCAAGACAAAAGGGATAAGTTTTTAAAGAGACTGTGGTGCTGCATAGGTGCTCAATATTTAAAAACAATTTGGTTTTGTCTGGTGTAACTTAACAAAAATTTCCCCCTTCACTTGCAACATCAAGTGTGCTCAGCAGTACCAGGTGTTGTGGCTGACAGCCCTAACTGGCAGCCCTGCTGGCACTTTTAACTGGCTAATTTACATCATTAGCTCATTTAATAAAATATATTTCAAGGTTGGGCATTTTAGGTGAAACCACACTTAACTAGTAGAAAGAAAGTAAAACTAAAGGAAATAAAAGCAAGCTTACTGGATCTTGTATCTCCGTGAAAAGTTCACCAACATCTAAGGATGGTCCTGCTCTTACATTTTCTCTCAATTGGACAAGTTCCTCCTGAATGAAATAATTGATGGTAAGTAAAGGAAAACATTTTCATTTAACATATTTATTAGTGCATAAAATCCACTTATGCTTAGCAAGCAGTGATAAAGAGTACTATAATTAGAAAACCCAAGATTTGTTGCAAGACTGTCACTTGTTTAATTTGTTCATGACATGGCATTAGCCCAAATTCAATATCTGACCAAAGACACAGGATAAGCCTAAAATACTATTTTTTTTCTCACATTTACATGTATAGAATCCAAATCAAAACATTGTCAAAATTTCAGCTAAGGATGCCTTCGCTACATGAAGTGGCATTTAAAAGATGTTGCATGCAGGCATTTACTCTCTTTTCAAGTTTCCAAGGTGACTCACTGTTCTGTATCCACTTTAGTAATGTCTATGCATGGTTTTCTCCTTTTCAGACCATAATGCTTAAAATTTACTGTATGCAGTACCTCTTACTACTGCCAGAAATTGTTTTTCCTGACATGCTTAAAATAAGTGTGAACACTGAATGCATGGTTTATTCTATTACATCCTGTGTCTGATGCCCTTCATCTCTATTTGAGAGGTGGAGAGGACACAGAGGCAGACTCACACTGCAATGACTCTTTATTTCAGGGAGGGGGTAAGATGTAAATCAAAGAAAGATAAACTTGAATTAACTTATAAAGATCTCCTGAGTGTTAACACTTTTCAAGGATTTGACTGAATAAAAAACCTCTGATGACAGTCTACTGTTATGATAAAAAACAGGTTGCTCAAAATTTAAAACAGTTACTAAATTTATTTTGCCAAACACCACGACAATCAAAAATGTTTATTAAGCAGGATTTAATGGTATGCTGCTGCACTACATATATAAGGATCATTTTGGTAAATTCACGACGTAAATCAATTAGAACAAAGATTTTGTCCATTCCAACAAAGCTCTATCGGATCGACTAATCTCACTATTTGCAAACCAGGCCCGTTTGGTCGAAGGCAGGATAACACTATCCAGTGGATAAATCTCTATCTGGTGTGTAACTCTACACGTTTTGCTATCACTTATCCGCAAGATAGCGATTTATCCAATGGATAGCGTTATCCGCCATTTTACAACTGAGCCTAGGAAACCAATAACTTGTGTAACTTCGCAAGTAATCATAACGATTTAGAAAATATATAGTTGAATATTGCAGGGACTGATGAAGCCCTTGGAACGATCTTAAGCCAGTTTAAACAAAATATCCAAATCTATACGAGATATATCCCAGGTTTGTCATAATTTTGCGCGAATTTGCAGGTAAACACTAAATGTAGCAGCACCTCCTTTAGTCGTAACAACTTCTGGAATTCACGATTTATCTCTTCGTTCCTCTTCTCCGATTCACCCAATGCTCTCCTAAGCTCTGAGATAACGTCTTCATCCTTTAATACGAATAAATACAAGTTAATAAGCCCCATGTCAAGATAAATCAACCATTATCATCGACCCGAGTCGAATGAATGAATAACCTTTCTATGTTGAGCCGGCGAAGTTTCTGCTGATGCCTCCAGGTCCTCGGCTGGATCTTCGCCCAGAGACTCCTCCAGCTTCTCCTGCATGGCTTGTGCCATGGAGGAGATTCTCCCCCACATCTTGGATGTCCTAACCTGTTCCTAGGACGAACAGTTAATAGATTGTAGGGGATGGAAATTGTAGTTAACAGTTCTCATCAGCTGTACCTTGTTAATAACTCTTTCGACTCTTACATATACACGTCAGCCAAAGGCTTGGTCGCTAAGTTTTAACCCAGACTTCCTTAGGTCGCAGACTGCACGGCCCAAGAAGATTTCATTGCTCTCTCACTAAGTCGTTCCTCGCGACCTTAAGCCTGTCTTGAAAAAAGAAAAGCAATGAAAACATTTTCTCCGCAATGAGCTTCTAGTGTGAGTACGTGTAACTCTCACATGAATGTCTCTGGACAGTTTCGTTTCATGCAAAGTAGGTGATACCTTTCCCAATTTCCCTGAGAGATCGCTACTATCTCCCAGTGGCAGAATCAAGCTTATTTGTTTTCGCTTGTAGATTACCCAATCTCACTTCGAACCATCCTGGCCGCATAACATGCAAGGCAAATCCAATAGGGTTGCGAAGAGAAAAAGGAAATGACATTGGGTGCACATTCTCGCCTGGAATGAATGCTTCTCCTCTGCTAATAGATATTCTTCAATGCGAAAGTTTCAAAATTAACCACAATCTCAAGAGCAAGGGATAATCAACGAATATGCTTCGTAACGAGTTTTTGTTGTACTGCAGTATATAGAGAAGTGTCAAGGGAGAGGCCCAAAATATTCTTTTGGGACGCTGTTCAGTTTTATGAAGGCGAACTGGTGAAGGCGGAAATGTTCATGAGGCTTTTTAAAGCCTTATGAACATTCCCATTTCCGCCTAAAAATCCTGAAGTCTCCTGCTTTACAGAAAATGTGTCTCCTTAATAAATATTTAGATATTAAATTTCAGTAAAAAATAGGACTCTTTGCTCTTGATTTCTGTGTGTGATGGTTGATTCGGGCGTCTCGCTCTTCAACTATCACTTATGGAATCTTGTAAGATGAGCCCATTTTGAAGGATGATGAACATTTAAAAATTATGAACAAAGAGAAAGGGGAAAAGGTTTCGTTAAGTTAACACGAGAATACTTCACCACATTTATTTGAATAAACCAAGTCTTTAATATTTTTATTAAAAAACATCACTCGTTTGGGTCACATAGCATTTACTTTAATAAAAACCGCCGCACCAAATGTGAGAATTGAGTCAAATTTGATCGCAATGGTTGAATGGAAAAAAGAACGTTTGTGTCTAAAAAATGACAATTGTCTAATCGCCTAAAAAATCCTAACAGATTTGCATGTGATTTAAGTTAAGTCACATTGATGACACATTCTCCTCGTACTCCAGCCAGCTGGTCCGACTGGAAACTGACAACAACAGTTCGCTTGCGGCTTCGGGTGACGGTAAATGTGGCGATTGCTTTAGCTTCCTTCTTAGGTGCCACAGAATCTCTAACAAAGGAAAATAGCGCGAATGAATAAACAAGCAAATAGCAAACAGGGGTAAAAGAAAGAAACGTTATGATGTAGCCAAATGTAAAGAAAAAGGAAATAGTTATAAGTGCGGCATACATGGTAGGGGTTTTACAAAATCAGTAATTATAAAAATACGTTTTCGGAATAGATATCGAAAAGGAATCATCACCAACAATCTTGGCTTTCAGTTCATAAGTAGTCAGCTTTGCAATTATGACATCATGAACACGGTTTTCTCGTAAAATGGCTTTGAATAAAAAGGTTTGATTTTTCAAATCTGTAAATCACCTTCTTCCCGAACAATTTTCCTTTTACTCGCCTCGAACTCTAAAGTACTGACGTTTGTATCCCACTGGCAATACACTTTGATGTCTCCTTCAAGTTCTTGTCAATACAAAAACCCTTCAAATTATGCGCCGATCAATTCGGAACTTCAACATCCCCATTTTCCTCTAGCAACCCACAGGCATATGAGCGGCGTCGTTCATGCCCGGGGGAGGGGGGGGGGGAAGTGGGAAATTTGAACCTTGTCTAGGTGGGGTGCATTTGTATTGGATGTGTCAAGTCTGTCCATCGTAATGCACGCGTTTTAATTGCGAATTTAAAGGGTGAAGAGCCTATTTTCGGGAGTGAATGGCTTAGAAAGACAATTTTGTGCGTCGTAGAATGATGCTTACAAGCAAAAAACTCAACAACAGCACCAAAAGCTGAAATGTGACTTTCCTGATCACACAAGGAATCGTTCAATTTTGGATGGGGCATTTGAACATAATTTTGATCCGGCCCCGGGCGAGAGGGGCGAGAGGCAGGAATTTGAACGAGCCAATCTTGAAAGGTTCAAATGCCCGAGGGGTTACCCGAAGGGATGTTGAAGCTTCGAATTGATCGATGCATTATCATTACCTGACTCACTTAATACTCACATGTTAATGACCCTCGACCTTGGTGACAATCCAGCTCCTTCCAACTGAAAGTGTCCATTCTTCAAAGTGACTGGCAAAAGATTTTTGAAGGAAGCTGTCACTTCCACCTCATCCCACCTCTTCACAGAATTAGGAGATGCCTACAGACGGAGTAACACATATAAACAATGAGTATCTGAGCTTAAAAACGTTGAGGACAGCGGTGTATGAAATCGGCGATTGGATTAAGATTTTTGTTAGCTCGATTGTGGAGAGGCACACTTTTCAGACTGAGGACATGAGCTATTCAAGATTAAATATGTCAGTGGTACAAGATTTAAAGGATGACTTTGGCACAATCCGTGCACTTTGAAAATTTCATCTAAATTTTCTTACTTGAAACATACAATCCGTTTCCACGGTATAGCCTCCCTTTGCCCATGTTAGATAGTCTCAATGGAGTGATGGCATTTACGACTAATGGTTACAATTTGTCAATTTTTACGACTAACGGCTAAATTTTCTCGCTGTATTACGGCTCAGACGGTTAATCCTATTTAGACCTTCATTTTAGCTCATCATTCAATATCTTTTTTCATATATTTCACCTAAATAAAAACACTAGGTCATGTTCTTCAAATTCAAGTTACTTTTATACGGTGCAAAAAAGTCACCCCTCGTGTTGTGATGTAAGATGGGGTGAACTTTTTTGTATGTTAACTTATTTCTTTTACGATCTTTTTACCTGCTGTAAATTGATGACAAAAACAAAATGTATCCAAAACATTTTGTGATATTTTAATCAATATATCAGACATCGATGCTTCATAATAACAAACCCTAGAAGAGCATCCCAATTTGTTTCACTTCACTCACGTTTGTGAACAATTTTCATCAGTTGTTATTCATTTCAAAAGGAAACGTTCTAAGGAGTACTGTAATGGGTTCCAGGCCTTTATTGGATAATTTATCTAGGTACAAGACTGGACCTGAATCAAGTTTGAACGATCAGTCTCATACCGTGATTGTTAGTTTGGGTTTCCTAAGCTCCACCACATCCTGTTTGCCAAAGGACTGGCCTGTTTCTTGCACTTTACCCTTGATATACAGTTTGACGTTGCCATCTGCCACAATCTTACCCATGTAATCTCCACTTGCAATCTTCAGGATCACTACTTTCTCTAAAACAGAGAGACAAAGTTCATGTTTTATATGGCGTAAACAAGTAACTTAGACCTCGCTTAAAATTGCAATGTAGCCATCAACTGTACCTTTTTTTGGGCCAATTTCAATTGTTTCCACTTTTTTTTTCAATGGTTTTGCTGGGATTCCGGTGTAGAACGCCATGACGGAAGTGATGTTCACTTTAACATTTCGCTGCTCGTAGGATTTGTTAAGCGCGACAACTTTGACGTCGAAGCTGTCACCGATAGCAATGTTATCCAGAACTTCAAGGCTGAATTCCACATCCTCTTTGTCAGCATTGTAAATTTCGTACTCTCTTCTAGTACTAAATTTATAGGCAAACTCGACAGCTTTTCTTTCTTGTTGAGAGCCTACCAAAATCAAGGAAGATCATGGTGACAACGTGAATAAACTTCAATTTGAAATGCGCGACCAGACTTCCAACCCATTTTAAACTGAGTTGTATTTTGCATGGTACATAAAGAAACAGTACACAAATATTACCGAGCTCGTTAGATGGTCGTTTTCTTTTCTATTCAAAATGGGTGCTATTTTCCCATTTTCTCTAAAATGAATTTTTTCATTGACACATACGGTTTCCAGTTCTCCTTGTCGTCATAATTTTACGACAAACTTAAAGCTACAATGCTGCAATATACTCCTTAGGTGCTATTTCTGAGATTTCTGTTTGTCTTTTTCTTTGTTTGTTTGTTTTCTCTCACAAATGTAAAAAAGGTGTAAAGGATGTACAGACTCATTTAAACGCAATTGACTTCCCTCTTTATAAAGGAAACTTATAAGCTGGTTTGTCTCTTGTGCCAGTGATTCGCCAACGAGAAACACCCCATTGGAAACTCCTCCCTATACATCCCCGTGAATGTGTCGTAAAATCCAAACATAGTCATATGACTACAACACTAACCCTCAGGGTGTTTGTAGCCTGAAGTGACGTCCAGCCTGTGGCGGCCTTCACCAGGTTCTTTGGTGCTGATAAACTTGCCAATGCTGTGAGTATCCACATAAGTAGCCTTCATCGAGCCGTCGTCATCATCTACATCCCAGTACACGCGATCGCCATTCACCTCGGCAAAAACAAAGCCTGTGTCATAAGGGAGATACACCTCGCCGTTCTTAACTGCGTTTACGGAGGCTGGACCGCAACGGAAAACACCTGTCACAGAGTGAGAAGGGAGAAATTAACTCCCATCGATCAATCTGGGAGTTGCGGTAATATAAATTAACCCAGAATGCCCAGAAAAAGTCTCGTTTAACGTGGGATTTTTCAGACTTTGCATCAACCTACTAGGGAGAAATCCCGTGAAAGCGGTTTAAGAAGAATAACAGGAAAAGGGTAAGAACATTTTTTTCGCCTTGTAGCCAAAGGGATTTACGTAGGCTTACCGTTTTTCTTTAACGTTGTGCTAAATTTTTTGTAATATGGGCATAAGCAAAACATACAAGACCTCAAAGTAACTGCGCCCCTATAGCATGAGTTTTATGCGCGTGTTTGAAAAAGGGTTAAGTTTGGTGTCAGGAAGGCCTTCTCCTGAAGAGTATATTCACTATATCAGCTACACTTTCCCAGATAGGCGATTTTGTAGTACATTTATTCTTATATGAGAATTTCCTGCCAAAACTGCAAGTCCCCACGATGTGATCCTCTTGCAGGAAACAAGTTTGAATCAAACTCCAAAATTCGAATTCCCTCTTAAATGGGTCAGTGACAATTTACTGAAGGCAGCATCCATTCGAAGGCTTCATACTGAATAACTGAATACCTTACTGCAGATTATCAGAGAACACGGAAGAAATTCTTAATAGCTAATCGTTTTTCAGGACGGTTCTCAAAGAACCTATACCTAAATTCGCTGGCAAGTCCAGTGTAAATATTGACTCTAGCAATGAACACCTCTTCAAAGAAGCAATAAGGTATAAGTTAAGTTACAGAAGGGTTCCCATACCGATCGAGGCCTGGAATGATAACAAAAACCCTTAAATACCTTCACTTGTCTCTTGGGGTGTGGCATCGTGCGCCTGCCATCCATCATGACCATCTGGTAAATCAGGTCGCTTGAACCATGATTCGTTCCACACATGGAAATTCCTAAAATAAGAAATTTTATACGATTTTTTCTCCTATTATAATTCATTACTTGTTTCAAGCTACAGCCAGACAGATTGACCACTCTTTCACGGATATTTAGCGAGAAAAATTCGTAGAACAACTGATTTGTAAGCAGGCGACCGTGGGTCGAAGGCATTGTGGTGCCCAAGAACGGACACAATAACGAACCAAGCCAGAGCTCGAACCCAGATCTCTCGATTTAAGCTTGCACTCATTAGTAATCAAAAGTACCGTGGAAGGCAAATATTTATCGTGAAAAAAACTAAATCCGCTTCCTGCCATGCACCTTTGTATAGAATTCAATACCAACTCATTACTGGGAAGCTTACATTGCGAGATAAGACCGTCTACTTTAGAGTCAAGATGTAAAAATTGCCCAATTTTTCCACCTACCAGATGGAATCATTGAGCTCATCCAACGGATTGCCTTCCTCATCATGATGAAAGTCGATAGTCATGCTACTGTCAGTGTCATGCGCGGATTCAAAGTTTGTGACACTACGGGTGGGTAATCCCAACGCTCGAAGCACTAAAAATACAAGAATAAAAGAAACTTGTGTTAAAGAGAGAAGCATCTACAAAATAAATAACACACTTAAGTAAAATTCCTCTCCAACTCGAATACAACCGTTTAGGCCTGTGTGGCTCTTCAAAGTGTGTCTCGTAAAATTCAGCTAGAATTTTTAACTTCGTCATTTCAATCTACGCCAGTCTTCTCCATTCTCTACAATCTTTGGTCCCGGTCGTTTTTGATGTTGATGTTGTTATTGTTTTTCCTCTTTGTCCTTCCTCTTCTCTCTTTGGCAAACTAAATTAAACTGCAGATACCCATTTCTGCTTAAACGAGTTCCATTAATGAAAAGATTTTAAAAAGTTTTCTTAAAAAAGAAAAACAGGGTATGCACATTAGAAGTAATTTTCTTTGAAAAAAAAAAATGAACAAATTTCAACATTGAAAATTCCAGGGTCAGATATTTGATTCACTAACAACACACAGACCTTCAGCGCGCCGAGATACAATATAACGCCCCATGACACCTCGACTCCCAGAAGTGATTAGCATGTAAATTCTCCCTAAAACATTCATGTATTACTCGTAAACAGGTAATGAGAATACTCAAAGTTAATTAACAGCTGGAAATTTTACCTGCTCAACTCTACTAATTAACAAGTGTTTAGTGACCAGTCCCTGCGCAACTGGTTTAATAAGTCTAATAAGTGTATATCCTTTCGTTCTATCGTCAAATTGGCCAACCTACATGTAGTGACCAGTCCCGAGAACACCCAGCATTGGCCATATCGCACATAAAACTTCTTTTTCATGAATTTTTCCAGAATGGCTGTACTTCCGGTCCAAGCGGTTGGTGGAGTGCAGTTCTTGGGGTAAGTCTCAGTCCATCGTCCGAATAAAATTCCACCGTCACTGTCATTGTAGTTTGCCTTCAAAATAAACCAAGACACCATCAGATTTCGACCTGATATTTATGCTTTTGACTTGGTTTTTAAAGCAATAGGTGCGATAATTTAGGATTATTTTTTACTTTCCAAAACGGCAGCAAAATATTTATTCAGTATATAGACTTTTTTTACGTTGCCATCAAAGGTTAAGTCAGATTGGTTAAAAAAAATGCGAGTAAACATTAAATAATGACTTCACTTGCATTTAAAACACTCCAGACATAAGGATACATTAAGAACAAAAAGGATGATCGAGCATAGAGAAGATATTCACGGGTTGCAAATGACCGTAAGCTGCAAAATTTTGACTGGAATAAAAAGATTAATGGACAAACTAACAAAGTTACTTGACCTTTTAACTCCTGACATCTCGATATTCTCCTTATTGTCTGCCGTACATTTATTATGATGTTAGTTTGAAGAATTAAGTATTGGATCAACTACTAATCTCCTTATTTATATTTTTCTTTATTGTCATCGCTTGTTTGCTTAACATTAAATCAATAGTGTGGGGATGAATCTTGTCTTGGTCCCTCATAGGAGTGAATAGGCTATAACATGCCTTCAACTCAATGATTTGAGCATTGTATGATGTATTTTAAATATTACTATGGAAATTATTGACCACACCTTCTGGAAAACCGACCAGGTAGCTTTGAAACCATTTAAGTATTTACAAAGTAACCGCCGTACTAGCTAGCCTCTTACGCAGACGTTTTTAGGCTCGTCACGTCACGCAATCATTCCTCCCCACCATGGTATGATTGCGTGACGTGACGAGCCTAGTATTTGCGTAGGAGGCTACCGCTGTACTAACCATTGCGGAAATGATTCGTGAAATCTGGATTGGACTGGATCTTGCAGTTGCGGAAAGTCCCGCTTTGTTCAGCAACCATAATGCACATTCTAGTGAGATGTCTTCAAACTGGAAAAAGAAATATCGAGGCTTAGTCCTTTCTCAAAAACAAACTATTTACTTGTCATAAGGACAGCAGAGTACATGTAAATGAAAACACGAGTTAATAGCAATTAGGCAAAAAAAATCAATAACAAAAACAAAAATCACTTAAGAATAGTTGTAAACTAATCGAGCGGAGGGCTAACATAAATGTCTTTATTTATATTGGACTGTCATATTGTTAAGAATAAACAAATAAATAAAGAGATAAATAGATAAGCTGGTTAATCATTAAAGATGTATCTATTTATGTAAAGACACACTTCTTTTGGGAAAAGAGGGGAAAAAAGAGGAAATAAAAAATTAAAGAGAGGAAAAAGAGAATTGAAGTAAATTGAATTTTTTTCACCTGACCGAACGTCCAAGGAAGTCCCTCGTTCCATTTTGCAGAACCCACCCAGATGTATCCAAAGTCATTTAACACATATTCCTCACGATCAGCTTCACTCTCCATGTACACGGAGTCCTCTGTCAAAAAAATGATGACAAGAAGATGGGATGGGAAACCACTACCAGCAAATTCATAATTACAATTACTTCTTGCACCGAAATAGCGGAGCAGAAATTAACCGTTATTTCTACAAAAGTGGGAGCAGCGAGCCAATTTTACTTACAGAGAAGATGAACAAACGCGTGGACATTAGAGATAAAAATAAACTTAGAAGTTAGGCAAAAAGAAAAAGAAAGAGGGAGCAAAAAGAAAGAGACAAAGAAAGAAGCTAAGATAAAAATAAAAAAAGGAACAAAAAGATAAAAAAATAAACAAAGATTTCGGTACTTTTGTATTTCACTTTACATTCAGTATGCGTGTTATATTTACCTTTGCACCAGGCATTAAACAAGACGCAGACTTTGTCGTCATCTTTGTATCTAAACACTGATTTCTTGTCATCGGCCATTTTTGTCTCCACGAATACTTCATACTGACCAATAAGAGCCTTAGCAGAAGGCATTACAGTCAGATGAAGAGTTTTTCCACTGATCTGCTTTATTTTCATTCCCCACGTGACAGGATTGAGGATCTCATGTATAGCGACTCGGACAATGGAGCCCTTGCTTTCTTGAGGACGACTACCTAGAGATGCCATTAATACAAGAAATCAGACCGAAAATGCGTAACGGTAAGGCTAACGGTTGGCCCCATTGAGACTTTACGTTCAATTTAGAGTGGTTTTTCCACGGTTTGTCTACCTCGTTCACTTTACAGTAAGAGTAATATCCGCAATCCTTGGAAACTGATTTAAAAATGAAAATAAAAACACTATAATGTGCATGAAGTTCCTTTAACTACCAACCTATCACAAACTGCAGTACAACAATATCAGTGTCAGGTATGTATTCTCTGTTAAAGGTAACAGTGACGTCAAATATCTGTCCCCTTCTGATGATCAACTGTTCTGCCTCGTAGTCATCCGTTTTGTGGGCAAGTCTGTTGTCCTTTACGTGGAAATCCACTTCCTCTAGCTTCAACTGGGATGCTAAGAGACAATATTTTGTAAGCATTAATTTCTATACTGTTAAGAGGTATAGCCGCTATCTTGTCGGTGGTGAAAGGGTGTCTGTTTCAAGACGACTTAACCCTAAGCATGCATAATAGGGCGAAGAATGGCGAACTATGCCACGCGAAAAAAATGAAAAACAAGAGCAGAATTTTTTGTAGGTTATGAGGAATAACAGTCATCTGTTAACATGTATAAGTTGTTACCTATCCTGGATGACCTAGGTGCAGCTAGACCTCGTTGAGCAGCCTCGCTCCCAGATCTCTGCGCGGTGCGTTAACATCGATTTTTTTTCTCGCGTGACGGAATTCTCTAAAATGGAGGGACTGCTCGTAGCCTTGGGTTCAAAAACTCGCATAGGAAATGTTTAAACTGCTGGTTTTTTATTTGTACCTTCAAGTTTTTTTATTACGTTACCTTGCAGCTGTTGATTTCCTTCTGCACTGTTAAACGAAAACCGATATCAACTGCTGATAATACTATTACGACTTAAGCAGCCTCCGTTACCAATTAGATCCGAAAAACAAGAAGAAGCTCTGTCAATCAATTGTTAACCCGACTACATAAAGCACGTCAGTCAGTTATTAGTCCTCATACTGTCAAGTTTTCGGTTTGTATGTAAAAAATTTCAAAAATGTTCGGCATACATCAGCAGAATTCTAATTCTAAAGATTTCCGTGCAAGCCATTTTTTGCCTACCTGGTGGCTTCTTCTTGTCGACCCTTAAAGCTTTGTTCAAAGCCTTAAACTTTTCGTCACTTGTCAGCTTTGTCCTTCCCTCCAAACCCTCACCCATTTTGGCCTTAGCGTGGCTTCTCGAGTCCCTACAAATTAGAATGCGCTCTATAGTAAATGTGTGGAGTAAATCCAGGGATAATTCATTTTGATTTAAGTTAGTGCAGGGAATACTTCTAATATCAAGGGGGGGGGGGGTTAGTTTGTAAAGAAACTGTTTGTGGTGCTGCGTTCGTAGCCGGATAGGGTGTGGAGTGGGGTATTTAAAAGATAATTTGGCTTTATCATCGTAGTTGACACTGAATTGGCCACCATGAGGAGATTCTAAAGAGACTATACGGAACACTCGAAACACCAGCTTTAGAATATCTTTATGGTGGCCTATTCACATCATCAACCCAGTTGATAAACCAAATTACCTTGTATTTTGATCAGTCTTTTGCTCCTTCTTAAAGAGCGTACTTGTTCATCCGCAATTGCTTCTGTCCACAATGAAAGTATAGTATTAGTACTGATGACGCGTATTTAAATTCGTGGAAAAAATAATTCAAAATAATATTGATCAGCATCAAAGCAAGGCAAAGGGATATAAATGTTACTATTCTGTGAAGCAGTACTACTGTGTAGTTTTTTGTTGTCTATATTTTATTTCGCTGTATTGCGAGCCATTTTTGTTTATGCCTTGCTTGCGTTTATCAATTAAAGAGCAAACATACAATTGATCGAACAAAATTAATCTGACAAAAGTCAAGGACATTAAAACTAGAGGATGTAACTTACGGCAAGTCTTGTACAAGTTCTTGGTCATTTTTTCGTCGCTTGGGTCTGTGAAAGGAGGGAAATGAGATCGCTCAGTACAAAACGCAGACTGCAGATTAGAGACTGCGAACCGACAACAAAATGCAGTCTAGGTACAAAATGCGGACTGAGAACTTTAACTGTACGTGGTAACATGTTATCTGAATAAAGGGGTAAGTTTCTAAAGAAACTGTGGTGCTGCGTCGGTGGGAGAACTTTTAAACTGTAAAACGTGGTAACATGTTAGCGTTAGCTCCAAGAACAACTTACTAAGTAATTTACGTTTTCAACCCAGTTGTTAACACTAAATTACCTAACATGTTACCTGACAACTTACTAAGTGTCACGCAATCGCTTTTCCGCGATCATCTTTCACGATCATTTGCACTTTTGTGGAATTTTGTAACAGACTGAGTTTTACATATTAATATTTGCCTAGACCAAACAGATGAGAGATTAAACCACAACTGTGCCATTTTTGCCAGTCAATCAGTGCGTGTACACCCCTGAACGTTGGAAATATACCAAATCGAAGGAACAGTTTTGATCTCGGTCCGCATTTTTGTCGAAAAAAATGAACACATATCGGTTAAAAACATGTCGTGTACGAACCACGCGCACGAAGTGAGAAGACTATACGAAGACTTGAAATTCTATCAAGAACGATTGTGGCCGCTTTATTAAAAACCGAACACAATAGCCACTTTGTCAAAAACAAAATGTACGAGGAAACGGGCAAGGAATAATCCACAATGGTGCAAATGATCGTGAAAGATGTTCGCGGAAATGCGATTGCGTGACACTTGATAAGTTGTAAGATGACATGTTACACGTATCAGACGGAAAAACAGTTAAATCCTCAGTCTGCATTTTGGATTGACCGAAATTCGGATAGCTCGAGTTTACACACATTAATATTACTGCTGTTTTAATTTGGTGTTTTAAAGGTAATGCCGCTGAGAAACACGAAAATAGTCTAAATAACTAAAAATCTAGCTTTCAAAGCTGGTAGTTTTGGAGGCGCTTTCACTCAAATTTCTGCTAACCGTTTTCGCAGCTTCGTGCGTCCACAAAACCGTTAGCTGTGCTAGTGAATTGATTGCAGAGGAGAAAAAGTCCTAAAGGACGCATTTAGAATTTAGATCTTTAACGCTTTGTAAATGATATTTGTTAACATATTTATAGTATGTTGATTACGTGTTGTGAGTACCCAAGTTCCACAGAATCAACATGTGCCAACCTATAGACAGCCTACACTATTGATGCAGTGGCGGCATATACAGACAGACCAAATCGACTCGATTCGAGAATTTTCTTATTCCGTGAACACCACGGGAATGCTGACGCTCGTCACGCTAGCTAATTCCAGAATGATGCTCTAATAACCGTTTATTAGTTAATCCAAGGACAGAAGATTAAAAATTTTTGACTCCTTAAAACATGGTAAATTAAAAAACTTCCCTTTAACTTTACCAAAAGGTTTCCCGCAAAATCCATTGACTTGCATGACTCAGTGTTAGTTCTGAAGCAATGCTGACAAACACTGTCCCGCGTGGGCGAGACAAAAATGCAAAAAAACAACCGTATTCAAATCGCTTTTGTTCCACGGGTCAATATTTGGTTAAAATCTTTGTTTACTGCAGTAATCGAGTTCTTTCTTTAATTTCTTCTCTTATGCGCGCGCATTTTTCTTATCCAAAGCTCTCTATTGATTGATGCTGTAAATATGCAAAGAAGGATAATTGCAAGCGACCGAAGCGCCTCTATTTCTCTATTATTTGTCTACAGGTTCAATAGACAAGGCTTATCGTCTGTCTGGTCGAAGGAAGGAAGCCATGCTGTTGCAGCGTAGTCACCTTAAAATAGCGCGCCGAAAAATCGCACGCAAGATTTCCAACTGTCAATAGACGGAAACCTGTGAAAGAATGTGCTAACTCGCCTGCGATTCAACATAGCAAACAAGACATGATGACTCACCAGCGATTCAACAAGAGCAATCAAGCGGGTATGCGGAAAAGAAAGGAAATTTCGATAGCGTGAAAAAATCTCTCCACACGTCTGCGTACGATAAACACCAAGCAATGTTTACCGCACATGAGAGAAGTCAGAAGAAAAAATATGAACTTTTGTGATTACATCAGAAGGAAAATAACATAAAAAAAGTCCATCTTGAGGAGTCTCTTTTCTTTTGCATCATAATGTAATTGCTCTGTTTACTTACTCCGGAGTTGTTGCTGGAGATCGCGCGCGACGCGACGTCGATCCCGATGTTGAAGTTGTTCCGTGTGCTGCAGTTGTTCTGCGAGTTCTCCGCATTTTACCGATGGCTAGTAGAACTGGTTGAAGATAAGAACGGTGACTTGAAGCCGTTTGCGTTGTGTGAGTCGAAGGCGCGGCTGGTATTAACTTGTTGTGTCTGAAATCTAAAATTATAATGTGACCCGTAAAGTGATTGGCTGACATTACACGCGCGATATCCACGTGTACTCAAAGAGCATCGCATTTGTAATTATGATGATTTAAGAAAACACGCAACCCCTCCTCTCTCGGGGTTGAAATTCATTAACCAGCGGTTAAAAACTTTTCAGCACTTGGTACTTCAGCAATGCATTATCTCAACGCACTTAATTGCTTATTCTCCGCATTTTAATTCTTGTCGGAGTGAAGTGTCCTTATTGTTTCTAGTAAAAACGAAGGTAGAGTATCAAGGAAGGATTAAAGAGATTCAGTGTACCTTATAGTTACCTTACAGTTTCCCTCTCTCCCTCCACCCCTCTTCTCTCCTTTAGGAGCCTAGACCGAATTGTTCAAAGCTGGGTTAAGACAACCCAGGGTAAGTGTGAAATCTGATTTCAGATTTGAAAGCTTTATTAGGAAACTCATTGCCATTAATTTTGCCCTACAATTTGATGATTGGATGCTCAAAAGGGACAAATAAAATCAACCGAAAAAGGCTTTTGGACAAAAGGGTTAAAGAAATCCTGTTTGGCTCGGTCGACCTGAGCCCTATTAGGAACCGTTGACGTCACGGAATTGTTCGCCTATCGCTTCCCAGGTTTCACGCGGAGAACAAAACCAGAGAGCTCAGGAAGAAGTCTCTATCGGTTTTGAGGCTTCCTATCAATCAGGTTTCACGCGCGTTTGAGAAAGATTGAAGAAAAAGAAAAAGTACAAAACCAGAATGTCAGATTAGATTATACGCAATGGTTTCCATCTAAACTGTTTTTGTTTTTTTTTATCATTGTATAGCTCCAAATTTTGCGTAATTCCTTTCGTACTTTTGAGGTTTGTCAGCTCTGGCTTCTTGTTAACGTCTTAACTACCTTACATTCGAAAAGAAATGTTTTTCATCGCAAATTTGGATCGTATATTCTACGATCAAAGGACGCATAAATTGTTTTGTTGGCTATGTTTGTTTTCGTTTTAGTTCAGTTGGCCCCCGACACGGTTGATTTAACCATCTGCCACTTTCTTCTCGCCTCTCTGTCGTCTGGCGAGAAATTATGTATTCGAGAGTATTCAACTTTTTACGATTTTATTGTTGTTGGTAGTACAGTTGAACAAATACACCCTGATATAAAGCCAGAGCCTGAGTTAATAGCCCAACTCCTTCAAATAAACCAAAAGCCGGGATTAAAAAGAATCATGAGATAATGCAAAGTCATGATGTTTTCTTGCTTTGTTTTCAGCGAGCGACTACAGCGAGCGGTAGAAAAATAAAAGTTTTAATGATATTCCATGACATTAAAATTGATAGGGATGTCTTTACAATCTTTTAATGAAAGTAGGCTACGCGCAAACAGACTCTAAGCAATTTGCAAAATTTCAAATTAAGTGTTTGAAATTTCCTGTATGACTAATTTCATAGCAGTGTCAAATAAAAATGAATAATCTATCACATACGTAGAAAATTGGAAATAAACCCAAGTTGTTTGCATTTCGGATTGTTAAATTCCGAAATAAGTATTGACAGATGAAATGATAATCTCAATTTCAGTCAGTTCTGTAATTAAAAACGTGTATCTCAACTATCACCGGTTCCTGGTTCATTATTGATTTTACTGGGATATCAAAATTTTATTTGCCAAATTTTCCATTTTTCCTCAGGTTCAAAAAAAATATTGGATACTTAATTTCAGCTGTCATCCCTTTATTTTGAAAACCAATGATGCGGAGGGAAAAATCCAATTAAAGAGCTGAAATAAACGTAACTTTCATTTTTCGGCAGAATTTCTCCATGTAGATAGATTTTGTTTTTTATTTTATATAGTAACCGGTATGTTAGACCAGTACTAGTCTACGATTGAATTTAAAATCTTTACTTTCTTCGCAACTAAGAAATTTTATATGAATTTACTGACAAGCTAGTATTATTTTGTTTTAATTTTTTTAACGTTAATAAATAAGTTGCCAATTTATTTTGTTCAGCACTGATTGAAAATAATCCGTTTACAATTTTTCAATTATTTCTTCTCTGAAGAACTCGAAGATCGGCCAGCTGTTTAGTCAGTTGCTAAGCAACACGTTGCGAAAGTGAGGCAGAGATGGAGCGCATAGTCGCAAGGCATGATGGGTATTGCGAAGCTTGGAATGAAAATGGCGGCTAATGATGTTGTCGCGAATCATGAAAACGAAACGAGAGATAAAAGGAGCAGCGATGGTTCCGTCAAAGTTATTTGCTTAGGAGACAGTGCTGTAGGGAAGTCAAAGTAAGGCAGACTGTGTGTTATCTTATGTCTCGTAAACCTGTTCTTGCTGTTTTGTAGGAAAACGGTAGCGTCCAACAAACCGGCTAATTTTTGTGACATTATTTCCTTTTCAGATTGGTTGAGAGATTTCTCATGGATGGATAGTATCCTTAATGCTTTTTGTTAGCTAAGTGTTTAGATTTTTACCGTGCCCTAGCAGTTCCGCCAAAGTAGTTTTGATTTAGTCTAATAATATTGATCAAGGGGAGCAATAGGTTCTCAGTTTTTGGTTATTTATACGGAAGCTGGTTTCTCGCTAAGTTTTTTTTTCATTTATTAAGTGACTTTTGTTACCCGGTAATATTTTAAAATTAAAATTTTCTAACCTCATTTGTTAAACAAGGATGTTTTCTTTTTTCTCAGTTTTGACGCCACCTCTCGCAGTAAATTACGGTTTTGTACGTCAATAGAGCGAAATTTTATTCGGAGAACTGTTTTAGAAATCTCCTTATTCTCAAGAGGCCTTTAGCGTCACTCAATGACCGAAAAGATATATTGCCTCGGACATGTTCTTTTGTTATATTGTACGCGAAGCTCATCAAGTATTGCTACTGAATGCTAGGAGAACTAAATAATATCAAAGAACAAATGTACAGTACCCTACGTATACATAAACCTAGGAATTGCCATTTTCGATATAGATCGCAAAACCATCTTGAAATTAATGTCAAAATACAATTTACCTCAATATTCAATCTATCTCTGAAGTCTGTTTCTTGTCACATCATCTCATGATCACATCACTGAGCATTTCAGGTCAGGTATTTCCCAAATTGAATACAGGTGCTTTTGATTGTTTTTCTTTCTAATAAAAGAAGCTGTTACGAACATGTAAAGTAATCCTACAATAAGCTATGTTTGCTCATCAAGTTTCATCAACTGGAAATGTTTTAAATTCAAATATCAGTCTCTGGAAAGAAAAATTCACATGGCCTCCAGATTTCCATAGTCAGCCCTTTGTATTTTTTTTATTAAGTACTCTCCATATTACTGGTGTTTATTATCAGTCTGTCAATGAAACTAGTGTCCTTAATTATAACAACAGTAAACCACAGCAGCTTTCTACATATGCTCTGACCCTTTTTCAGTACAAGACAAGGGTTGATGGAACTGATGTTCGAGTTGGTAAGTCCAATTTAACCTGCAGTTTGCCCATCTGTGTGAAATTCATTGATTGTCTTCTGCTAATACAGTCAAACCTGTATTAGGCAGCTCCCTATTAAACAGTCACCCTGTATTAAATGGTCAGTTGTCAAAGTCCTGAATGTGTTTCCCCTCAATCACTGTAATTTTCACCAATCTGGCTCCAGTGGTCTCTATCGAGTGGTCATAAGTACCCTTTACAACAAGTTCTAAGGGCCTGTTTTTACTGTCCTCTGCCTGTATATTGAATGGCTACTAAAAGTGGAACCACTCAATTAAGACTAAGAATAAGCTTTCCAATTATTTTTTAATCCTTGTGTCTCTCCCAGAATTAATATAGGTAGTATTCTTGATCAAGATTCTGTACATTAAGTGGTCAGTTATGGCATTAAGGGGCATTGTTCATTGTTTTTATAATAACCCTAATTTTTGGAACCTGTATTAAGCAATCACTCTGCTATTCACCATGGGTGACTGCTTACAGGTTTGACTGTATATGTGTTTGTCCTTAAATTTGGAAATTTAAATTAAATCACATTTCACATTTCCTGGTAGTTAATGTTATTTATTTTATTTCATTATTTTATCGCATTTATTTTGTCAATGATTTATTAAATCTAAATGAGAACAACACAGAAGTGAAATGTTGGAGTTTTTTGTTGCCAATACAATATGCTTACTTGATATAAATGAGTTTAGGAACAAGTGACATATTTGGAAATCAGCTAAGACTGAAGAGGCCAATGTGAAAAAAGTTTTTATCAGGGCTTTTCTCATGGGAGAATCACCAGGTTCTTGTGGGCTCATATCTCAGAATCTAGTTGCTTAAAGACAAAAATTAGTCCATCTAACTTTGTTAGAGTACAAAAAAAAGTAGCATAGCCAGATAACCCTATTCTATTTCATTGTGGCAGTTCTAACTATACAATTAAAGGAAGTACCTGGAAGTAACAATCATGTAGTTATCACTTTATACAACATGTAAGCCTTAAGTTCAGTGACAATGCATTTATGTAACTCAAGACTTCGGATGTTGTGATTTTGATACAATGTGATTGTGTAATTTCATACAATTGACCTCAATTTGCACACACATTCTTGATCAGAAAGAAATTCATAAATCTTAATAAAGGCATAATCTGAAAAAGACTAAACATTAAAATTATGAGTATGAATTTTTAAGCATTCAGTTCACAGGCTTTGAAATTCTTGTAGATTTGCAGTAATGATGGAAAAGACACTACAGTACATAGATTAATCAATATCAAATCTACACCAGGCAAATTGTATGATTTGTCTCTCAAAATAACATATTTTTACCATAGGATGTGTCAAAAATTCTGTTTAACATTGTCTATCAGAAAGTCGGATTGTTTTTGGATCAAGACAACATTTATTTTACACATTTGCAAATTAGGTGAATGGAAAAGAATGCCATTCATGTAAAATGATGAATGTTACAATTATTTTTCTGTATGCTATTTAAAGTTATCATAAAGGACTGGATGAAAAAGCTTACCTTACATTGGTAGCTCAGGCAAAAACTGCCATTGTTATTTATTGTAACTGCTATGGTGACTATCAGAGCAACTGTCTTTTCTTCTATTTTGTGTGAATGGTTTAAAAATTACTTATGGTTGTCAGAAAACATCTTTGTCATTAGGAGATTTGTTGGCATACTACCTTAAAAGTTGTGGCATGGGTAGCATTCTCATTGAGGTTTGGAAATTATATGAAATAGGTGAAAAGCATTTGACTGAGGTTTTACAATCATGAATACCACTTCACTTGAACTTGCAGTATACTGTGTAGTAATACATATATATCATTTTTCCAGATTTCTGGGATACAGCAGGACAAGAGAGATTCAGTAGTATGCACCCATCATATTATCATCAAGCACATTCTTGTCTACTAGTAAGTACTGTCAGTAAAGAATGATTTTTAAGAACCAAACTCTGTTCTATAATAAGCCCTCCATCTTGAGCCCCTGATGATTAACCTTTTAACCCCTTTGAGTGACTAGAGTCTAAATTCTCCTTACAATGTCACTCCTGATTCACATTATGGTAACAAGAATAATGATCACCAACCAAAGAAACTCCTGATTGTTTAATAAATTCTTCTTGTCAGCACCCTAGGAAATGTATGTAGAACAGTATGGAGAATATGCATGTTGATGTTAACAGGGCATGAAATTAACTTTTTTTTCTGATAGCCACTTGGCTCCTAAATTCTTCAAAGTGATAGCCAATTCAAAAAAAGTTGGTCTCCATTTTCAAAGACAAACAAAATCTTTCTTTACGCTGTCAGCGTTCTAGATAGACCCTCCAAAATTAAGTTAGGGAAAAGATCTTTAACATGCTACAAAGTGGACACTAGGATGGATGATATACAATGTTCAGGCTCATCTAAATCCAAGATGGCTTCTAGTTATCGATCGAGATGCATGTGCTACGTTTTGGAAACAAACTTAACGAGGAATCTTATCTTATCTTTGCAAATCTTTTTAATTCACTATATCTCTTGGTAAGGTTATGATGAAACGTTCTAGTCTCCAATTAGGCGACTAACTTTCAGGATTTAGTTGCCAAAGTGAAAAATTTAGGTGCATTGGTGCCTGTATTAGGCACAATTTCACGCCCTGTGTTAGGGTGTAAAGGCTTAACAAGCTCTTTAGGGACCTAAATTTGTAATTGAAGAGTGTTAACCATATATCATAATTGATGTATATCGGGAGTAATTGTGCACCTTGTATGCTTTCAAATTGCTCTTGTTTAAACTTCAGTTAAGATCTCTTTTTATTTTGACAGGTATTTGATATTACAAGAAAAGTGACTTACAAAAATCTTGCAAAATGGTACAAAGAACTTAGGGAATACAGAGAGAACATTCCTTGTATAGTTATAGCAAACAAAATAGATGGTATCCTTTTTGTTTTCTTTCTGTATAATAACTTTTAGTCCTTGTTCTTGAGACTTCAAAGTTATGAATAGCTTCCATCACGCAACAACTCTAAAAATGAACTGGAATTAAAGACCATTGTATTCTTCTGTGAAGGGATATGCACATGTTGATTTAGCAATGCAAGAAAACTTACAGACAGTGTTTTTGATTCTGATGAACTAGGTTACCTTTCCATTTCACATAACTTTGCTGGTCTCAAATCCAGAATTGTTTTGAACATTTTATATCAATGTTACAAAGTATTAGCTCTAGTTAGCCTTTTTATTTGGCAAGATCTTCTGCATACAAGCGCATGTGATTTTTCCTTGCTGCTATCCATTAAAGAGAGTTTGCTGTTATTTCAAAAGAGCTTTGTGTTGAAATGTGTTGAAAATGGCAGCAAGGAGTTATATGTTAAGCACCTTGTAGGGTTAATGGATTGATGTGAGCAGGCATGCAAAGAAAGAACAAATCATTTATAAGAATATGTTGTATGTATATGAATTCATTTTGCCATTTGGATAGATGCAGTCTTTATATTCCTTAACTGCTTGGTATTATCTTAAGTTGACTACACTATGACACAGAAAAGTTTCAATTTCCCCAAAAAGCATGGTCTTCCTTTCTATTTTGTGTCTGCATCTGATGGAACAAATGTGGTTAAGGTAGGCATTCAAATATACATATTTTTTATTTTCTCCTGATTAATGTATTTGAACACAAGCTCTAAAGCCATGCAACCATGGCACTAATGGGAGAGAAGACATCCTTTGCAGGATTTTAATTGAGAAATGTAGTGTAGGAATGTGACTGGAGAATTTTCACCTTGCCTAAATTTAAAGAAAAGTTCAGGGCATGAAATTTAGCCTTATAGTTCTTAACAGTTACTGAAGAGGTGCTGTTCAAAGTACCCCACAATAACTTTAATGAATTACAACAATTTCTGAAGGAGAGGCTAGATATGTGTTAGATTATTATGAGAGAATATTGTTTTGTTTGAGAATGAGACTTCTGAAGAATTTTTTTTTAGAACCAGTCTCTCACATGTGTACATCAAACCCTAATAATTCCTTTAGGATTGAATGTGGCACAAGTAAACATGAACTACATGAAGCACAATCAGTCAAAATGACTTGCACATTTTTGTACCTGTCCAGTGTTTAATTAATTAATTCACTGATTCTGTTTGGTATGAAGGCCTTTCGAGAAGCAATAAAGCTGGCAGTGAAATATAAAGAAAACTCAACAGATTTTATGGATGAAGTTCTACGCGAACTTGAGGTACATTTTTAGTGTTTGAATCAATTCATAAGTACTATTTTTGTGAAAGAACATGAGGTGTATAAAGGAGTAATATTTGTTTGTGCAATACTTTTTTAATAAGACTTTAGTGGTAACTGTGTTTGGTTGAATGGTATTAAAAGTTCAAGGAACAAAGGAGTTGAATTAATCTCTTTCGCTTTGTTTTTATTTCAGAACTTTGATGAAATGAATCTTAATCAAGATGGTTATGATTCTTCAGATAAGAAAAGCAGTGAAGATGAGGGAAAGACATGATACCCACTGCTTTAAGGCTGGCTCCTGTGGTTCATGCACACTGCTGTTTAAGTCAGTGCAAAGAATATTTCAACACACAGAGTAATTTATTCTCCTTATTAGAGTTTTTAATTATTAGTTATTAATATTTAAAAGATTTACATTGTAATAAATGTATTGACTGTTACAACTATCATACAGTCTGGGTGATGCTATGTCACTTTGCAAATTTTCTCTGCTGGCTGAAGAGTAATATAACATGACTGCAAGAAAACTGAAATAGTCTAAGAATTATTTTGATTCCATCCTGATGTCATGGCAAAAGGCTTCATGGTTTAACTTTACCAGATCTGAGCCCAGAAAAAATAATCATGATTATTCTTATTGTACAGTGTATATGACCAAGAATTCATTTGTTGTAAATCAATAGTCATGTTCAGCTATAATATCATATGTACTTACCTACCGAAAATTATATCTGAGATGGGTTTTTTTGTGGTATTATCTTCCTAAATTTTGCTTGTTCTCATCAGACTGAGACGCCTCTCCGTTATTCTCATGATCTTAATTATGGTTTAGCATTATTAATGGTTTAAAGCATTAACTCGTCATTTAATTATTAACAGCACGCCCAGCAGGGCCCGAACTCGCACATAAAACTATTGTTTTCCTTTAAAAAGTAATTTCGTAGACCGTTTAGACTTGTCACGCTATTGATTAGAGAGAGAATGCGTTGCGTGATCAGACTAGACCAGTGCGAAGGTGGCTACCTATGGCATTTTGTGGTAACACTTTTCGTAGGCCAGTCTGTGCAATGTAAATGTAAACTAATGTAAATTGTAAATTTATCGGAAATTGGTATGAAGAAAACCATCTGCTTTAGTACAAAACTCAATGCTCGTGAGTAAAAGCGTATAGGTTAAAACTTATCTCTATAATTATGTCGTAAAAATGCAGCTATTATTGGATCAGTTACAGAGAAGCCAAATGTAATATGATTGTAACTATCATTACAGGATGAGCTAGGCAGATCATGAGAGAGAGAGCTTTCTTTACCAGTCCTCTTGCCCAGCCTTGGAGCCAGGCTCGGCAGCTTCTCCGAGATATGTTTATTTTTTTGCGGTGTCTCTATTTTCTTTGTGTTTGTTGACGATGTTATGTTTTCCATTTTGTATAATTGTTGGTTGACTAGTATTTCCTTTTCACTGATTCTAAAGAGAGTGTTCATCCCTATAAGTATCTTACTGTTCTGTTATAAACTATTTTCTTTGTGAAATACTTCTTTTTCCGGGTTAAAGCGTAAGCAAGTGAGCAGTTTGCCAAGCGCTTAGAGGTGTTATATTTTGTCATACGGCAGTTTTCTTTTTACACGACATTTTTACATTGTACAATATTTTTCTGAAGTTTAGAGTCCATTCATTGAATTCAGCTACTTTTATCCGACGAAGCTCTCTCAGCGATGTTTTAATAAAAGCTCTTGGAGACCTCATGGAACTATAACCAAGAAACCGTAACCTTGAACACGATAATTTACACGGTAGCTATTTAGCCATAACGTGTAGGGCATAAGTATTTTCAACCGAGCTTTTTCATGACAAAGTGACAGATGTGTTCGTCTGGGATGTCAAAGTACGAGGACAACTAAATAGGCACGAGAAATATTTTTCAGAGGAAGCTTTCAGACAAGCAATCGTGCTAACTACTCTGAACAGTTTTCAGAAGTTGAATTTTCCCCTCCCTCAGAGGAATTGAATCGGTAGTACACACTAACCGTAGTCTTCTATTCTTTGGGTATACCCAAGTGGCAACACTGATTGTGACGATCAAACTAACTGTGAAATGGTATCGTAAACCTAGTTTGCGTGCTTAAGGAATTAAAATAATTCTGCGTTTGCAATATTTTGAGAATTCCGTTTCGCACATAGAGAATTGTTGGAGAAGTCGCACATTGACCAGGATCTCTGTAGGGAACGAACCAGGTAGCGTAGGTCACTATGCCAAACATGTCTGAAAACAATGTAACTGCATTCGGGTACTTTTGGGCTAGACCGGATGTGTACAAAGATCCTGGAATTGAAATATGTATGTAATATGTATATATGTAAACCTATGTAAAAAATTGTATGTACAAACATGATCTAAAAATAAAGTTGCTTGTTTACCGCGATGAATGTGGTTTACCTCTTGGTTCATGGGTGATCTTGAGGAGCGCCTTTCGAGGGTGGGTACCTGAGGGATGGGACGTTGGCCTTCCTCTGAACACAACTTGTTAGAGTTGACGAGGTAACTGATTGGAGATTATACAGGGTTTCTAGATATTAATTAGGAGGTATTGTTCATTGACCATAAATGAAGAACGGAGCAAGCTATCTAGTAATGAGCACTTAATACAATTGGTAATCGAATTCGCCAAATAATTTGCTGTAATCGTGTTTGTTTTCCCAGAACCTGCACCTTAATCTTCAAAATGAACTCTCGTTTCTTTACGTTTTTATTTCATAAAGAAAACTGTATGGTTGATTGCGATCATTACCGAGGCAAAAAAGACGCCAACATCATGCCGTAGTAGCTCGGGTGGTAGTTAGCGAGAAGCCTGGATTCCCAGGTGAAAGGGCTGGCCTTTAACATCCCGTCCAGCATAACCAGTCCCGTGAATCCACAAGAAAGAGCTTTTTCCACATAAGACGCCGCTTCAACTACAAGCTTTTCAGAATCCTGGGTGCTCACCCAAGCTCCGCACGCTTTGTCAAAGGGCTCGGCGGCGGTGGAGAAACCGTACGGCCCTGATTTCAAGTGAGTATGCGCCAAGTCAGCGCTAATGATGACCACGATCTTCTCTAGCTGCGATTGGAGAATTTCAAACAAGCTTTCGCCGAGATGGTGCAGCTCAGGGATCATCTCCACGCTTTCCGTGTACCTGCGACTCGGCTGGGACAGAATGATCACCTTACTTGGCTGGCCTAAAACACTTTTTGTGAAATACAATGGAACCACCTCGCCCCATCGCAAAGGGAAGGGAACATCTTCGTTTCCGGGAGGCCCAAATGCGCTCAGATACGATACCTTCTCATTTTCGTCCTTGAGTATCCTTACAAGGTTCTCACTCCCTTTAGAATCCATGGCAACGGACAGGTTATAACAGCACGGTGGACATGCGCAGTTGTCCGTGTCAGAAAATCCGAATCCTCTCGGGCTAAGATAGAAAATGAAATCTTCAGGGGCAGCAATTCCGTGTGGGGTGCTGAGAACGATAGTATCAGGCTTGAGATCATCGATTTGTTTGCCCACTTGTTTTGAAGCGTCATGCACCAACCAGGCTTGTGCTTTAGCTGTGGCGTTTGTTGTGTTAAAGTAGCGTGGGTCCAGAGCGATGCCTCCTGATTAAATAATTAGCAAATAAAAAAGAGGTAAACACGTACGCAAATACGGAAGTACACTGATAGAGAAGAGCTCATCTAGATAAATAAATAAACAGAAAGATAAATAAATAAACAGAAAGACAGACAGACAGACTTAATAAATACCTGATGAAGACAGGAGGGAAAGGAGAGAGAGGAAAGATGGATGAAAGGAATGAACGCCATGTGAAATAAACGAATGGCATCTGTCTTTATTCTGTTAGGAATTAGAAAAATTAAACTGATCCGTTTTGAATTTGGAACGTAATTGTATACCCCTGCCTTCTTTCTTAATATTTTATATGCTTTTCTTTATTATTAATTAAACAAGACTTTGTTTCAAACAAACGGTTTCTTCTGTTACGTGTTGAAGACCTATCCTCCTTTTTCCCATTTGTAGTATTTTTTTCCTTATGTATTTATTTACCAATATTTTCTTATCAACCCTTTGAACCCTATGAGTGATTAGCATCGTATTTCTCCTTACAATATCACCCCTAAATTACACATCAAGGTCGCGAGAATCAAGGACATGATCTCAAACTAGAAGAGGCTCTTGATTTTAAAACTAATTCTCCTTGGCAGCACTTTGGCAAATGTATAGAGAAAAGTGCGGAGAATATACATACTGATGTTAGGGTGTAAAGGGCTGGATGATTTGTTATGTCACGTCTTGATGAAAATTCATTCTCCATCAAGGGACTTTCGATTGATTCCTCAGAGTTGTCTTCATACAACATAATTTACTCTTACCAGTAACACGCTTCAATTAGTGACTAAATTTTGCTTACCGTGGGGCATCACGAAGGCTCCAATTACAACACTGTCGGTTTGAATCACGTAAAATGACTTCAGAATAAAGATTACTACCAGAATTGAAGCGAACATCGCGTTGATTTAACAAGAGTCGACCTCTTGAAATTAAAAAATCAGAACTCCGCTCGAACTAAAAGCAGTCAGAGTCAGGGAGCAGACACTGAAAAAATGAGTTGCGCACAGAAGAGGTCTGACTCTTGATTCTGATAGATAAAGACCTCCTGATCAACGTGAGATAATTCGTCGAGTTGAATTTGTGCTATATACGTTTCAAAATACAGGGATTTTTGGTCACGCGTTTTATATTTCAACATGGAAACGAGGCTGAGATCTAACTTGACCTTTTAGCTCCCAATGGTTAAGCGAAGACGATTGAAAATTGATGGAGACTTCACAGCCAAGCCACCTCCGAGCAACACGCGCTGGATTTGAACCTGAAATATACTAATGGTTGCAGGAATAAAAAAAAAGTTAAAATCATCTTTTTGTGCCATATTATTTCACTGGTTTATTATATACTAAGTACGCGTATATATATGTTTATTATAATTTTACTTTTTTTAGTGCGTAAGATGGCAAAGCAACAATCCAATGAGAGAGAATCCTAAATGTACGCAAGATACTAAAGTAACAATCGAACGGAAGAGAATTCTAAAAGCGCGCAAGATACTAACGTAACAATCCGGTGAAAGAGAATATTAAAAGTTCATGAGATAGCGTAACAATCCAATGAGAGAGAATCCTAAATGTGCGCGAGATGCTAACGTTACAATTGAATAAGAGAAAATCCTAAAAATGCACGAGATGCTTATTAAATGGAAAAAAAATCTTCAAAGTGCGCGAGATACTAACGTAACAATCCATTAAAGAAGAGAACCTTTAAAGTGGACGAGATGCATACGTAGAAATCGAATAAAAGAGAATTCTCAAAGTGTACGAAATACTATAATTTAGGATACGTCAATTCTGTTGATGAGGTGCATAAACTTATTGCGGAATTTGAAACAGGATTGACGACGAAGTTTTCTTTCTTTAAAGCTGTCAAAGGTTTCGGGAACACCGGTGTATATATATATATATTGATATAGCTCTTTGGCATTACAAAGCTTTGCTATCGCTATTGTGCATTCTCACTAGTTTATCTAGTTCAAGTCCTCTGGCATGGATTGGATGATACCACAATTGTGGAATCATTCGGGTTAACTTAATGCTTACACCTCCTTCCTCGGACAGAAGTCACAAAATACTCTGGGAAGATGCATGAGATATTTAAGGAGCAAAAATTCGTTTTTTACTGGTGTGCCTTTCCTGATTTTTGGAAGGAAAGTGTTCAATTGCCAGTACGGCATAGATAGAACAGCTGGAGAGAAAAGGAAGTGAAAAGATGCAGAAGAAGTACTGTATATAATAATTTCTTTTTATCCTCAACCTTTGTGTTACTGTCAACTATGGCTTGCTAATTCGAAAGGTCAAATACATGAATGGGTCATATGACATTGATCTCAGAATACTTTTATGACAAACGTGATAACAGTTCAATCTTGGCTAAATTGAAGATGGTTTAGAAGTTAACAATTATAAGAACTTTTCATTAACATATGCTGCTGACAAAGGAGAAAATATATGCAATTCTGCATTTTTTGCTTTCTATCAAGCAATCATATATTGGCTCCTTATCACGCTATGACACTTCCATTTTGTCACATTCCAAAAAATGACTTGAGAAATACACTGTCACTCATCTTACACTGTTATATTTACCTATTACAGAAGGCCAGAAAAAAAAAATTTTGTTTTCAAGAAAATAAGATTTCTTGTCCAAGACACAAGGAAGTTTGACTGCAAAGCACAGATAAAAATGTGAGAAATTTTATTTTTTTCAGAGAACAAGGTAGTTCTACTCATGTATAAACAGAACAAATCCGGTTTAATAAATCAGATATGTGGCATGACTCCTTTTCTTCCATCCCCACTCAAAACAAGCAAACACACCTATAGAGGTTCCAGTCTGGTCTGCAAATGAAAAGGAGGAAGGTGATCACTGCAAAATTAAGCATTAGGGTTCTTATTTATAACATATTGATAATTGTATACTGATATCAAGAAATTAAGGTTGCAAGTGGCAGCCAGCTGAGTTATAGTTTGAGTTTTATCAAGTCCATTACTTTATTAAATTTAGAGTAACCTTGTCTTGAGTGAGGGAAATTGAGGAGCTGTAATATACTTATCATCAATTAGGGACCACAAAGAAAAATTTATTTATAGAGACTTTTGAAGGAGAGGGGTAAGACTTGTGACAAGCTGGCAGATATATAGATAAACTTTACTGCTAAATGGGTTACAATATTAAGTGCTCAGTATTTGGATCAGCTATGGCTCAACTTAAACTTTGCTTTAGCTTAAAGTTTAATCCTTTGTGGTTTCCTTTCTCTGTGTTTATTTTTCAAGTTATGTTACACAGAAGAACACAAAAATGACAAGGAATGCTTTTGAATATAAAGAGGCTGGAATAAGCAAGAAACCAAAACTGAATTTTAAACAGTACAAAGTTAATTTGATCTTTCAATGTTATTTAATTTTAACCATTAATAGAATTTGCTATTTAAATTTATCCCCTCCATTTTTCTGGATATTGTGAGTAAAAATAAACAATTATCACAAAATGCATGGTATACAATGGTTTGATTCACCAATGTGGCAAAGGCCTTTCACTGTCTATCCATAAAAAGGGAAATAATTTGTAAAATGTAAGACATTCTGCATCTTGAGTGTATACTTATCCATCCATGTGAAATGAAAGGTTACTTGAAATAAATGTGAAAGATTTATAGGATTTTCAGACCCATGATAACAATTACTGATGTGCTGATTTGTTGTACTTAAAGGTTATGATTTTAGTGGAAATAGTGGAAGAAATTTCTGGACCTGGAATTTTGTTGCAAATGTCTGTTTAAGTCAGTTTAAGTCAGTTAAAAACTCTCCTGTTTCAAGATTACATGATTGCCACACCAGAACCTTTTGTATTCTATATTGTGCACCATGTTATGATTACGGTTTCAATAATAAAAGGTGCTGACTCAAGAACTTTGCAAAATATCACTACATACAAAGAAATAGATTGTGGTTATGTACTCCAAATAGCAGTTCACATCAGTCTTCTGTAAGGAAGTAGCAGAAATTGCTATGGTGGTTTTGGTGGATGGAGAGAAACATCCACCAAAACCACTTTATTCTATGTGTTATGAGTTATGATAATCATTATGAACGTTTGGTCGGTCAGCAATTGTGCACCATAAAAAATAATTAGCCAGAGCACTAACTGCTAATTAGTGGTATAAATCTTTTGTCTCCCTGAACATCTAACAGTGGCTAAAGATAAAATTAAAAAAATATATTGTTGATGGTTTTGGTCAAAGTTTTGGTGGATGTTCCCTAATGACATCCACCAAAACTACGTAACATCTGGGCACCTTTTAAATACGTGAAATATCTGCATAAAATTGCGTAAAATGTTTTACAATACTACAATCGAACAATAAATTAATACTTACCATTTCTTGAGTAAAAAGTTTTGACGCAATTTCCCAAACAAATAGTACACTTAGATCATCGGGATAAGTCGGCATGTTGTCGTAGCTTCGTAATTTTCATTTAGTATAACAAGTCATGAGTTGTCCATCATTCCATCTCAGTCCCTCTCGACCAAGGTGATTTTGGTGGATGGAATCTAATGCTGACTTTATCTGCGCATCACGACAAAATGGCGACCGATGCAGAGCATAAAAGAAAGTACACGCAGAGTCAGAAAATGGTATTAACCCACATATTCTGTGGCGGTTTTCTGTTGGCTTGCTTTTTCTTTACGGGAGTGTTTTTCCCGTTCCCTAAACCGCACCTACCAACCTTATTTGACAGAGTTGTGTTCACCCTTCGCTGGCTGATCGTGTCTCTTCTCCCCGTCTGGGCTGGAGTCATTTTGGTTGGAAACGTGCGATTTGCAACATCTGCTATTGACCCACTTGACCAAAGTGGCGAGAAGTACATAAAAATGCGTTCGAATTTTCTTCAGAACACCGTTGAACAGTTCTTACTCCATTCTTTTGGTCTCACTGTTTTGTCCACTTATTTGTCTGAGGAAAGTATGCACTGGGTACCTCTCCTGGTGATCCTGTTCGTTGTCTCTCGAGTTCTGTTTTTCGTAGGCTACTCTATACATCCTCTTAAAAGATCCATTGGATTTTTCATGACATTTGCCCCAAGCGTTGCGGTCATGCTATATTGTTTGTGGTGCTTGATTGTTTATGGATTTGACGCGTATCGCTGAGCAAATAAAGCCGCTTAACTTTGGTTTACTGTGGACTGAAACCAAGAGTTCCTTTATAAACTGTACTGCCTGATACCAAAGCCTTCAGTTACCATAATTTTTCAGACAGGAAGAGCTGTAAGACTCCTTTACAAAAGGACCTAGTAAAGTGACAAAAGGTATCTCATAGCCTACGTGTAGCCGTACCCTCCCCTCCTCAAGGTAGAACGTTTCACCTTGCGGGGGAGGGTACGGCTACACGTAAGCTAGGTATCTCTTACTCCATCAAAATTACGAATACGAGCCTTTCTGTTGCAGTAAATCAGTTGAAAAGTATTTGATGTAGCAGCCTGAGAATGTCTGAAATGTGGATGAATTTACCGGACAAAGGCATCATACGTCACATCAAATCTTTTTTTCAAATAAAATGATTGTCAGAGATGAAATATGAGACATTAGTTTGTTTAGAACAGTTTGATGGATTTTGATTATATATTTGTTTTTATGAAGCCGCTATCATTATCATAACTATTATCACTATAATTATCACTACTAATACTATTATTGTCATATTCGGAAGAGTCGAGCATTTCTTTGGAGTATTCCCTCGTCTAGGTGGCTACAGGGGTACACTTGACTCCTCACTCCCCTCCCCACAGTTCTTCGAAGGTCAAACATACCGATTACATATAAGATGCATTTATCAAAGCTCCGAGCAGCATCTGCGATTGAAAGTTTTCGTTTTGTCGTTGAACTGGGTGTTCTGATGTCCAATATGATTAACACAATTGTTGAAGTCAATGAGTAGTCTTGTAACCATACCTTCCACGGCCAAGCAGTAGTTATGACTCACTACATTTTGGTTGCGCGCTAGGATCTGGATACGAGATTACTCCATAAGTTGAACAGAAAGTAGCTTGAGCACAATAACTGCTGTGACTGAGATTAACTGCAAAAATACAACGTATAGGCTCATAATAATAAAAAAAAGGAAACCTAATGCGTGCGCCACTTTAGAAGTCATAGAATGTTTGGCAGTTAAGAAAGTACTTATAATAAAATTGATGCAGAATTATTACATTTATCTGATGGGAGCAGCGTTTATAATAATATTCTCTTCGCTTTGACTGACATTCGATTTTTATTTTCACTAGGGAAAGACAGAAGAAATTCTTCTACTGAAACAAAGTGGACACAGTCCATTTTCCAAAACTCAAAACTGAACATGTATGCAAATATTTGAATTGCACGTGAAATAATTAATTATTAACCATCAATACAACCTCTTGTCTGAATTAATTTTGTGCAAAAACGTAAGCAACGCCTTCACTACATATCACATAAGTTCTTCAACCGTGTGCCACATTTTCTTTAAAGTGAAAGGAAAAAACTGAATCAGAGAATTAGATATCAGGCTTTATTTTTATGAAGTGTTTCTAATCATGGAGACTCAATCTAAAAAATTTTTGAGAATTTGTCATCTCAATAGTTTATATTCTGTCAGAATAGCAAGTGACAAAAGAAATAAAAACACAAAAGCTTCTCTCTAGGTTTTAGGATTTTTTATCGTTTTCACCTCTCTCTCTCTCTCTCTCTCTCATGAACAATTAGGATTGTTATGGTTAAATTTAATAGCTATTTCTGAGTTAAGTTTAATTAAAGCCAGTTAACTTTTTTAGGCAAGGTAAGGCTAAATTGCTGCGTGACCCAAACAAAAACCTTGACCATAAAATACAAAAGAGGCCAGGTGGAAGTTTAGGCTCAACAACGCACGACGCTATTCACGTTCATGGCCTATATTCTGTCGTGGCTATCATCTACTCGCATTCTCAGCGTTAAGACATATCGAAAGGGGGATTAGGGAGGATTGACTCGTTAATCCTTTCCAACTCTTGAATAACCTCACGTAAGGGAGTTCCTTAAAGTATGCGATCATTATCCTTTGATAAACAACTTCTTCAAGGTGATTGGTTCTAATTCTTTACACTATGATATCAATTTCACCGTACTTGAAATACTAAGAGTTATCTTTGAAGAGGATTGCTGTGTTACTGCAACAGAGACACACGTTTGAGGTATCGACGCGATCAGATTTTTTAACTTAGTGGTGATGTATCGCTCTAGTGGTGCTTACCATAACAGCAGAACTGCTGGCTACACAGCTGGTTCAGGCCGATCAAATGATTATTCCGCAAAACCAGTTTCCTCGACATCTTCGGTGTACTCCTATAAACCAAGTTCTTCCTCAATTCAACCGGGCACCTCCGCCACTGCAAGTCTGACCGGCTCAAGATCGCCGTCAGCGAGCTACATTACAACAGGCGCCAACCGATCGAGTGGTGAACTATCTTCAGTTAATCGGGATGCAGACCCCTCGAGGTAAGTGCAGTTACCTTATGCAGTGAAATATTTCCATTTAGGACCAGCTTCAAGTACATCAGTTTGAATTTATTTGGAGCCTGCGGTGATTCATTTATGTTGCCTGAAAAAAGTAACTCCAAAAACTAACTTACGATATCATCTGGGAAAGAAAGTGATATGATGCTTTTTTTTCTTCTCAGCGCCTTTCTCCTTGAAAATTTATCCGCGATATTGGAAAAAAAATTTTATTTTTGTCACTCTTTGAGTGAGAGGGTAAAACCAAACTCACTAGATACCCTGACCAATGACTAACACAAGAAAATCGCCGAGAATAAAACAACAGTATTCAGAATTTCGCCTTTAAGAGTGAAACTAAGAAACATATGAAAATGATCCACTGTAACAACTTCTCGAATCAACCCACGTGTTAAACTAGTTCTGACTGAGAACCCACATGCTAAGCTTTTTAAGATAACTTAATTTAGAAATTCAGGACAAGCAAAAGAAAACAATTCGAAAGCGACATATAAAAAGACTTCAATTTCTTTAATACTAATGAGTGTGATTACAAGACAATGTCGAATATAATAAATTCGCTTGATGTTGGACCAGAAGCACGCCTCAGATATAAAAATCAATAGAAGAACAATATTACTGAGGAATAATATTATCTGATCTATAACAGGATGAATAGAACGTCTTGGAAAATTGGGGAAGTGGGAATACCGAAAAATGAAACAGAAATTAAACAAAAAACTGATACTCTGAGAGAGAATACTTTGTGAATACGAATTTATTGAAAGAGCGATAAGTGCTCAAAGAAAATTATTTCCCATTTGGATTAGAAAACAAAATGCTGTACTTGCAGAGCGGATGAACCAATACAAGATAATTTGGATTTATCACCTGAGTTGATTATGCAAATCGGCCACCCTAAAGAGTTTCTAAGCTGGCATTTCGAGCGTTAGCCCCTCTTCAGAGCGAATGGAGGAATTTTGGGTTGTGTGTGTGTGTTTACACATTACCTTTTGACCCGTCGATGCAACGCCAGGGAATTGTGGGTAGCTCTTTCTCTCTTTCAAAGGGACAAAAAATATTTGGATTGGTATTAGTTTGTATGGATGAAGAACAAAGTGGAACCTATATTTAAATCAAAGCGGATTATCTGCTCTTTCTTTGGCAATATCGAGTTAAGTAATAAATCCTCATCGATTAACATTAACATAGAAAATTCCATCCATCTCTGAGGGCAAAACAAAATACAAAATCGGTAAACTTATGAAATTAATGCACGAATGGATGTAACACGCTGGCTTTTGAATGCGTAGTAAATGAAATTCATTATACCAGGTCTATGAAAAATTTTTTATGAGAAATATGTGGTTCAGATTGTCCTCAAATAAATCTGTGTTTTTTATTATCACTGTTACATCAGATGGTACTCCGGGTCAGGAAGGACTTATGACTCTATCAGGTCAGCAGACGTCTCAGGAAAACCAGTCGTTTATTCTTTGAGTAACACTTCTCAACCAAGTGCAGCCACCTACACTGGGAGTTCTACTCGCCCAGTCACAAGTACTGTTAGGTAATTTTATCTAGAACAGATTTGGTTGAGTTCTGTTAGAGAAACATGTCTCCCATTATTAAGATTAGGAAAGCTCCTTTTAGAAGCACTAATCAGCCATATACCATTTTTGCGGGACTAAAGTATATACCAGCGGCCATGTAATCTGACTTTCGAAAGATTTAAACTACTCCTAATTTCAACGGATTAAGCTATTGTGTTCATGAGTTAATTTTAGACTCGATCGCCGCCGCTGTTCGGGTAATGATCCCGCGCTCCCTTTCCGAAGTCACAAAGAGACGAAGTTCCTTCCTGTTTGTCAACAGTTGTTTGCCCGACCAGTCAATTTTCGGCAGACAACTTGTTGAAAGACAATGAGAGGTCGTTACTTTCTTATTTCAGACCTGCTGGATCTTATGGTTCAGTGAGAGCAAGTGTTTCCAGCCAGCCTACAGAATCATCAGTAAGACTGAAAACTCAGCCCATATACACCTCTAGTTATTCTCTCAAGCCATTCACGGTGAATTCCACTGCTACAAGCGGCGGTTCAGCGCATTTCAGCACACCTGCTGGCACCGGGTCAACAAGTGTCCGCGATACTTTTTCTGCCCGCGGAACTCCGAGGTAAGAACTTGTTTCGATTACGTAAAATCATGGACCTCGAGCACGTTTCAGTTTTTTTGAAAAATTAGTCGATTCTCAGTGGAGAATTTGTTGAACGACAAACGCAGAGCCATTAATTTCTTTTTCAGAACTATTGCAAGTTATGCATCAGAGAGGGTATCTGAAGCTAACCAGCCCACAAGAGAACCAAGGTAAACGCTTGATTTCAGCTATGTGCGAATCATGGAATTGGGTGGTTTGTTTTTTTAACCCCTGTTCAACGTTTGCATTTGCGCAGACATATAGACGCTACGTTTCACGCATGCGTCCTCTTCCTGCCCGGATTGGATAGAGTGAGATATCGAGCCTAAATGTCCTCTAATCCAATCAGATGCAAAACTAAAACTAATGACGACTTAGTCTCGTGTACTTTCCTGAAAAGAAATAGTTTACATTAAATTACTTTCATTTATTCCTAGCTCCTTTCCTTAGTTTTATGAACAGTTGTGATAACCTTAAAGACTACGACTTCCCCAAAATAAGCAAGTCAATCGGGAAGCACATAGCTTTTAAATTTTAAAGGAAGGAAAAAGGGGTGGGGTGGGGTGGGGCTAAAACATTTATATGTAGGTCTGGGACTTTCTTCCCTAAAAAAATCGTACATGCAGAGGCTTAGATATCACAATCCGCCATTCCTTAATATCAGAATGCCCTCCATAGCTATGCCCTTTACAATCTCAGATTAAAGTAAGTTTGGTGATCGGTATTCCAGTCGTCAAAGGACAAAGTTATTTTGAAGAAAAAACTGCCTTTAAAATAGTTTGATTTTCTGATTTGATTTCACCATGCAAGGACGTCGTCTTATACTGTACCGGCACGGACATATGTCAATACAAGGCCAACGGAAAGCAGGTCTGCCAGTTATCATTCATCTTACCCGACGAGTTCAAGCCGACCAATTACGACTTCTAGCCGACCAATCCCTTGTTATGACCAACCAGTCATGAGTTCTAGCCAACCAGAAACGAGTTCAAGCCGACCAATTACGAGTCCTAGTCGACCAATCACAAGCTATACCCGACCAGTCACCAGTTCAAGCCGACCAATCACGAGTTCTAGCCAACCAGTCACGAGTTCAACCCGAGTAGTCAGCTCTACAACTTTAACTGGCGCTCGAAATGTATCATCAGCTGATGGAAATGCCAGGTTAGTCAATACAAGTCAGGAAAAAGTCAACAGCCGAACATAGAGGAAGCTTCGACAGTATGATGCCTTTAGATATAGGAGTATCTTTCTAGCTCAAAAATTTACTAAAATTTTCCTCAACCTGAATCATCTAAGTTCCTTTTGGTACAGGACCAAGAATTTAAGATACTTTTAGACTAATTGGTCGATTCAACAGAAAAAAAAATATAAGAGGTGAGAATGAAAAAAATCACGTCGAGAGAAAATGAAATACTTAGATTAGTATTTAGCTAAAAAAATTAGTTTATTGTGTGAACTCCAGCAAGTAATAACAATCTCTAGGTGAATTTAACTGTCTCTCGGGATAGAAAATCGGAAGGAACAAGTCCGGCCCTAGGCGATCACTCCAATCTGCAATCACTTCAAAATATTTCACCGTGAAGCCCGTTGTGTTCAGAAAAACTTCAGAGGTAGTTAAAGAAAAAACATCAGGCTTTTTGTTAAAAAATCGTATCACAAATGTTCGAAGTATAAAGGTTTTTTCGTTTGACAGACGTTCAAGTCAGTGAAAGTGTTTGATGTCGCCTATTAAAGCAAACGAAACATCCCCCCTCCAGAGATTTAACTTTAACTGTAAGAAACAACTTCGGCCGCATTACGGGTACCATAAAACCGCCAATCTTCGTTGCAACAGATAGTCACGCAGTCTGGGTGTAAACAACCCGCAATGTCTAAACGGAGCGCTGTATGGAGTGTCTGGCTAAATAAATGTTTCCCCAGAGCTGAAATAAGAAGTTAAAATTGATTTTATATCAGTAAAAAAACTGATTCTGAATCAATTCGAATAAACGTAAACATTGTAAATGTATGGCACCTACTTTGAACTACGTACTTATTGCTGCATGAAATTAAAAGATGGTATTAAAGTACGCAATTGATCTACCGAGTGAGACAGCCGATAGAAACAACTCCTCATAAAAACATTTTAAGAAGACCAGCTGTGCATTAAAAATTGCTGCTGGGAAAAAATTATATTATAAAATGACAACCTCCCGTGAAGGAAACAGAAACATAAACATATCGGTATTTTGATGAACAAAACGAGACGTGAACAATTTCATCCGATTATTATAAGAACAAATTCGTTATTACGAGAACGATGACAACCTTCGCTCTCGTCCAACGCAAAAATCTGTACCGACAAACAGGGTATTCAAGGTCACAAAATTCAGAGGAGGACTTTGAAGAGCCATCGAGAGGGGAACATCTCAAAAAACTAAGGAAAAAAACGGAGAAATTGAATGAGGATGATTACGAGATACTCTACACTTCACAGATAGGTTTGGTCTTCCTAAAACCATGCGTTCGATTTTCCACCACAGTTTATTTTCATACGAAGAGTGATCAAGGATCTCCAGCACAAGACAGTAGGTGTGATTTGGACTTTTTTTCCTCATACTGAATTTCAACTCATCATTGTAACTCTTCCTTCATAAGCTTCCGGTTTGGCCGGAATGCATTTTTCACCCATTTTAAAATATTCCTTTTCTAAAATTAGGATTGTGACTTCACACCGATGTCAATTTGAATGAAATTGTGATTATTTTATGGAGTGGTGTTTTGAGACCGTCCATCGGTCTCCATGACAAAACAACTGTGTTTGGGCTCTTCATGGACTTAAATAATTATTATTAGCTCTGCGCATTTATGGATAGGCATTTGTCGGATAGTTTTATACCTGTTCATCGGTGCCAGAAGTCAAATTTAAGCTTTTGGCTGAAACGATTTGAAACTTTTTAAGAATACTTCAAATTCCTTAGAATAATGCAAACCTAGTAAACATGTTCTGTTGATGAAATCCTTTTGAAGTCCGTCGAAGCACTCGTACAGCTCTTTCTCTCGTTATAGAATAAACAAACTTAACAATCGACAGTCTTACGACCCTCGGAACTACAAAAGGATGCAAATCGAGTGGCTCCTTCGGCGAGTTACATATTTTCATTCTTGAGCTTCGTAAAATCACTGGACGAGTTCGGACTATTTTTGTGAAAAAAAAAATGTACGAATGAACAATCGACAGTATGTTATGTTGTAACTTGCGCTTGTAAATTGCAGGCTCAGTCTATGATGCACATAATTTTCGCAATCACAATAATGTTGGCTGGTTACCTGCCTGCAAATTATTATGACGACCTCTAGCCGAGGAAATAATGTCGTACAAGACGCTAACTTCTCATGCGCAACGTCTCAAGTCCCAATAAATACTTAAAATTGATAATATTTGCTCAAGAGCAAACTGTTTCTAAACAAAACAAAAAAAAAAACCGTCCCGCCCTAAGGACATGTCGGAAAGGGATAACTTAAGTAGCATATCTTAACAACCAGATTGGAAAGAGATACCATTGTTTAATTTGGGAACAAAGGGTGTGAGCCAGTCGCACATACGACATACATGATTAACCTCTACTCATGGCAATTTTCAGAGACGAGGCCGAACGAGTTCGATGTGGTAGGCTAGGCGAAGGAGTCAGCGGTCGTGCAATAGTGATCTCCGATAGAGAATTTCGCAACAACAACAAGGCCCTGACAACATCAAATCATCAAAAACATGGTACGGATAAAAATAGTTTCATTTAATTTGTTTGTTTATTTTTCACTGTGCCAAAATATTCATAGATGCGGGTAAAACCCAGTTTGTCATTCAAAACACATATGACTGTGTTTTTATTCAAACCCCAGGTAATTTCTCTCTTTGGAGGATGAATTCAAACGTTTTTAAGGTGCACTAAACAACCTGTCGGAACGATCATCAACTGATATAAACTATCATATAACAACTCTTTACTAAATAACCGTGTAGGGCAGTAAGGAATATACATTTACGTGTCCAGTGGCGAAAATGCAACCCCATTATAGTTTTTCAAGTGGTGAAAATGTAACCCCAGTATAGTCAGTCCAGTGGTGAAAATGCAGCCCCATTATAGTCAGTCCAGTGGTGAAAATGCAGCCCCATTATAGTCAGTCCAGTGGTGAAAATGCAGCCCCATTATAGTCAGTCCAGTGGTGAAAATGCAGCCCCATTATAGTCAGTCCAGTGGTGAAAATGCAGCCCCATTATAGTCAGTCCAGTGGTGAAAATGCAGCCCCATTATAGTCAGTCCAGTGGTGAAAATGCAGCCCCATTATAGTCAGTCCAGTGGTGAAAATGCAGCCCCATTATAGTCAGTCCAGTGGTGAAAATGCAGCCCCATTATAGTCAGTCCAGTGGTGAAAATGCAGCCCCATTATAGTCAGTCCAGTGGTGAAAATGCAGCCCCATTATAGTCAGTCCAGTCGTGAAAGTGCAGCCCCATCATAGTCAAGTCCAGCAGTGAAAATGCAACCCCATCTAGCGGCACATTAGTCTGTTACGAGGAAGTGCCCCTCCAGACTTTTAATTAACTTCTAAAATGTATCTTTTCAGCTGAGCAACTGACAACAAAGAATATTGACCTGCACAAGGACGAGAATCGAAGCAATCACTACACTGACAAGTACGAACACACAAACTTGATTGTGAGGAGAGGCCAGGATTTTGACGTCACTGTGATATTCAACAGGCCTTATGATGCCTCAAAAGACACAGTGACCTTACAATTTGCAGTCGGTAAGTTTAACAGATACGAAATATTTCTTCCACACAGTGAAACGTCAATAAAGCTGAATACTGAGAGCAAATCCAGTTTCAGAAAATCTCGTGGTAATGGGGTCTCAGTTTATTACTTGAAGGTCTTTGCGTGGTCGATGTGGAAAACTAATCAAACTGATCTAAATGTATAAATAAAAGGGGTAAGTTTCGGAAGAATTTGTGGCGCTGCATCGGTGGGGGAGTATAAAATGAAAATTTGGTTTTATCAGTTGAGTTGAGAATGTAAATTGGCCACTTTAAAGACTTTCTAAAACTGATGTTTTCAAGCGTTTGCCCTTCGTCAGCGCGGATGATCTAATCATAGCACACCAACTGTAAGAGAGCGGAGCTGTAATTTAAATTATTGGATCAAGTGACATCAATCACTGGTGAGCCTCAGAATGGACAAAGAGAGACTAGTACTGACTGCACAGTCAAAATGAAAAACAAAATGAAATTAAAGAAAACAAGAAGAAAAAAAAGGAACAGTAGCACACTACTTTGTTCCATAGGTACCCGAAAAGCTCAACTAATCCTGCAGACCTGCAACAAATAAAAATAAAAATTGACCAAATTCCCGAGTTCCACATTCCACTCTTCAAATCAACCATTTATTGTCGGAATAAATTCTTTTTGGTCTTTTTACTCAGAAACTTCCATTAATCCTTTAGGATATCGACCACAAGAAAGTAAAGGAACCATTATCAGGGTGCCAGTGAGTCTGACCAGAGATTATGTGTACGGCGCATGGTCAGCAAAGATTATGCAGACCAATCAAGAAAGTGTGCGCCTTCAAATAACGTCGCCAGCGGACGCCGTCGTGGGTAGATGCCACTTTTATGTGGAAACCAAGACCAGTGTACCGGGTGTAGAAAAAGAAACAGATTTTCGTTACCAGCATCCGGAAGAAATCATTATGCTGTTTAACCCATGGTGTAAAGGTGAGTACTTGAAACATATTGTTGTGTTGAATATTCGATAGTTTTTTTTCTTCCTAAATTGTTGAAAAATAAAGAAAACTTCAGATAATCTGATGAAAATATGTAAATAGATTTATAAATATATAAATACGCAGTCGCTTCAGAATTCGCATTTTTAAGAGTTCCTCAGGTAAAATTGCATCTCTTTCCTTAACCTTGAATGAAATAAAAAAAAACATAATACTGTCAATCATAATTTAACCTTATACACTCTATATGCGAAAAAAATTTGTGTAGCTCCTTCATAATAGCTTTACACGGGTTCCACAGTAAAAACGTTTCATGCAACTTTTCAATTTTCGAGGGATTTAGAGCCATCTCTGCGCTAACGAAAATTGCCAGGAACTGAACTTTGCTGTGTACCTTCAGCTGTTTGCGCACAAAAACGAAGACGTTTGCATTTTGTGGTTAATAGGTGTTTTTCTATTTTTCGCTGAGGAGCAAAATCAAACCTGAATTTCGCCGTTCGCGTTTGTTAGGGACTTGCTTCTTAGATATCCATATATATCTCATTCCCTGATTGATTAGGCCAAAGTCTGTTCTCATTTAGTGGCCATGACTGAGTTCAATTATGATTTGGATCATGTGCGCATTAAATGAAAACCCTTGTTATGTCTTCATCCCGCTTACAAGATGACACAGTGTATCTGGACCAACAAACCTCACGCGAGGAATACGTGCTGAATGACAGTGGGCTCATATGGATGGGAACCGCCAAGAGGAACCGAGGGATGCCATGGAACTTTGGCCAGGTCAGTGAATTAAGTGCGTACTGTAAGAATTAGTACAATTAGTTTTTATCGTACAAAGACTAAAAGCATGTCTTACTTCTTTAAGTGAGAAACGAATTACAAAATTGTTACTTCTCCGGATGGGAAATAAGTCTGGGAAATAAGTAAGTACTTAGACGTTTTTATTTCCTTGGTTTTTCAGTTTGAGGATGTATCATTGAACACGTGTTTGTGGCTTCTAGAACGAGGGCAGCTCGGAACAGCTGCGCGTGCAAATCCTGTCAGGGTCACCCGCTGTATCTCTGCCATGGTAAGAGTGAGTCAATTGATGAGGTGACTTTTACCTGAATTTCCAAGGAAGTCCAGTTTATGTATTTTTTAAAAAGTAATGAATTTCATTGGTCCAAATCTGTAGGCAAACTTCAATGATCAAGATGGTGGTGTTCTTTTCGGTCGCTGGGACAACGACTATCCCAAAGACACGACTGCTCCAACAGCATGGTCCGGCAGTGTCGCCATTCTGGAAAAATTTTGGCAGAAGAAGATTGTTGTCAAGTTTGCTCAGTGCTGGGTCTTTTCAGGGCTCGTTACAACATGTACGTGCTCTTTTCCACATAACAGGCAGTTATCTCATCATATCGCAATGCTCCTCGTACCGTGTGGGAAAAACATACGTGCTGTTTTCCTATGCTGTATGTTTTCAAGGCTCCAACTTTGCCAGCGTTATCTGCATGCGGCAGAATTCCAAAACTATCGTGTATTTTCTTTATTAACGACTCAAAGACTGCATTCAGTCAGCTGTGGATGATGGTGTACCATCGTAAAGAAACTCGATTTAATTAATTTTCAGTATGACATGCTCATTTGTAAAAAGTGTTCAGATTATAATTGCTATTAATGGTTGGTTGAGGAGGCGAACGATTGTAAAGCTTTGGAAATTCTTAAGAAGAATGTGTATGGAGTCCAGGACTCCAACGATGGGCGACTCTGGGTAGGGCTAATAGTGGCAGAATCGCATAGACGAACAATCTCCATCTTCTTCTCTAGACTTGTTGGGAGATGGGTTCCGAGTGTTTGCTTGTAAATGCATAATGCATATTTAGAATTTCTAAGTGTCCTTACTATTGTTTTGCCAGTGTTGAGGGCGATAGGCATACCAACGCGATCAGTAACAAACTTCGCCTCGGCGCATGACTCAGATGCCAGCATGACTGTCGACTTCCATTTTGACGAGAAAGGGAAGCCACTAAAGGATATGGACGATTCTGTTTGGTGAGAGGATATACTGTAAAATATTCCATATCGGTTCGGAGAAAAGTTCAGTAGTGCAGAAAAGCGTGGTTTACACCTCACTATAAATGTTGAATCACTATAAATGTTAAATTATTGAGTGCAGAAGAGTGTTTTCATACCACCAACTCTTGCACTAAACCCATTGCAGTAGCGTCCAACTTTTTTTCAAGCAACTATCTCGTTTTACGAATATGGTCGAATATAGTCGAGAGTTATATGAATTAAAACTACTGATAATATTAAAAGCTGCCACCCCTTTGTCTTGTATATTACGTCCCAGATCATACTGATAAACAACCCAAGATATTTGTTTCTTTGGAAGGGTACAGTAGCCCCTATAAATGGAAGAAATGCGATTGTAAATTACGACGCGTAATCTGTTTGTTAACAGGAATTTCCATGTGTGGAACGAATCATGGTTCAAGCGACCTGATTTACCAGATGGTCATGATGGATGGCAGGCGCACGATGCCACACCCCAAGAGACAAGTGAAGGTGAGAAGCTTCATTTAATCTTAGAATTCAGGAAAAGCTAAAATGTCTTTTTTCCTAATATCGGGTTTCTTTCGGTTCGGTAGAATTCTGATACCATAAACAATAGTGGAATGTGGAATAGAAGATCAATATGATCAATTCATTTTTCAAACTGGGAAAAGAAACGTGGCTTTTTGTACAGGGCTTGATGCAAAGCCGTTAAAATATACGCTCTCTTCACTATAGACGAAAATTACCGGGAACATTTATTACACAATTGAGTGGCTCAGGAAAATTACATTTCGGGGCTCTTTGATCAACCTACTATTTTTTAGAGGGAAACGCGGGACAAAAAGCTAAATGATGGGAAGCATAAAGTCCATGTAACTACGTTTTAGTCACAGGCATAATTTTTAATGTTTCTTAACCAATTTACGTTTAGGAGTGTTTCGGTGTGGCCCTGCCTCAGTGAAGGCCATCAAACAAGGTGAAGTCTATTTACCCTTCGACTCTTCCTTCGTGTTCGCTGAGGTAAATGGTGACCGCGTGTTTTGGGAAGTTGGAGAGAATGGATCCATGAAAGTGATAAGAATAGACAAGAAGTGCATTGGAAAGATGATAAGTACCAAAGCTGTTGGTAGTGATGATAGGGATGATGTCACTCACCAATATAAACATCCTGAAGGTAAAGTTCTCTAAACATATGTCATATATGGCCAAGAGGGAATGAGCCTGTTTTGGTATGGTTTTTAGCGGCTGAAGTAACATTTTTAAATTTGATGATAACGATGACGACTTGGCCCAGGTATTATTTAAAAAAATGGGAGTAAAGTCTGATTTATTAGCTTCGGAGGATTTTCTCGGGCACTCAATCATTTTTCATGGTGGGTCCGGCTGACATTTTGCCAAAATACATTCTAGGGGCTCAGAGATTCGCATAACGTGGTTTGGTTTCTGTAATCAGTATGCGCACATCATTTCCTAAGGTTTATTTTTTGTAATTAAGGGTTTCTCGATTGGAAGAGAGTAAAATGAAATAGCTAGCAGGAGATTCACTGATGTCATTACTTCGTTACCCAATTAACGAATGGAGAATTTGCGAGATGAGGCAATAGAACAAGAGAACGTTCGACTGTAAAAAAAAACTAGGTAGCATTTCATCAAATTATTAGGTAGGCAACCTATTGGTGCTGTTTTCCCCCGAACTCTTTAGCGCTAAGTTGCCGTCACCTAATTTTGACGTGCCCATTTGTAACAGGAATGACTCATTATTCTGCCGTTTACTTGAAAAGAACAATTTATTGATAAGTCATTGTTCTACCTCATTTACCATTTCAAACGTAATTTAGGTTCCGTCCAGGAGCGCAGAGCTGTGGAAATGGCATACAAGTACAGCAGCCGCAAGGATCAAGCTATTTACGGACTACCCACGGAGGACGTCAAGTTCTCATTCGAAATGCCGGATGATGTGCCCATAGGAAAGGATGTAAGTGTGTCACTGAAGATGAAAAACACCACTTACAAAAGTCGCACAGTCGGGGGAAAGATCACTGCCATGATTGGATTCTACACAGGAATTTCTTGTGAAGATTTGAAAGAGGAAGACTTTGAGATCACTTTAGACCCGTGGGAAGGTAAGTGGCGAATATATCTTTGTACTTGAATTCCTTGCTGAGACAAAAGTTTCTGTCTCCTAATCACTTTACCGGTCATTCACTCTGTTGTAGAGAGGAGCTTTGTCGTGGATATTCCTGCGGCTCTGTATCTTGACAAATGTAAAGCCGATGGAGGTTTAAAGATCTATGTCAAAGCGACAGTGAAAGAGAGTGAGCAGAGATTCGCTTCGTATGACACGATTGATTTCCAGAAACCGCACATAAACATGGAGGTATGTTAACTCCCAAATGACTTGAACCGAACCCAATTTTTTTTGGCAGTGACCGGGATATTAGGTGCACTGAAAAGTATTTAAAAAGCTTCCTAAATTTGCGGGGACGTCCTTGGGTGAGACACTAACGGTGGTAAACATGGAGACTTCTCCACTCACACTTGTACAGCCCGTCAATCTGTATGACCTTTTTCTATATGCAAGCTTGGATCGAGTTAAGCACCCTTACATATTGTAAAATAGGATGGATTCGAAGCGATCTGTGATCGACTCGTTGCATACCTATTACTGTATACATGTGCGCATGACGTTGTTATTAATATGTTTGGCCAATCATATTGCGGACAAGTATGGAAAAAATAAGAGCAAGATATAAAGGGAATTTCAGTTTGCGGCCTTAAAAAGTGCTTTAACTGGTACAATTTCTAATCGACGAGTGTTGCGAGGCAGTGCAGTAATTTTGTCTGTTTCATTTAATTATATAAATCAGGTGGCTTCCACATCTATCAGTTCGGTACTAAATCACAGAGAACGGCTTAGTTGTATTCACGGTTTTACCCCCAGGGTTATTAATTTTGAATAGTTAATGTAATTTCAAGATTATCTTATTTTGATATCCTTTCAGATCACTCGGGGCGAGGCCAGGGTAGGCCAAGACTTTGAGGTCAAGGTTTCCTTTGTAAATCCTTTGCCAGTCAGAATCAGTGGAGGAAAATGGTACATTGAGACATCGGGTGCCAACCCAAAATCTAAAGAAATTCCTAATTCGTAAGTATTCTCCGTGAAGTTCACAGCCGTACGAAAGACAATTTGTACTACTCGACACGTTTGAGCCTGTAGCGAGGTGAAGCATATTACCATCCTCTTTGACGAATTTACCATGATAAAAACCTTCCAGGCCTTGAATTCGACGCAATTGCTCTGTCACTGTGGTTGGAGCATGCTTCTTCCGATCCATTGCCATTAAAGTAGAACGTTTTAAAGACACTCTTTAGCCGACTTTACTTGCCCCGTTGCTTTGCAAAAGCCATCATTCGCTGGCCCAGGTGTCTTTTTCTAGGTGTTTTTCTTGGGATAATTTGAACCCAAGGTTGATTTTAATCGAATATCTTAAACTCTCTATAGAAATTAAAAGAGAATTGTTAAAGTTAAAAGTAAAACTATTCAGTTTTTTTTCTTTTATTTCAGTGCAATTGTGCCAGAAGGAAAAGAGGCTCAAGCAACTTTCAAACTGACGCCTTATCGCGTGGGAGTGTGCCGGGTATCTGTTACTTTCAGGGCTGACATGCTCAGTGGAGTCTATGGGATGAGTGGTGTACGCGTCAGAGAATAAACAAACCAAAACAAAAGCAAAAAGGGAAAAAAGTTGGGAACTCTACCTTATGATGTGACTCAACAAGCAAACCTGCCGCATAAGCCCGTAGGATGTCAAACATTTGAAAAGCTATTGAACTTTTTGACGATGTAAAGGGAGTTGAGACAGCTAAGTTTTTTTTATAGAACGATGCAATGTTAAAATTTTGAAAAGGAAAAGTTCAACTTTCAGTTATAGGGGGGGCAATAGGAAGATTAACAGATCAAATTATAAATGGAGTGGATTGAGAAAATCCGGCGGTAAAAGCCATAAATGTTTATGAATTTATTTCAAAATTTAAAGAAAACAGCTTATGGTTTTTGCACGTTATAGAAGCGTATTCGAACGGAAGTCAAGTATTTCTACACCAGTGTAAATAGGCGAATAAAGGAATATACACAATTTATTGGGGAAAAAGAAACTGCTCGTGTATTTGTTATTAATATTTGACGCTACCAAAGACGTTGATAAAAGATAATTTAAGGAGCTACGTGGTTATTTTTTTTTCTGGTCTAACGCAAGGTTAACTGAAAAGGTTCTCCAGTTGGGGCCGACCCCGTTGAGACTATCTTAATGCAATGCAATTGTCTGATGACTGAAAATCGAGTAGTTAAGATCACAGATTTTATGACCAGTTAAATCGATATGGCGCACTTTATTCGTGACTTTGGCAAAATTTGCAACTACCATGTTTTGTGTTCCAGGGCTAAATTCTTGATTGATCAGCGTCACTTAGTCTCAAAATTTATACCCATTGGTCACGTATCTAAAATAACTGTTTTTGGAATCGCAAAATTATTATTATTATTCTGGCTAGCAGATTAGAAGTGAAGCAGGTAAAAAGATTCATAGATAAACAAATAAATATATAGATATGAGAATAAGTTAATAAAAATAGGCAAGGGAGAAAACGGAGAAAATCTATGCATTGGCCTCTATGGCCAGGGAAGGGGAGGGGCTCAATGATGCTTTGCGCGTGGTTCAGTCTCTACCATTTTCTAATTCACTAAAAGGTAAGTTATACTTTTTATCTACAATCGGTGACAAAATTATTGACACATTGACTTTTACAACCTCCTATTACCTCAGTTATATCTCTTTTGCCCCTGTTAAGTTAACCTTTTCGCCCAATTCCCCCCAAAACAATGTTGCATCGTGATTTCGTGAGCTTTGAGCTATATACCTGCAACATTCAATGGGGGAGGGGGTGTTTTCAATGATTTAGAGCGTGGTAAAAACAGTGGTCAGTGTTCTACATATACATAAACTGTTCAAACACAATCGGCTGGCTATATAAACAAAGTTAAGCCGTTTTTTAACAAAACCGTGTCCTAAACAAACCTCAGTTTAGCTGGACCCTCTTTCTGAACATTTATTTTTGTGAAAAGCGTCAAGAAGGCAGAAAGCTAACACTGGAAAGTCATTTGTTTAATAAAATCAACCCTCTTATGGAGAAAGTCCGAGGACCAGTGATTGCGTAAAACCGTAGTTTGGGTTACACCTTGTGCAAACAACCGGCCCAATGTGTCAACTAACTTTGCGCTGATTGCAGATAGCCCTTTATCCTGTTGTTGCAATGAGATGTAGGAAGGAACACGAGACGTAGTCGAGTGTTTCTCCCTCCAGGCTCGTTTATAAGTGTGCAAGATTTTTTATCCGTAAAGGCTTTGACAGAATACTTGGTGTGCTTAGACAAAAATGACACTGCTTATGGTGAATACTTCGCATGGAAACCAGAAGTCGCCTATGCAGGCATGTTGGGGTTAAAAGATACAGCCTGTGACATATGTGATGCTCTTCACAATGAATACCTTAAACCCCAATTTTATAAAGATATTTCAAGCCTTTTTGGAACAGCGATTTTGATTGCAAAGATAAAGAGAATAGACTTTTAAAACTTATTGAGAGAGAGGAAGAGTTATCAATGTTCTGTCACGCGTGTCACGCGTCTAGCGTTACCACACAGTTTAGCATTGTAGCAAGGTATCATGGTATTGATTTTCCATGTGATTTAGGGATTGTCATTGTATTGTCGTGCTCGCTGGTGAAAACCCTTTCTCGTTTCACCGCGAAAATTTACTTCGAATAAATCTGGTTACACTGACTGATGAAGGATTTACGTCTCTTTTGTTACGGTGAGCAAACTTATCGATCAGGGTCCAAAGGATCAGAACAATCAATGTATGTCAAACATACAATAGTTTTCATAGGATAAATGTCAGTATCTGGGCAACTGCGCGCTTACCCCTCCCTTAACCCAACATTAACCCCACCTTACCATCAGTTGACTATTTTTGGGTTAAGAGTGGGGTAGGTGCGCAGTTGCGTTGATACTGACATTGATCCTAATGACTTAAAAGGTGGTACGATACAAAAAAAAACGCAATTTTTGTTGAAAATGAGTCCATTTTTTTCTCATTTGATTTCACCTCTAAAGGCTTTTGTTTAATCGTCCCAAATGTCTTTTTGCGAATAATTTGTAATAAAATAGTAATAAAATGCAATTTCTAAGGCACTGTTGTTCCGTTGCCATGGAAACGTATTTTTAAATGCGTCCTTTTAGGGCCTAAAAGTGCGATTTCTACCCAGGCCAAAGCAAACTGATTGCATCCTGAGTAATCTATTGGGAGACTGGGGCCCAACAATGACTTTCAGCCTCGTTTTGATATGTTTCGGTGAACGGCCGTTATTAACAATCATTCAGTTAGGAATTTTCGCAAGTGAGAGAGCTTCAATCATCAAATGGCGAAATTTTTGTCTCAGAGACGTAAGAAGCGTAAATTTTATGGAAATCGCTTTACAAATAGTTCAAGAATTAACGAAGAAGAGTCGATTGCTGTCGAAAGCACTTCGACTGGGATACGTGAATCCACAGATGGCATTTCACATGATCAAAGCGAAGCAAAGTAACCTTCGGCTTCGTATCGAGAGCTTCAATCAACTATATCAAAGGTCTGTTGAGCTGCACAATCTCAGGTACACTGAATTTTATGGGGATGGGGACAGCAAGAGTTTTTCCAGGATAAAGAATATTTATCAAGATGCTGGAATTTAAGTGGAAAAGAAAGAATGCATCGGTCACGTGCAGAAGAGGGTTGAAACTGCACTTCGCAAATTAAAGCGTGACAATCCAGGCCTTGGAGCCAAAGGGAAACTCACAGACAATCTAATTGATAAACTGCAGAACTATTATGGCATTGCCATAAGGTCCAATGTTGGAAATTTGGCTGGAATGAAGAAAGCTATCCATGCTAGCCTCATGCATTGTGCCTCAAGTGAGGCATGCCCACTTCATGAGCACTGCCTAACAGGTAATGTAAGTTGGTGCAAGTATCAAAAGGACAAAGCCAACCATACAAATCTCTTTAAGCATGGACCTGGCCTTTCTTTACCTGTTATTGCCAAGCTAAAGCCTGAATATATTCGACTTAGTGAGAACAACTTGCTGCAGAAGTGCTTACATGGCAAGATGCTTACATGGCAAAGGATTCCAAAAGAAATTTATGTTGGAAGAGAGACATTGGAATTAGGACTTTATGATGCTGTTTCTTATTTTAATATTGGTTCAATTAGTATAATTAAGTTTTTCCAAGCCCTTGGTATTCCTCCTGGCAAATATACCAAGGATGGGTTTCTGACTCCAAGACCAGCTTAGAATTAATATTGCACAACATAAAAGCAAAGCTACTACCAAGAAGCAATACAAAGTGATTAGGGGCCTTAAAAAATGAAAAGATGATCATAATAAGCAAACTGAAGGTGTCAGCTATGGCCTTGGTCAGTTTTGAACAGTTCAATTCTTGGAAACTGTGTTTAAGTCTTGAAAAAATCAGTTTAGAAACTTTAAACCAGTTTTCTCTCAATTTTGAATTTTGTGAAACTACCGACATGCCAACAAAGATAACTTTCCAGGGTTTTATTCAATTCTTCTCATTTTTGGAGTGAGAGATCTCTGTATATTTTTGCATGCAATGAACTAGAAACATGTACTTAGGTGCATCTTTTGTTGTTAAATGACCAAAATGAGATTGCTTATCTTATCAATTCCTGAAAGTTGTTGTGTTTTCTTTAATATTTTCCATTCTATATGACTGAGAGGTGTTTTGGTAGTTCATTGCATGCAGGTGCATCTGAAGATCATTGTCTAAAAATTTTGTGAATTTTTAATCTAATGTTTAAGAGATATGACTGTTCTTGTTCGGGTGCCTACTGGGAGGCATCATTTGCTAATTCTCAGCAGCAATAATAAAATATCAAGTCAAAAACTGCAAAAATATAGTTGTCTCCATGTGTCATTTCAGGTGACATAGATAACTTTTTGTAAAACAACATATGAAAAAATGTTGATTTTTTGAGGGTTGTACCACCGGAAGGAGAGTATGTGCCGTGGTAACGGGTACGAGAAGATTGAAATGCGATCATAGGTGAGTTGAAAAGACAAAGATTAAAACCACGCTTTTGATTATGACATCGTTATGACGTTAAGGCTTTCGCGCATTTAATTTATATCGCAATCAAAAAGTTCTCTGCACATTAATTTCGAGTGAATTTTAAATAACTCTTGATATATTTTTAACTCTTTTCAAACAATTAAAATTTTTCTTGTCTGGGAATTTTGATTTGATTAAAATTCGTTCTTTGGCAGCTAAAATAACAAGTGTTTCGGTAAATATAGTTATATCCATTTTTCATGATCCCTAAGACTGAGTGCCTAGCATCTAATCCGGAGAATATGCGTATTGATGTTCGCCTGTATAGGGTCATTATTACTTTTGATCTGCTCCAGTGATATCAGCACTTTTGAACATGTTTAAAGTAAAAAATACTGCAAATTGCTTTGGCAGGAAAAAAAGTCTTTACAATAAATATTCAAATCTGGTTTACAAGTAACAATGGTACTCTTTGCATCATCAGATTTTTTTTGTGTTACCTGTGTTCCTTTTTTTTTCGGTCAACGTTTTTTAAAAGTAATTATGTAAGAATTGTGATTTTTCATTTGTTAGTAATGTAAAGGAGGCTTTACGCGCCATCTACGTACCATTTAATTTTTTACGCCTTACCGGGCGACGGAGGTGTAACCGAGGGTGTGACTAAGAGATCATATCATATGACCTTTACCCACAATGCCTCAGTTTGTAGCCATTCTTCAAAACCATGGCCGATACTGCGAGAAGCAGGTTGGAGGTAATTAAACAACATCTATCCCCTTCGAGATTTCATCTAAAGTCACCAGAAAATTCAGAAACGGCCGCAGTGGGGGTTGAAATTGATAGTCTGGTGGTGCCAAACGATGTTTTGACCGAAGAAGAAATAGATTTCTACAACAAGAATGGCTACCTGGTTGTGCGAAATCTAGTACCCCAAGAGCTACTTGATAAGTATCTCCATCGTTTTCAACAAATTTGTAACGGGGAGGTGCGCGTGCCTAGTATGACTGTAATGAAAGATGTTACATTTGTCAAGTCGAACCGCTTATCTGGCGAGAAAACCATCAATAAACTTCAGAATTTCGAAGAGGACGAGGTCCTCTTCAGCTACTGCCAACTACCAGGGATTTTGAAGTACGTGGCATGTTTTACGGGACCTGACATCAAATCGATGCACACTATGCTAATAAACAAACCACCAGATCCTGGGACAATGACCTCACGCCACCCTCTCCATCAGGATTTGCATTACTTTCCCTTCCGTCCAGCCAATCGAATGGTATGTTCCTGGACAGCAATGGAAAGGGTCCATAGGCGGAATGGCTGTCTAATGGTACAACCGGGTACCCAGTACAGCCCGCTTCTGCAGCACTTCTACCCTGAATGGGAGGTAAGAGAAACCCATCATTGTAACATTCTGGGTAGTTATTTGTTGTTGTCTAGGTTAAAGACCACCCAAGCAAAGCACAATGTAGAGCGTCATTATGTTACGTACAGTTATAGCTGATTGTTTACTGCAGCAATGTCCATGAGTTTTATTCGTGACTGTATTGATGAGCTCATTTTGCAGTCTCTTTTCCATTGTCCCACAGTGTGTACAAAATTAAATCTTTACGGCATGATTAAACAGAAAGTTGAAATTTAAAATCTCAACAGAAAATCACAGAAAATGTTCCATGTATGCCAAGTCCCTTTTACATTCACATGGACCAGTGTTTTCAAAGAAGAAAGTGGTATCAATTTCTTATCTCGGACTTCAGAGTTCTCCTTTTCACTAGGTGGTAACCGGTAACATTTACTGCCTGTAGCACCCCTTATTACCGTTTAAAATTGCCTGAAATTCTTGAAATTCAACAGGTAAAAGGATTGCTTTACCAGTTTCAAAATTTATTTCACCTGTCATGCTTAAAATAAGGGAGAACACTGAACTTACAAAAAAAACTAATGATGGGGCAATTTTAATACCAAATTAAGCAAGAATTCTAAAAACACTGATGTTTTCTAGGGAGGAGTCAATGTAATGTATCATGGAATAAAAGATTATGATCCCAGCATTCCATTGGTACACTTGGAGATGAATGCAGGGGACACAGTTTTCTTTCATCCTCTTCTTATCCATGGCTCAGGAGCAAACCAAACAAATGGATTCAGGAAGGTATGTTGTTTCTCTTTATACTGCGTGCATATTTTGGTAAAACAGTTTCTAGTGAGGCCCTAAACTAATATAAAAATGAGAAAAAAAAGGTTAAATCAAGTTTCTGAGCTTTTTCTGATTTACAACATTATCAAGAATCCCTGAGAATGCCATGGATTGGCAAAAGCTGAGAGACTTTCCATATTTAAGGATATGGCAGACCCTTGTGGGTGTCCTTTGTGAAAAAAATTTTGATAGGCTATTTGAAACATAACCCCTATAAACTATATATCAGTGGAAAGGTTATTAAGTGCCCTATTTGGTAAAAGCTGTTTCGTTTTAGTTTGATCTAATAGTAAACTGAATGAGGTGCAACAATTTAATATGGAAGACTTTCTTTGAGCAAATCAATTGCATATCAAATCTGACTGCAGAAATAAAACTTCATGCACAATTCCAATCCTGAAGAGTTGGTTTTCAAGACCATATATGGGTTTTTCAATATTCTGATTGGTTGCTTTACAATTCATCTATCAAGTCTGCTGATCAAAATTTAGGGAGATCCATTTTAAAAAACAGAATTCTCCCAGGTGGTTCTTTAGGTTGGTATCGTGGGAGTCTTTGAACCAAATTTCAAAGCAATCTGTCAAGTTAAATACTCTATAAATTTGTTCAGAGAAGCCACATTCACCTTAAAACAAAGTTCTGATATTTTGCTTCGAAAGTTTTGCCAACATTTCACATCTTTGGGTGACCACATGTCAAGTTATGTCAACACTCTGAAAACTATTTCATAGTTTGACATGGAAATAATTTAAAAATATTGGCCCTGAATGTCATCAATATCCTTAACTTGTTGTTGATTTTTGTAGTAGTTTTATTGAGGCCTCAATAGAAACTATTTTACCATTTTGAAATACAAGTTGCACTACTGAAAGACAACATGATACAATCACTTACATTTTTGTTTGCAGTTATTTGTTTATTTATTTGTTAGAGAATATTGGAGTTAACCCTTTCACTTGCAGGAGTGATCAAAACTTGATTTTTGTTTAGATTAACATTAGATTTTAAGCAGAAAGGCGGTTAAAAGTATCACCAAAGTTCTCTGTGTTTGAAGTTATAAGAAATGTATTGCAAACACTGTTGAGAATAGACATTCAGATCTGGGGAGTGGAAGGATCAACTGTTAGGGTTAAAGTTAATTGTTATCCATTGTTAAGCTCATCAAGATAGCATCATGAATCCCACTTTTTTTAAAGGTTGAGATGTTTAGTGTCGTACATGTAACTTTGTTGGGACATTGTATTGTGTTTTTGGGTCGGGCATCTACATCCCAAAGTGCTCCCCTCCACTCTGGAGTATAAATGGGTACTGATGAACTGTCAGGAAGATCTGAAAAAATCCTGGATATAGATGGGTGATGTTGCAGGGGACTGGTTTCCCATCCAGGGAGAGAAGCAATATTGCTAATCATTTCATGATAAAGAAATTGGGACTAGCTCTGGCTAGATGGACCACTTAGCCATCATTTGCACAAGAATATCAACTATATGTTTCTCCTCTTTACAAAATCGGAATTGGCCATAGTTTTGAATATCTTTCCTCCTATGGAGGACACGACTTAGATATCAGTAATTGATGTTACCCTTGTTAAATAAAGTTTATTTTTATTATTATTATTATTAAGAGTACAGACTTAACTTTCACTTTTTAAATTTTTATTTAAGGCTATATCAGGGCACTTTGCCAGCTCACACTGCTATTATATTGATGTCAAGGGAACAATTCAAGAGGGCATCGAGGCTGAATCCTTAGAAATTGTACATAAGAAGTTTGGTGCAGATATTGATTTGTCTTTTGAGGTATGAGAGAAAATATTTAATGTCTTGTTTATTATTATTTTTATGGTACTCTGGGTCAGATGTCACCACAATGATCTCAAAAATAGTGTAATTAATATCATAATTAATTCTTTTTTCTTGCAGGACATTTGGAGGTTGAAAAGTCGCCTTGTACAAGGCAATGAGGGAACCCTGTGACATGCGTTAAACTCCATTGGTGTTGCTGGGTTACATTTCTTAGTATGCACACTGTAAGGCCCTTGGGCTATTACTTTGCACCACTGGTATGCAATGTGCATGCAATGTGCTGTTCAAGGCATGAAGTGAATAATGATCAGGACAAATCAATCCAACAGTCATGGTTGCAACCATTGTAGAGATACTGGTCGAGGGAAATGAGTATTTTCTGAATAATCAAAGGAGAGAAAAAGTCAGATTTAGACAGAATCACTCTGGTATCTTTTCTCAAATTTACTTTTGATGAAAATGGCATTGAATAAGAATGTCTGAAAAAATGTTGACATACCTTGCAGGCTGGTATTGTAAAAATCAAATCTTTAACCCTTTAACCCCTTAGTGTGTCTGGCTTCTAATTTCTCCTTAGATTATCATCCTTGAATCAAATGTAAAGGTCATGAGAGTAAAGGAAATGATCACTGATTTAAGAAGCTCTTGATTGTTAAACAAGTTCTCCTCGTCAGTATTATAGGAAGACTGAATGGAGGGGGAGAGGGGGGGGGGGGGGGCTCAGAGCAAATTTAGTAATTGGTTGGGCAGAAGTGAGGAGAAGACGAGATGATTTCCTTTCTCAAGTTAAGTTTGGTCAAGGGGAGGAACAGTGGTACGTTTTCGCATTTTATTTCTCAGTAAACTCAGGGTTTAACCTGGGCAGTTACACTGTGGAAAACTTACTATATCATTCATTGACTTGTGGTAATGCAATAATTCAAATAAAAGTGGGCTATGAGCAGGGATGTCTCCAGAGGAATACCTTTTATTGGGATTAAGATGATGCGAGCTGCTGACTTAGAAGAGAGACCTACAATTGGAGAGGCATATGTTAAAGACAATTTATTTTTTATTTTTTGGCGATAAATTTTTGTTTGTCCCAAGCTCATCACGAGACGAATTACTCTAACTTCCAATACTCAGCGCAAATTTAGCATCTTTCGTATTCCAAACACTAACAACTAAGGGAAATGTTCAATTTCCAAGCGGTAATTGATTTAAAGATTGCATGTAATACTGGTAAAACCCACAAGGACCCAGAAACAACGTCTGTACGGAGTATTAACCGTTTTAAAGGATGATGGAAGAAAATCAATCGGAAGGTGATTAAAAAAGGAAAAAATATAAGAAAAGGGCTTTTGTAGGCAGAATTTATCGGTCAAATTTATTAAGTGTCACATCAAGTTGAAAAAGGCTTCACAAATCATAAATCATTCAGTATATTCAAAATATATAATTCACATTTTGAGGATAATTGATTAATTCGTTTGCAATCATCATGTTCAACACCGTTGTCTCCAATCTTTACTTCTTCCTTGCATCTGTAAGTGGTTGAAAAAAAAAAACCAGCAAAGAGGTGATAAGCAAGAAATTCATGATTTAGGAATCCTTTCCATGTTAACAACAAGATCTGCTTTGCTTGTGTCGGTTTTGAAATCACCTTATGTACATTTGTTCTGGAGGAAATCTGGGGTGTTCGTGCTTACCACCAGCAAAGTTGTGCGTCGAGAATTACTACAATGATCTTTGAACTCTCCAATGCTAATTATCGTAGTTCTCTGAACGGGTCAACCTCCAGAATTAAACATAATATCTCGGACTTAGCTACCGAAGCAAATATGAGGTCGCATGCTATCTTTTCTTCAATGTAAAATTGCATTCAATTTGAAAGATTCGACTTAAGTGAGAAAGGAAAAGTGACTTTCTATCTTCTAATTTCAGGCCCTTGATGGAATACCATTAAAATGGAAAGAACCAAAATAAGAAAGTTTTGGTTAGAGAGCATTAAGATAAATTAAATCTATCAAAAAACACTTTTAATGACGAACTGACCTACAGCTGGATTTTCTGAGTCTCTTGTGAATTCAGGGACATCTTCGGCTCCAGATGCTAGTTTCAGCTCCTCATCAAAAGCTGCTAATTCGTCTTCATCCATTTCTGTGGCCTCTGGTTTTCTCTGCGCCTGGGAGGCAATCACGAAAGCCATCAAAAAGCAGAACACAACAAAGGTCCTCATGTCTGTAGCTCTTCGCTAGTTTCTTGTCAACCTTTGCTGCCCGATTCGCGCGGATAAAATTTGCTAGTAATGAATAAGGCTTCCTTTCTCTTCTTTTATACTCAAGCACTCAAATTAAATTGTTTTTTATTATCAACAGAAAGGACACTTGTCATATGTTTACTCCTTAGAATTGTCCTTAATTAAAATTGGTCCTCTAACTGGCTTAGTTGATTTAAAAACAGCCGTGGAATGTGATCAATTTATACAGCTGCACGCAAAATAAGTTGAAAGAGAAGGTCTTTTGAGTTTCGTGAAGGTTTCGTCGTCATTAGAGTTTGACGGAGATTTCGAAACACATGGCAAAGTTACAAGTTTTGGAGGTTTCCGACTCTGCTCGTTGGAACAAACCTATTCTGGCCAGGTTATAACGCGGTCCATTTTAGTTATATCCCAACACATAAACAGTCGGAATAGTAAGAATAAATAGTAACCATCTTTGTTAAATTAAATAGATATCTGTGTATATCTTCTAATATTGCTAAAAAATTTCTAAAATTTCCAAAATTAAAAAAAAATCGTATTTAAATTGAAATTCTGCCCGCTTTCTATCACAATTTTGAGGGCTATTTCGAAATTGTTCTCCTTAGATCTAATCTAATCCCATTCATTTGTTGGTTTGTTAACTGTTACCTCTCTTTTTTTATTCCATATTGCCATCTGCATTCATTGCTCTTATACTAAAAAGTGTTTTTCAAATGTTTGATCAGCAATTATTTGCCGGCAGAAAACGAATAAAGCCTTCTCAATGTCGATTATGTGTTTTCAATACAACAAATAAAGCGTTTTGGAACATATGAGTTCAAGTTAAATTTAATTCAAGTCAAAAACCGAGTTTAATTTTGGATAATTACGGTGGTTGCTTTTTAAAAGGGTGGATACGCCTTAATTAATACATAACAGAAGATACCATCTTTACACTTTATATAGGTTTTACTGCCATGAGAAGAATTTCCTCTGAATCCATTCTCGCGTTATTTCTGGACGGAATTGTTCAGTACTTAGGTTTCGGCCTGGTACTGCTACTGAGACTCCATAGGGTAGGCTAACGCATGGATACTGCTAGTGCTGTCATTTTGTAGTGAAAAGGAACGTTTGATTCATTGGTCTTTTAACTCAATCAAACGTCACAGATACCATCACCAGTGGCCTCGTTGATTAACAAGCTTTGATGATTCAAAGAGAACTTTTCGTTTTTTTGTTCACAAGTTTGTTTTGTTTAAAGAAGTTTATGAGATTTGGCAACCCTCATAAATCAGACATTTAATTTAATAAAAAGTCTATTTGATAACAAAATGAATGAAAGAACCAATTAAATAAAAAAATAATAATTCTAATTCCTTTATCTGCATGAAAAAAAAAACGCTTTGTAAAAGATGACGCGATGCAACAGGGCCTACGTAAAGAAAACTTACGTGAATTAGAGGATTTTAACAAGCCTTTGCGCCCCTCGATCTCCTATGGGTTTTTACGGGTTAGGTGTGAAATGGAAGGTATCACAAGTAGAAGAAAAAAACGGTTTTCTGTCATTGGACATTGGTCAACTTTATAACGAAAAGGGAACAATATTTATTATTGAATAAGTTTCTTTGGGTGTTAATTTAACAATTTAGCGAAATTGATTTTCTGCCAACTAATTGGAGTAAATAAAGACCCGAAGGTGGATGTCAATGTTTAGTTTTAACCGAGACGAGTTCAAACAAAAACCGAGAATATTAAAGAAAAGCGTTATACGAGTCTAGTTGGTTGGGAAATAACGTAATTCTTGCCACGTTTCATTTGACTCTTGTAAAGTGGCATTACTAGATGGGAATGAGAAGAAAAGACTTGGTATAAAAGTCTAATTTCATTTTTCTTCGACATTGAAGAGATAACCAGATTTGTACAGAAAAGCGAGCCAAGTTTTATACTGTACTAGATTCATTTACTATTATCCCAGGGGTGGCGCTAATCGGTCTTCGAACAATTGGGCATAGATCTCGAACTCGGACACTTCTACCTGGGGTCCAGCGCTAGCTTAACTAGCAAGCGGCCAACGTGTCTTCCAGTTGGAGTTGAGAAATTGCCCTTTGTATGGTGGAATAACCAGACATTAACCGAGACAGATTTATAACCAACAAGAATTTATTTTAGGTTTAATGGAACTCCTAAAATAGCCAGAAAAACTTGTGGATTCAGTCTATCTTGATAGTATTTGAACAGCTCTTTCCCTTATCTGTCTCAATCGACATGACTCTCTCAAACAGACCAAAGAAAGTTTGGTAAGTTGTTGAAACAATTACGAATAACGCTCCTTGTCAGGACGAAATTGCATATGTTAAAGAAGAGCAAAAAAAAAAAAAAAAACGCGACTACTCTCAGTCACTCGCTCATCCTGAGAGCCGTTGAGAAGTCCACCTTAAAAATTACGAAATAATGGTAAAGTGTTTCACCTGGTTGAAATATTTTGCATGTACTGCTTATAAAAAGTTCATCATTTCTGTGTGAAAATCATTTGTTGAATCAGGAAATATCAAACTCTCTGAAAGTTTACGTTGGCATGGGTAGACTTGGTTGACTTCCAAAACAAATTAATCAGAGCGTTTTAACCCGCTAAACCGACAGAGCAACTGGTAGAGCTGCACTTGACTTCCACTTCCCGTTTGTTCCTTGGCACCGCACAGTAACTAAGGAGCACGTGGAAATCCCACAACTCCATGCACGCCGACCAAGAAGAGGCACCTCGCGACGACACAGAACCTCACTTTTCTTTCCAGTTTCCTGCACATCAAGAAAAACCCCTCGCGTAAATGAGTGATGTGGAAAGCTAAACTTAATAGCAAGAGGATGTTTTCTTCATGCAAAACAACTTTCCCTGAACTAATATACAGGCAGTTATTTAACGCCTAAGAAGGACGGCTACCAATCATTTCTGAGAAGTTAAACGGTTCAAAAGGGTGCGCTCTGTTTGTCTTTGTGCCACGTGCAGGCAACGAGCCATGAAGACGAAGAAGAATTTTGATTATTCGATTGATATAAATATTTAAATGTAGAATTTCTAAACTTCAAAACAATTTAGAAAAATGGGAATTGAATTGATAAATGCTGAGAAGAAATTCAATTTTAAAGAGCGTAGCTCTCTCCACTTGAAAACCAATCAATAAATATAATTGACCTCTAATTCCCCGTCGATAAAACACAATTTGAAACGTTTTAAATACAAAGAATTGAGATTCAAAATGTGTAAAAAAAATACATAATTACAAATTGGAACAATTAAATTATTAAAATAGATCGACATAAACAGTTAAATTTCAAATTTTGTGGGCAGTCTCTTGCATTATCACATTTCTTTCCTCTCCTGCCTTGTCGTATTTACACACAAGTCAGTTATTCCGCTTTGAGGATTTTGTTGTTTTTGTGCTTGGTGTGTTGCAAGCTGGAACCAGAGCTAGAGGGAGCCTGAAGGGTTACTCCAAGCAGTGGAAGCACAATCTTGGTTAAAAGTATTTTGAGAATGAAGATAATGAGCCTGAAAAGAATAATGGTAAAAAAGTATATTACGTACTTGGTTGTCACAGGTGGGAGACAAAAAAATGTTTGATTCCCCTTGAAGAATCGAGCTTCAGGCCTTTGGATTTCGCGCTTCGTGGCTCTAGCCCGAGCTAAAGAGAACTCTATTGAGAGTTTCGCCATTAACGAGAAGAATGACCATGGCTCTAGATCTGATTTGGCACTTGCCAGCTACGTGTGGAAACTACTCGAAAGTTGGGTAGAGACGTTCAGTACATTCATAAACTCTTGTGAATTATTGGCCAGTTTATGCCAACACGGGACCTATCTCCAACTTTAACAGTTAATTTTGAGAATTTTCGTTGCCGTTCGCACTTTCGATTGGGTACCGCTCCATTTATCTCTCGTATCCCTCAATATCCAACGCAAAGCTAAGAGGCCTTGAGGTCTGTTCTCGATCCTAACTAATTGCCGGATCACATTCCGGTTTCTGTAGCATGAAGCGACTAGCAGTTCTGCAAGCCCAAGGATGGGATGCGAACCCATCGCAAACTCCCCCCTCCCCTCCCCGCTTCTAAAGGTTTGTCACGTTTTCTTGATAGTTGGCCCGGCGGTATTCATTTATTCTCCCGGGTGAAGAAAGCTTCCTAACTCCTGATTAACACAACACAGTGATCTTGCCAAGGCTCAGACTCAGACCTTTAAACCAGTATTTTGGCGCGCGAAACATTAGGTTAGAGTCTCCCTTGACAGCCAGAGTTAGATTCTCCCCGATTTTTCAACCCTCCTTACCCTTGTTGTCACGATCTCTAACCTTTTCATCCCCCGGCAAGGTGATCCCTCTCGAGAGACCTTAGATGAACCCCTTAAGAGTGAAGGTTCCGAAAAAGTGGCTTTCACCACTACTTTTTATCATTACTATGTGTAGCAGTTACCTACATCATTAAAGAGAGTCATTCACAACTGCACTGCATAAGTCTCAAAAACGATACCTTGAGAGTCCCACAAAGATAATCGTGAGTATACAAATGGCTATTGCGTAAAATAAATTTTTCTTGACGACTGGAGGGTCTTCTAATTTCTGTGGACAGTGGCTAGCATCTCTCACCTGTATTAGGAAGAAGAAGAAAAAAATAACCTCCCTTTCAAAGTTGCATGAATTTTAACAATAAACAGAAGAAAGGAGAGATGGTAAACTTTGAGCTCCGCCGTCGCATAATGACAGATTTCAGCGAAAATTCGAAGGTTTGAAGTTCAATTGCTCGTTAGGGATGATGATGTTGCTAAGAACTGCCGTGACTTCGATCATCGCCTCGCTCTCCTTTTGCAGCTATGAACACGAAGCCCATAGTTAAAAACGAAGAAGAATAAATAGCTGGTGAATGAATGAATGAATCAATAAAAAGATGTAAATAACGAAAAAAAGCTAGACCAACAAATAACCAAGGATATCATCAGACAGTAAACTAATTGAAGCATGTAAATCAGTGCCTACCCTCTCTAAATGACCTAAAGATACAGTTTGCTTGAGATAGCTTCCAGTTTCTCCACGTACTTCTACTGTAACAGAGATCTGAAAAAGACGAGAGAAAACATTTTGCAGGTTCTGCTGTTAACCAGTCATCGTTCGAGACCTTCTGCTGGTACGGACTAAACGGGGCCATGAAAAAACAATTTTGTTCCTCTCCTTCCCTGTCTACGTAAGCAAGATCACAAACACTGTTATCTAAATTTCTTCTGCAGCAAAAATAACGAATGTAATTATAAATCAACAAAAAACTATTCCATAACATAGTTTGAATGTATTGCTCACGGTTGTGATAGTATTGGTTCCATTGTAAAGAGATGAAAGTCAGGCCACAATACACTCGAGGATTCAGTCAGTGGTTTGTTATGAAAAATGGAATACTGTTCAAATTTCTTAGGCAACAAGAGTTATCCATAATAGTAAATGTCATCATGAAAGCACCATTGATGATTTTTTTCGTTTGCTTAGGGCTACAGCTGTTTTAGGCTCAATAAAACTCGTAAAGGACTGTCACTGAATCACAACACCACACATTACTTACTGGTTGATCGTTCCAGTGGACGGTTATTAAACCGTAATTTAGTTCAGTTATAAACGGATGGGTACGTTTAGAGGATGTTAAAACGTTCCTATAGGAAAAAAAGGAATAAAAATAACGAAATTATTCTACAGACAAACAAAACTGGACTTGAATTAACCTCACTGACTTCGCAAGCTCGCGACAGAAACTAAAATATAGTTTTACTCAATTGTAAAGTAAATTCTATTTCATTTTCAAGCCACGTACCTGGAAGGAATTTTTACCTTTGTTCAAAACATTTAGTAAATTTTAAACTGAGTACTCAAACGTTACATGCAACCCACCCTAACTATAACTGTATTTTCAACCAAAAGAGAAAAAGGGAAAAGAAAGCTTTGTAGCCGAAACTACAAAAAACCTGCAGATGGGATGATCTTTAAAACGCCACAATTTGCTTAGGAAAAAGTTCCGAAACCGTATTAGTAACGAATAAATAAAGTGTTCACCACTTTTACTATTTTGTCCTGAAAAGTGGGGAGCGAGAATCTAAAACATACAGGTAATTTTTTTAAAAAAAGCTTAACAACGGATGGTATTGACATGAGATTTTTCCGTTCATGAGATATGTTCATTATATTTTACTCTAAATTGGTTAGACACTAAAATGTCTTACGCTAGCTTATCCAGTTTTATTCTACTAGGTCCGCCCAAAATCTGTATCAATAGGAAATCCTCTTTTTCAACACCGCATTTCCATGTGTAATATATTTTCTGGGCCGAGAATGACTCTTTTGGGGAAACTTAATTACCCATCCCGGTCATTCCGTGTTACACACAAAGAAAAGGAGAAAGTTAGGGAAAGGGTAACGCAAGAAAAGAAAAATAACATTTGCGTTGGCCGGGAATCGAACCCGGGTCAACTGCTTGGAAGGCAGCTATGCTCACCACTATACCACCAACGCTTCCATGTAAAATTTATGAAAAATGAAGATACAAATTGCTCGTGGCAGGTACCAAATAAGACCGTTAAGAGCCTAGATCATAAAAATTAACCGTCACTCGAACAGGTTACAAGCTTTAGTTAGCTCTATGAGATAGAAATAAGCAGTATAAACGTGGGTCTTTTTTGAAATAGCTGTATCGAGATTCAAACAATGAACGTTTGTCTTGAAACAAATTTGTATTTCGTGACTCCCCGAACACATGAGACATCGTCTGGTATCAAATCTCGACAAGAAGAGGACTTCATTGTACTTTCTGATATCAGTCGGTACAAATGTTCCCTTGTTCAACCTTCAACGAGTCTTTGAACTGGCGCATGATGATCAACTCTCTATTTCAAGAATTCGACGATTATTAACTCATCTTGGCAGTCGCGTATTACAATTGCAAAATTCTCCAATTCTTGCTTGTTAGTAAAACCAACAAACAGCGGGTTTCTTTGGTTTAAAGCGTGAGGTCATCAAGGGTTCAGAGGAGGATTATAAAGACCGCAAAATCCCAGTGTTTTTAGGATTGCGAGGAAGTGTCACACGAAACAAGTTCTGTTGATTCTCGACTTCTCCTGATTATTCCATCCATATTTAGAGCCTATTAATTGCAATAAGTCAGACAAAGAGAGGGGGAATTCAAAATACCCTTTTCAGCGATTTCAACGTTTAGATGGGTCTAGAGCAGGAATATAATTTTCATCTACAAATTTATTCGCTTAAAACCGGCGGGAATTTTATGTTAATTGGAGATGCTGACTTAAGGGTTGGAAGAAGAAAAAGTTGCCTTATATACTCACTCTAAAAGCCAGCGGCACGTGGCTTTCGACATCCAAGATACACAGGTGGCTGTGAGTCCGCTGGAAGTAACCTCATAGAGAGGATAACCTGAAAGGGAAAAATGCAATAATCAGATAGAGATATGTCTTATGAAGAGTGTTTATTTTAAAATGATCAAAATTTTCTTTGAACTTATGTCTATTCATTAAAAAGCTCCAGATGCTGAAAGTATAGAAAAAACCTCTAATTGTAAGCAGCTTTCACCTTTTAACCAGGAGAATATAAGAAACTATGAATGCGCTATGCTGAATTATCAAATTAATAGAGTCACAGTTCCTTTTCATCGCTTGCTTTTTTGAAAAATGTTCGGAGCACCTGACATCTGATGGCAGCAAGCAACCTCAACAAGGACATTATTTTGTTTTCACGAATTGGAAAGATACAGTTATCCTTTTTGAGAAACGGTTGGCTTTCCGTAGGAAAAACGGATTGAAAACAGACTTTTAACTTACCCGTGCTTGTGCTATTGAGACAAGAGAATTCTCCAAAGTGGACATCTCCACTAATGAGAATCACCTGTAATAAGAAAGAGGATCAGAAGACTCAGATTCCAAGGTAAATTAATAAAACACAAGAGGAAAATACCTCAAGAAAGAAAAAATGGTCTGGTCTACATAAGATAGTGATCTACGTCATGCTCTTTAAGGTTGTTTTGAGGATCGTTGAAAATTGCCGCTTATTGTAGAGAAACCTTTGCATACACTGTAATTGTTTGCCACTATTTCTGTTGTGCTTTAGCATCTTGTAATGAGCTGAAGCTGAGATCTAAATGAATGAGCTCTCTTTGTCACTGCCCAGATACATTCACTGCTGCACAGAAATTATGGCCCGCACCAAATTCAACTCGAGCCGCAAAATTCTTAAAACAAGCTTGCAGTAGCGTTCGCAGTTATTTCATAATGAACTTGGCCACATGTGTTTCCTGTTGTTTCACTCGTGTTGTGAACTAACTGCAGTACATCACTGTATAAACACTGTCCCTCATTGATAAAGAAGTCCCTGAACACTTACGAAAACTTTTTTTTTTCAAGCTAAAGATTCCTACCCTTGGATTCCTTTGTACAAGCCAAATCAAACGATCATAGCTTGACGGGCAACCGGTCCATCTGTCTGTATAAGGAACGTCAGAAATAACCTGTACAAGAGAGTTACATGAAAAATCATTGAGGGCAATAGAGGCAGTGTGGCAGTCAGTGAGTTAGGGCGCTGGGCTAGTAATCTGGTCGTCCCGAGTTCAAGCCTTCCATCCTGATTCTCACTGCATTTGTCCTCAGTTGCCCCCAGTGCAACTCCTTGACTGCACTTTTTATATATAGCCAACTGATCTGTCTCCTTCCAGTTGGGATTTTTAAATACCATATTTTTCTCTACCATAAATTAGCTATATGTTCTTAGCTACTCTGGAAATTTGACATAAAATATGGTCCTGGTAACTTTGCTTTTGTTTTTGTTCTTTTGGTGCAAGGTGGGACAAATAAGGACAAAACCTTGTGTCCTTTCTGCTGCTTTGCAAACAAAAAATTTGTAGTGACTTTGAGTAAATGATGGTGGCTTTGGTAATGATTAAATAATCATTTAATAAACTAAAAAATAAATATCAGAAATTCAACAGTTTTTTCACCTGTATTCCACTGCCAATGATAGTAAGTCCAGCTGGGTTTGGATCACTAAGTTGGGTCTCCAGCCATGACCACTGCTCTGCTCCTAAAATATCACACTCTGGGCCCCATTTAAGATGCGAACGAGTGTCAAGAAGAATAAGCTAAAAACAGAAGAGAGCAAGGCCTGCATATAAATTGTACATGTATTTTTCAGTCCTCAAGGACCAAGAGAAATACACAGCTTGTCAGGATGTGCACCTCAAAAACTTAACCTCTATCCTCTTGTTGTGGAAAACATGTTTGAGCATGGGTTTAATTTAATGGCAGAGTTACATGTACATTGTTTCAGATCATGAAAAAGGAGATTTTTCTTTTGCTTTTGTAATTCATTCATATCTAATTTATTCTTATCATCAATTTATTCTTGGCTCGTTTAAATTTCAAGATCTTACAAAAAGGTGGACAAACTCCCTTTTATTTTAATCACCCTTTTAAAGAAAGTGTAAGAGCTATCTCCCCCAAATGAAAAATGGGTCTTCATCCAATTTTAGAACTTTGAGTCACAATCAAATTGCATTCCCAAATTTCTGTAGAGATTTAGGCTTTTTTCATGTTAAAGGTTACCTTTATTTTCAAGAAAACAAATTCTTATCATTTTATTGTCAACATGCATTACTGCTGCTGAGTTGCACCCTGGCCTCAGACTCGCTTCTAATTGTTAATGAAACAGTTTGTAATCAAATTTCTAAACAAAGACATGTCAATCTGTTAAAAATGGTTTTACTGGGTACCGTAAGAAGGTTATTCTAACCTTGATGCTCTTATCTCCAGTACCAAAGCTGTATGATACATAAGTGCCTTCTCGCTTGCGTCGTATGCTTTCAGCAGGCTCATCCAGAAAATCTAAATAAACACCTTGTGCTTGAAGACGATCTTTGTAATGCTGAAAAGATAAATTTATCATAATTAATTCATTAACTATTTCTTTGCTTGCCAGACACTCCTCTGTGTAAAAGGTTAAGTTGAACCATACTGCCATTTTATTCTGCTTTTCAAAGCATTCATTGACTGGGAGTATTATTATTCTCTCAATCCTTTTATACATGTATATCTGTTTTAAAAACCAAACATGCAAATAAAATGTAATGATAAATAACCAACCTTTCCTCCATTGTTCATTCCATAGTCATGGTCATCCCACACACCCAAAACCTTAATACCACTTCTGAGGAATTCCTATAAAGTTATTTATCAATAAACAACATTAACCCCTCACATCCTATTATCAATATGCATATTCTCCGTGTTGTTCTCTGTACATTTCCTAAGGTGCTGACAAAGAGAATTTGTTTAACAATCGACAGCTTCTTTGGTTGGTGATGAATGTGGAACTCAGGAGAGATATTGTAAGGAGAACCAAGATGCTAGTCACTTTTAACCCTTTCACTCCCAAGATCTAATTAGTAATTCTCCTTACTATCTGCTGTATGATTCTTATGATGTTAGTTCAGAGAATTTGGTATTAGATCAACTAATAATCTCATAATTGATATTCTTCCCTATTCTCATCACCTGCCTGCTTGATATTGTATTGATATTGTCAGGAGAAATTCTGTCTTGGTCACTTGTGGGAGTGAAAGTGTTAAAGGTCAAAGGGTGTTCAAATTCTAGATACTGTAAGCATACTATTGATCATAACAGCTTTTGGCTGTATGTTGTTCACTAGAAACAACAGCAATACAATATCCAACGACACATATCAAGAAGACAAAAATGCATGTGTCACACCTGATATTCTGACGAGAACTTTAGGTAATTAAATTTTTCCACCATTTCACTGAGAGGAGATGGAGTCCAAAGAAGTGGTGCTACTTTGGTATCAGCATACACAGCTACAAAAAAAAACACAATTAAATATTAATTAATTTCAAATTGAAGAAGCTTCAATATGATTTTAGCAGATTGCTTGTAATGCACATTATGTAACATGATCTCATTTTTTACTATCAATAATTTAAATATCTGAAAAGGTATGTCAAATTATGTTCTCTAAATGTGTTATTCACCATGTGAATATTGAATTGAAGTGAAAGTTGCTGAATCCTCTTTTGTACATTTTAACCCTTAAACTCCCAGAAGTGACCAACATTTAACTTCTCCCTATAATATGCATACATTTTTCAGCTAACAGACTATAGGAATACTCAAACTTATCAGGTAGAAGTTGTTATCTTGATCTAACACAAAATTCTCATTATTAAAGAGGAGAGTTAAAATCCGATCTTGGGAGTTAACATGTTAAAGTATTTCAAAGCAGCCTTCCCCAAAGGTAGTGTGTGTTTGAGGATAATAATCATTTAAAATTGTCCCAGATCATTAATCATTGATGAATATTACAAAAATATATACATGTTCCAAGTTCTGAGTTTTTTTCTTTTTTTTTTTTGCTCTGATGGAGTGATTTGACTTGTGCTGTGCATTTACATGGGTTAGCATTTAGTGGATTAAACTTGTTATTACTATTATTATTATTATTATCATTATTATTTTCAAATAATTGTTTTGAAGTCCTACATACCGTCTCCAAGCCAAACCCATACATCTGGTTGTTGACTTGATATATGTTTCCAAAGTGGTTGAGGCTTCTTGGGGAAACTGAAATGTACAGCGTACAATAATAATGCAATTAGAAAGATTAAAAAAACACACACACGCACAATTACGTCCCTGAGGTATAAAAGAATCGATGTATTATTGCCCGAGTTGAATACATGATGAAGACACTTCCCTAGTGTAGATTTCTGACGCTCATCATGTACACTTTTTTCATTGTAGCAAGAAAATTGCTTATACTTCTAGCCATTTTAAATACACTTCCGATGTAGTATAGTACACATATGACTTCGTTGAACAGAAGAATCGCGAAATAGGCGAAAATATTGAGGGAAAAGTAGCAAAGCGGTGACGCCATTTTATACGTTCTTGCCTTTACCTGCAACTTCCGAACGCGATGCGATTAATTGTTGTTTCATCGTAGAAATCTGCCACTATACTATCTTCGCCACTAGAATTTACAAGAGGAAAATATCTTGCACTGGCAATAATTAACAATGAAACTATAACTCTAAGTAACTTTCTCTTAGACATTGTCATCTGACTATCACTTCCATTGACACTTCCGCCGGTTTATTTTTGGTCAGCTGTGTTCGCTCAAAAGAAATTGTCTTCGTTTCATTATCGGTCCTCTCCGTAGCGTGCTCGTAGATGCCTCTCAAAAGCCGACGAGTGGGCGTTTATCAGAGAATGCACGTCAAATAGTTCAGCGAACAATTTCCTTCGAAAGGTGCAGTATTTTGGTGCATTATTCATTGCCTAAACTGCTTCATTTGTTAAGTTTAGTAGTTGACGGTCATTGACAGAAGCTCCTTTCTTCCTCGGAAGGAACGGAAGATCTTCGGATAAATTTGACTTCCGGCACTATCCTGACGTCATACCAACTCCAAATATAGTATTACCCGTGAAAAAGTTCTTTCCTTTTACCTCTGAATTGTGGCGAGTAAATTAGATTCTTAGTTACAAAATAAAATGGCTCAGACCTTACAGATGAATCGGGGAATAGTCAAACAGGTAGTATAGCCGTAGACATCTCTATCTAGTTATTTAAAATTATTGATTTGAAATAGTGCACGGATTTTCGAATGCCACGTTTTACATTTATAAACCTCGACCAGTGACTCGAAATCATGAAAGTGATTTTCTACTAACAATTATTTTTAATTTTATCGAAGGTTCTTTCAGGTGATAGCGTGGTGATACGCGGACAGCCTCGAGGAGGACCTCCTCCTGAAAGACAGCTTTGCTTGTCGAACGTGAACGCACCAAAATTAGCGAGGAGATCGAACCCCAACGTTGAAGCCAGTGTCGAGACAAGAGACGAGGTTTGCGTGTTTCTTACGTTACTGCATTCTTCCGCGATGCCCTCATTTTCAGAGGTTTCATGTGCGTTCTAAGCTATTTTTTCCTAGTCTTAAGCTTTCTTCATCAATAGGACGGTTTTATTTCTAAATATTGTATCCAAGTGAGCAAGATTTCCCATTATAATGTGTCTTTTGAAATGGTAAAAAAAATTATCGTGTTTTGTTCATTTCGTTATGAATGACTCAAGGTTGTGGCCAATGGCATTAGGTTACGTGCCGTGGTTAAGTTCCGTTGGCTCATGAAATATCGGCCGTGTTTCATATTACAAATACACTCAGAAATCACGCTACTTGTAGTGTTCATTATTGAAGAGAAGTTTCGTGTAATTTTTCGTTGAATATTAAATTGGGTGAAGAATGTAAGACCTCTTCCCTATCGATCCCCACGTGAGGATTGATTATAATTCAAATTCACCTAAATGATCATTTATTCCCCCACTTTAAAGAATATCTACTTAAATGAAATTAAAATTGGTTTTAAAGAAGACGATTAAGTGAAAACATTTGTTGAAAAAGCATCTTTTGTACAATCTGTTGACCCTAGTAAATAACTGTTACAGGGAGAATCTTCAAGATCTTGTATCAGCGTTTCTTTACAGTAACTTATTAGGAATTGATTGATTATAGTTTTACAAGCTTTGTTCATTGCATTATATAAACATAAGTTGCCAATTAAGAAAGGAATCCAGCTTAATCACCACCCTTTTGATAATGCCCCTGGCCACTGTAAAGCATGTGTACAAATGTATTTTGCAAGTTCATATTTTGCAAATTTGACAGATTTTCTTTGATCTGTAAAAACAGGATTCTGGTGATTGAACTGAGTGGAGTGCAATTTGGGCTGAAATCATACGTGTGATTTCAAAATTGAACGAGTGTGCAGCGCGAGTTCAATTTGAAATCACAAGTATGATTTCAGACCAAAATTGCACAACACGAGGTTCAATTACCACTTTATTACATCCATTTTGAAATCGCCCAAATACAGGACTTGGTCAGTTTTAATATATATTTTATAACTACAATACTGAGCCAGTTTGAAATTAAATTCACCCATTTTTTGGGAGGAAAAAATAAGAGTTTTGGAAACAAAAGTTGCAAAATTTGCCACATGATCCTTCATGTCTTTCATCTTCCTGCAATTTGATTGGTTACGTTAAACAAGCCTTGAAGTCTGATTGGTTGTTTTGTTTTTAGTGTAGCCTCCTTGTTGGCTGGAAAAAAGATGCAATTAAAGCAAAAAATTGGTGCAATTCATGAATAAATTGCACCAATTAGAGCCAATCAGATTACAGGGACCACCAGTGATTTCAAAATGGGTGTAATAAAAACATTAACAGAATAGGGGGTGAAAAAATTTTACTACCTTTAGCTAACTGAAAAAGACATAAAATTTCTATCTCTACACCCTAAGCAGACCAGTATTAATGTTTTCCATATTCTTCACTATACATTTAACTTGGTACTAAATTGGTAGAGAATTATTTTATCAATCAAAGGTACTTAGGTTGGGGATCATTTCCTTTATTCTCATAATATTAATAAATAATTCAACAGTATTATTGTTAGGAGAAATTAGATGCTAGTCACCGGTAGGATTTTCAGGGGTTAATGGTCACTTGAAATATCTTTTTATGAATTGTCAACTGTATGGCTTTCTTTGCTTTAACAAAAGGTTTCCGTTTCAAATGTCAGCTTTAGAAAGTTCTATTGATAGCCACTCTACATTATCAACTCAGTTGATAAAACCAAACTTCCCCTCTCGTGCAGTATCACAGTTTCTAAATACAAACTTACCCTTTTTATCGTCTTCTGTATAATTCAATTACTTGGAAAATTTGAAATTGTTTCCATTTCTCTCTGTGTACTGACTGCATTGTGTGAAAGGAAAATTTTAAAAAGCCAAAATTTTAGGTGTAATGAATGTGCAACATTTTAATTCTCCAAAAAAGCAGGTTATCACTGGTCTACGAATAGAATCACCATGAATGTTTTGAAAACAGTAATTTCTCTACTCTGCTATCCTCTTATTATAACCAAATTTTCAGCTACCACAATTAATTGGTCTCTTGGATGGAAGGTGAGGATTCCCTGTCCTTTGATCCTTTAACCCCTAAGCTGGACTAGCATCTAAAATCTCCTTACATTTTCACCCCTGTATCAAACATTAAGGTTATGAGAATAATGGAAATGATCACCAATTAAAGAGGCTCTTGATTGTTGAACAGATTCTCCTTTTTAGCTCCTAAGGAAATATATAGAGAACAGTGTGAAGAATATGCATATTGATGTTGAGATTAAGAGATGGATCAAATGTAATAAAGGATCATAAGTTACTAAGGTATTATGTCTTGGAGGTCAATAAGGGGTACTATATAATTTAAAACAGCAAGGTCTTTAACACAGTCAGGCTTTATACATGGTTATATACCCTAATTAGTATATATTTGGTAGTAAGGAATTCAAATTGGGATCACCTGCCCAAGGTAATTAAAATTATGTAGATTTTCACATATGGTACTTACGTTTGGTTGTCTACCTTGCAGCCATTTGCATGGGAGGCCAGAGAATTTCTTAGAAAGAAGCTGATCGGTAAAGAAGTGCTCTTCTCTGTGGAGTATAAAGTTCCTGGAACAGGGCGAGAATATGGATGTATCTATTTACAGAAAGGTAAATTACAAGATATACATGTACATGTAGGTAGATTTGCATTTGTGAATGAAAGGAATGATTGATTTTATTAATATCAGGCTTACACATAAAGCTTGATTATCATTTCAATCTTCAAGTGAATTTTCATCTTCCAGGAGAAGACCTTGAAAATGTAACAGAAGCCATAGTTTCTGAAGGGCTTGTTGAAGTCAGACGTGGTGGAATCAAACCATCAGAGTAAGTCACACAAACCTTGTTTTTTCTTATCTCTTCTAATTATAGAACATTTCCCATGATATCCAGAAAAAGATATATTTTTACTGAAAGGATCCAGATTTGATTTTGGACTTGTGCAAGGTTTGAATGCTTTCACAAGGTGTTAAGGATTTCAGAATTGGAGGCAGGTTACAGTTTAACTGTTATTTTGAAACCCCCCCCCCCCCTCCACTCTTAGGCTTGATTATGGGGCCTGGATTACTAGAGGTGGGGATTAACATATAAATTTAATTGGGATTTATTTAATAAGTAGAGATTGATGGTTTCTTGTCTCATGATCAGATTTGGTATAGATGATGGTCAAGTAGTTTTGCTGTGGTCTTTGCATGTAGACTTATAAATTATCTATATTAATTTTGAAGTTATTGTTTTTATTGTGTTGGAAAAATATTAAATTGTAGCTTGTTAGTGGTTTGAACTTAGTGAAAATTATTGTGTTTGTAAATTATTGACAGAATAATTAGAAATGTGCTTAGTTTTACCTTGTACAGTAACTGTCTTTTAATTTGATTATCATTCATTTCAGTGACCAGACAAAATTAATTGACTTGGAAGAGATGGCCAAAACAATGGCCAAAGGAAAGTGGGGTGCTAATGCCTCAGATGTGAGTATAAATAAATGAATTTGAATAACTCCAGGCTACTTAAAAAAATTATGTACTATAACCATACTCTTTTTTGTACAGTTTTGGGTGAGATGAATGGTTTTTTATGTACATGGAAGTCTGATGATTACAATGTCTTTTGATCTCAACAAAAACTGCACTGCATGTGCTAAATTTTTATGTCAACCTTGTGGATGATTATCTTTATTCTCTGTTTATCTGTACCCAAATCAACAGAGCTATACAATATAACATGAGCTACATGTAGCATGTATACAAATCAACATCCCCTTAATTTTTTGTCTTTTTAGCCAGCAATTCTTTGGTCCTCAGCTGATATTGCTCATACTTCAAAGATCCATCAGGATTACTAGCCTCTAGTACTTCTGCATGCATTCTAAATTGCAGAGTGCCATTCAAAAAAAGGAGACTGTAATGCCATTTTGAATTATTGTGTTGATATTAAACCTTGAAATGAGGAAACCTTGTTGGTACTCATGGCCAAATTGCTGTTTTCTTACCTTGCAATCAGTGTTACAACTCTTTAGAGCAAAGCTGTTTAGTTTCTGAATTGATTTTTCGAGAGATTTTAATCAAAAGCTATTATTGAATAACTTTTTAATAACTAGCACATCAGAGACATCACATGGACCGTGGAAAATCCAAGACATTTTCTTGATGCCAACAGTGGAAAGGAGTTTAATGGTAAGCAAGACAGTTGTAAAGGTTTCAGACTGGGAACCTGAAGACTGTAATAACTTAACACATGTAATTTATTTTCTGATAATTTTTGAGATGGTTTGTACAACATGGCTTTTTTTGGAAGCTATAGCTTAGGCACCATATTTTCAGACCTGATAAATGTTCATTGTACAATTTGTAATTGTGTTGGACTGGGGAGGGGGGGGTAAAGGATTTTCAAACCAATTTATAATGGATCACAAAAGCCTTGAAAGCCAAATAATGCATCAGTGAGTGGAATTATGAGAACCTAAAAGATGTATTTTAATTTTTAATTTTGTAAGCACTTTTCAACAGTTTCAAGGGTGAGATTAAATGAATTGCCATCCAATGCACAGTTGCTTTTTATTTTGAATCTCAATGGCTCAGAGGATGGTGTGAGTTTTCTAGTATATTGAAAAGAATAGAAAGTCAAAATAAAGTTTGCTACTTGACCATAAAACTATGATTGACATTGTTTTAATAATGAAACTGATGATATTTATTCAATTCCAATAGCAGTTAAGTAGCTGTTTTTGATGTCTTTTTTTGTTGACAGCTGTCATTGAACATGTTCGTGATGGTTGCACAGCAAGAGCATTTTTACTGCCTGAGTTCTACCATGTGACAGTCATGTTTACAGGAATAAAGGTAACTTAAACCAATTCTTAAGATAATCAAGTTAAGCTACTTCTTCATAAATGTAGTTATTATTAATAACAATACGATATAGCCAACAGATCACATTTCTTTTTATCTTTTTAGTGTCCCATGATGATCAGACGTGATGCAGACAAGGAAATTTCAGAACCATTTGCTGATGAGGTTAGTGGCCATCCCTGCTTTTGGACAACACCTTTATCTATAAAAGTCTCATACATGTGTGTCTTTTAATCAGGCAAAGTTTTTCACTGAGAGCCGTTTATTGCAAAGAGAGGTGAAAATAGTTCTTGAAGGTATGTAATGACACTTTTTAACTACTGACAAAGAGTAGCATACTGTAACTTGTATTTTAGGACAAAAAAAAAACTTGTTTCAATTAGTCCTGTAGTAAATGCCTCTCTGTCAGCTTTGTTGTAGGGAGACATTCATCTTTCTTTGAGTCATCCTTTGATAGGCATAATTCTTGTTGATGATAAAAAAGAAATTTAATTTTCCAATGTCTGTTCTTCCAATTTATGCAGGAGTCTCCAATCAGAACTTCCTTGGATCAATTATCCACCCAGTGAGTTTATTTGCTGTCTTTATTTAAGTCAAAGTGCCTTACTGTAAAGTTTTTTCTGTTTTTTTTTTTATTATTAATTTATTTTTTTTACTTTTAATCAGTATGCATATTTTCCTTGCTCTGGTTATGATACTGATGAGGAGAGTTTGTTGAACAATCAAGAGCCTCTTCAATTGATGATCATTTCATTTCTTCTGGTGACCTTAATGATTCAGGGATATTACTGTAACGATACAAAAGACTAAAGAGGCAATAATTAACCCAGTATAAAACTGGTTGAGGATGATTATCATAGAAAATAGAAAGGCTGCATTTTTCAAGATTGACAAAACATGAGCTCCCGTAATGTTATTATCTTCTTTTGGCTGACTTTTCACTTATGCTTCCTGCCTAGGCTGGAAATATTGCTGAGCTGTTGCTTCGTGAGGGATTTGGCCGTTGCGTTGATTGGAGCATGGCAGTGCTTACTAAAGGACACGACAAACTGCGTGCAGCGGAAAAGTAAGCTAATTTGTTATTATACGCACATATATCCATCCCTCCCCCACTTCCATCCACTTCAACCCCAGAGCTCCCCCTCGTGGAGCGGAAGGGAGAACTCAGTGTTGTAAGTACCAATCTACCATACGGTTTATTTTTTTAGATTTGCAAGAGAGAAGAGACTTCGGATATGGAAGGATTATGTACCAAGTGCTCCAACTGTGCCTATTCAGAACAAAGAATTCACTGGAAAGGTAGGAAATGAACTAAGATAAAGTTTAGGAAGGTAATCGTAAAAAGCGGGAAGATTTAACTTTATTTACTCATGATAAATGCGCACTTGCCAAGTCGTTTTATCCCTCTCTTCTTCACATGGTTTTCTAAGTGTTCATGGTGTTTCGTTTGATTTGTAGGTTGTGGAATGTGTGAATGCGGATGCTTTAGTCATCAGGAATGCTGATGGGGCACAAAGAAAGATTCACTTCTCCAGCTTAAGACCGCCCAGGTACTGTACTGTATAGCGCTTGGAGAACTGTGTGGCCCCTTTAACCTTTTTAGGGTTTCACCAGCATTACTTGATTAGCGAATCTTGCCAGGATCTTACACAACCCAAATTATCATGGGAAAAATTATCACTATTTGAAGGCTGGATTCTCTGCCTTGAGTTGCTTGAAAAAAAAAACAGCATTTACGCTGTATCTGCTGGCAATTCGTAGTTTGTGTTTTATAATTTCATGAAATTATTTTTTGCCTAATCGAGTTTCCCGCACCCCAAAACCTCTTCCGAATACTCACTATTTGCTCGAAATTCCAAGCTGTCTCTCTTTTGCTGGCACTGCACGGACATATTTGAAATCCATCGTTTTTTCCTTGCAGGCTTATCCCTAGAGAAGACGGCACTCAGGTATGACGAATCGTTTCCTTCTTTCCAGTAGGATTAAGAAACCGACGATGAGAATTGTTAATCTTCGAAGCGTTGTGTAAAGGTCAACGCTCTCATTACCAATGTACACTGGAAATCACTCAGCTACACTGTAACTCGTAAACAGTTTCAAATACAAACGAACAGCTCACAGATGCATGTCTTTTTTTTTTTTTTTTTTTTTATTTTCGAACAGGATACTATAACTAACGGGAAAGATAACAAGAAGCCCAGGCCACTGTATGACGTACCTTACATGTTTGAAGCCAGAGAATTTCTCAGAAAGAAACTAATTGGTAAAAAGGTAAAGAAAACCCTTTCATATTTTAGAAATTTGAGCGAAAATTGGATCCCCGAACGTATAAGTTTTGGCATGGCAGACGTCTAATATGTATCTCAAACACGAAGGCGCGCTTTGAATAAGCTGACTCCCTCCCCTTAATTTCAGCTCAAATGCAGTAATCATCCAATATGACGACATTGTTGAAGAAAGGCCTCAACATTTCTACATCTTTCCTTTTTATTTTTACGGTCATCTACATCCAGTATTTAGAAAAAGACATGAAATTATGCCGTGGTAATATTACGCGATGGCGAAGCCAATCATTTCGAATTTCAAATTTACCGCCATAATTGAAGACGGTTTTGATCGGAGAAAGGAGATATAAACCTCAACAAATTCTACCACTGTGATGCAAACGTAGAAAATTATTAGAGCTTTTGAGAAATCTGCTTGCTGTTCACTCGCTTTGGATCGACTGCAGCTCAAGCTGTTTTTGAATATAGAGACCAGTATGCCATGGCGGTTGATTGAAAAATGATCCAGAGGTACCTAAGGCACCTCTACTCTTGTAGCGCGCTTTCGCGTTTAAGGTTGTGGTGCTTGTCTCAGGAAGATAGTTTAATATAACAATCTCTCTCTCCGTCTAGCAGTATAAAAGGGGTATTAGCGAATTGGGAGGGTGAGTTGATGAAATTCGGGGGGGGGGGGGTAGGTGGGAGAGGGTACGGAAATGTAGACCACAATGGACTAGTATATCTATTTTTGGTTTACCCCGCCAAGGACGCATTTTTTTTTTTTTTTTAACAGAGTACCTTACTGCTCTTATCTTTTTCCCTCCTTACAGGTGAACGTTAAAGTTGATTACATCAAACCTCCCAGTGATGGTTTCCCAGAGAGAACATGTGCAACGGTAACAATCAGTGGTATTAATGTTGCTGAGGCTCTGATAAGTAAAGGATTTGCGACCGCGTTGCGACACAAGCAAGACGATGATCAGCGGTCTTCGTGCTATGATGACTTGTTGGCAGCCGAGACACGTGCCATAAAGAATGGCAAAGGACTGCATAGTAAGAAAGAAGCACCCATTCATAGAGTGGCAGATCTTTCAGGGGTGAGTAAGTGGATCTAGACTGTAGATTCGTTTCTGGTCTTTGATGCGCGAGCTAAAGAGGGGTCTGGGAATAGCATGAACGCGTTGAGAGGGACTCGAGGAAAGTGAGACTCTCCTTGGGAACGAGGTGTTTTCATTAAGACAGTTGATGTATTCATCGATGGTACCGGCCGCAATGATAGTGGGATTGAGGATAGAATGACAACAGTGTAGTGTAAGCTCTAATAGTGTTTAGTATATTCTTCCAATTAAAAACTAAATACGTATTTAATATTTATTGCAGGACGCAACCAAAGCTAGACAGTTCTTGCCTTTCTTACAAAGAGCGGGAAGATCCTCAGGAATAGTTGAAGTAAGTGCATATTCTTATGATTAATTTTGAACTTTTTCATCGCGGTGCATATCAATAGCACGCTCTAGAGATTTTAGATTTTATTTTTAGACAACTGATGGCTCAGTAGATGGTCGTGATCACGAAAGTGGCCACACAAATCTCAAACCTAAAATCTTGGCGTGTTGCCTTGAAGCGGCGTCAAACCGCTAGTAACCGGCTAAAATCGAAGCCCTAAAACAATATCTCGTGAGAAAAACGAGTTGTTGAATTTTTGATGTTGTTCTGTTCTTGTAGTTTGTTGCCAGTGGTTCAAGAATAAGACTGTATCTACCTAAAGAGACTTGTTTAATAACTTTCCTTATTGGTGGTAAGTATTTTTACATGATTGTAAAATTGAATTTTTGTATATAAAATGCAAAAAAAAAAAAAAAAAAAAAAAAACACAGTTTGACATGGTTGTGTTGTCGTGTTTTGCCGAATGCCTGGATGTTATATCATTAATTGTGAACAGTACACCGAATTCTTGGGTTGAAATCGTTTAGCTGTCAGGTAAAGTCGCCAGGCCGCTAATTTTTTAGTGATGTGGCCATACTGTAAATGTAGCTCAAGCTTAAAGTTGCTCTAGTACACCAGTTCCGCCCTCGACAAAGATTTTTCTCAACGAATCCTGCGATGTGAGAGTCTTCGACCAGAGCTGTCGACGATCCAAAACAGGTACTTTTAAGGGTTCTCTACTGCGTTTAAGTTTGTGTATGTACTGTGATTCTTTAAGGTATCACATGTCCCCGAGCTGGTAGATTAGTTACTTCCCAGGGAGTTATTGCTACGGAAGGAGACCCGCACGGAGACGAAGCTTTGAGTTTTACCAAGGATCTCTGTTTGCAAAGAGAGGTAAGTGGTATGACAGAAACAATGTTTACACTTAATGTTTTTCAAAGTTAGCACCAAATAACTTAACAACCAAATAAAGTTACATGAGGAGCTTCCAGAATTGTTTCATCTAAATGTCATCGACCTTTATTAATATTTGTTCATTTTTCTTTTGTCCAATGTGTATTAGGTTGAAGTACAAGTTGAAGCTATAGACAAGGCGGGCAATTTTATTGGCTGGTTATTTGTGGACAACACGAATCTCTCTGTTGCCTTGGTCGAGGTAAAAAAAAATCTTAGCTACACATCAACCTTACATTTAACCTAGAGTAAGAATTTTTCATGTCCAGTCTCTTCAGTCCAGTTTAGTATCCTCATTTGCCCTGACAAAGGGTAACGATTGAAATGTCAGCTCTCAAACTCTTTACGATGGCGATTGACATGATCAACTCAGATGATAAAACCAAATTACCCTTTTATAATAGTTGTGAAGGTGTTGAATATAAGTTTAATCGATGTCTGGTGTTTGCAGGCTGGTCTTTCTCAAGTACACTTCACAGCTGAGCGCTCCAGTTACTATCCTCAGCTCATTCAAGCTGAGGAAAAGGCAAAATCGCAGAAACTTAAGGTAGAATCTTTTTTTATCGTTTTAGATAATGTTGCCTTCTACCAGTGTAAATGATATGGGGCAAAACGCGGTGAAATTATGCATTAGTATTTGAATTTTTTAATAAGGTTGTTTGGAATCTGAAAATAAAAAACCCGAAAGAGCAAAATCATTTAAAAATATAGTAAATTTTAAACTTGGTTGTGAGATTAAGAAAGATCTTGATTGCCTTGTCACGAGCTGGTTCTTCCCTTTTTCACACATTTCCCTCGGTGTTGACCGGCAACTCCTCCATGAACAAGGAATAACATGTGCCAGCACAGCCAAGCCTACGGACGACTTCATCACGGCACGAGAGTGTAAACTAGCACAAAGTGGGTCAAGTTTAGAGCAACAATGTGTACAAGTCTCGGCCTTAAAAACTTCCAACTTTCCTTGGAAACTGCAGAAAACTACGTCTCACTTAAATTCTCCATGTTTACGAAAGCAAATTATCCAACTAAGTGTGCATGTGCGATCATTTGACCGCTGTGTTGGGCGCATGTCACGTGAACTTAGTGATACCTTAACCTAGCGTACTAACCTCTTAGTAGGTCGGTGATAGAGCGCAAAAGCTGAAGGTCTGGGATTCGCTTTATTGGAACTTTCGTTGTCCCATGCTCGTGAAAAGACGAATAATATCTTTCCTAACTGAACTAATGAATAGTCTCCAATATGTGACTAGCATTCAAAACATTGCATCCCAAAACCTTTGAATGCAGTTAATTATTGGTGAGCCACAATAGCCTTGAAAAGAAAAGAAAGAACTGATCGCGATTTAATTTGATTTTTTTACCTCTACCAAATAACCAACCTCTCTCCATGATAATTTTCAGCCAAAGTAACAATTTTTTCATTTTTAGTTATGGACCAGTTATGAAGAACCTAAAAATGTCGTTGTTGTTGAGGAAACAGAGAGGAAGTGCAATTATAAGAAGGTTTGTGATATCACTGATGTTTGAGGTAATTATTGTAAAATACTGCCTTAGTAAAGATTGCGTTACTTGATGTGAATGTCTTTGATGTATTTCTTACAGGTCATTGTCACAGAAACGTCTCAAAACCTCTCTTTTTGGGCACAACACGTTGATTCAGGTGAGTTGTTATAATGACTAGGAACGGACCAAGCTGTAACTTTTGGCAGTATAGTTTGATCATATGTAATAAGCCAAATCAGGGTTTTCAAAAACCCCGACCTTCAAAAATATCTTAGAGTTTGCGGCTTTGCGAACTGCCTAGATGTAGGGAAAGGCTGGATGCTACCATATGTTCCAGCACAGTTTATTTATTTTAAACTTACCCCCTTTATCCATTTATCTCAGGTGGACAACTCGAGAAACTCATGGATGATCTTCACACTGAGCTCAGTTCTAACCCTCCCCTCCCTGGATCATATACAGCACGAAAAGGAGATTTATGTGCAGCTTTGTTTGTGGATAATAACTGGTATGTGTCTGGCAAGTCAAACATTCTTTCCTATGCTACCTTTACCTTTGCCATCCCACCCTTGTCAACTACCCCACACATACATTTTCAAAAATAACAAGGAGCTTCTCGCGGTCTTGCGACTTGTGGGTAAATCCTGACAGGAAAGAAGAGGATTAATCTTTGTACCTCTAACATCTGAGTATTACTGTAAAATTCAGAAGATTACGGACACCAGAAATCTTTTAAGTTTTAAGCTAAAAGCAACTCAGAGTCAGTCACTTAGGACACCAACAGCGACGGTAATTAGTTCTTGGTTTTGAAGTTTTTTTTCTTGTTCTGAGCTTTTTAATTGATTTTGGGTTCGTACACAACTGAGCGACGTAATCAAATCAAAGTGTTCACGGTTTTCTGAGTTTCACAAGGACTTTCTTACATTTCCTGTAGTGTTGTTTTTGACTGAGAATTTGACTTGGGATAAAACCGTAAGCTCTGGTTGATATTTCCTTTTCTTATCATCACCTGTCTGACAATGTGTAGTTAGTGGAAGAAAGATACCAGTTGGTCGCTCCAGGAACTAGAAGGGTTAACTGCAAAGGCAGGCTTTCATCAATTCTTTTGGAGGTATATCAGGATACAGTTCAGGCTTCTCCCTGTTTTAGGATGTAGAGTGCCGAGTGGCAGTGTGAGTTATTAAAACTTATCGTTTGCGTTTCTTCGTCCGTAGGTACAGAGCACGAGTCGAAAGTGTGGCATCTCCAAAAGAGATTCATGTGTTTTACATTGATTATGGAAATGTAAGTACATTCGCAGTAAGAAAAGAGGTTTGAAGTATTTCCTTTTGTTGTTACACAATTCTATGCGGTTTTCATGAATTTAGTCATAAGTGAGTAATAGTTACTGTATACAGATGGTGTTGGTGGAGAAGTTCACTGCGCCAAGATAGATTTTGTTTTCTGCTGCGTTTATTCTCGTTGTTTAAAGTTTGCCGGTGCATATTCAAAACATTTATATGTTTTCATTTCTTACAGAGAGAAGTGTTACCGTTATCCAAGCTGTGCCCTCTGCCTTCAGCGTTCCACAGGTAATTGTTGTTAACGGTAAACAATGGTTTGAATGTATCACTTCCCAGAAGTACTATTATTGCGAAGGTTTGAGTAGTACTTCATGTAAGCTTGATCATAACAATAATTCTGCAAGAAAACTAAAGGTTTAAATGTTACAAACTTCTGCAACTTTTTCTCTCCAGTTTTCCTCCACAAGCACATGAATATAGTATGGCTTTTATTGAACTTCCAAAGGATGTAAGTAATTTTTTTCCTTCCCTTTCTTAACGAATTTGGATTATGATCTCCGCTCAAGTGATTACAAATGTGTCTTAATATTACTTCTAATGACACAATTATGCCAACTCAGCTCAAAATTTTTTTTAGTAGCTTTCCGTGGAAAGTGTTTTGTATCCCTCTTGCCTCTTTAATGGTTTTTCGCACAAAAAAAAAAATAACGAGTAAGACAGCGAAATATTCCCTTCCTTCCACACTTGCAGGGTTTTTCAGGCAGTGTGACTCTTTTAAGCTATTGTGCACCCAGTTTTTACTCTCGGGCAGTCGCTGGAAGACTCGGCCAATGTATGGTTTAACATTAAAAGGATCGTACGTGGTTCTGTTTGTCACATGCTCTTGAGTTAACCTGATTACTTTTTCGTCAAACGTCGTCCATTTCACAGTAGATTTATGATCTGTAAAGGAAAAGCAAAATTACCGAAATCGGATCAAAGGAAGGTGCTGTTCTTCTAATCTTTTTCTCGTTTCTGTTTGTCAGGTGGAACAAGTTGCTGATGCCTTGGATTCCTTTAGAAATCTGATCATTGTAAGTTTTGATTTTGATTTAGTAGGGTCCTGCCTTGCGTTTATAGACGTTTGTAGGCAGCTTGAATATACTTTTTTAGAGATCTTCCCTGGTGCTCATTTGAATTTATTCTCTGCTCTGTTTGGTTAATGCAAAAACAAAGACACTTACCTGAATTTAACTGAAAAAAAATTGCTGAGACAGAATTGAAGCTTGCGCATCAGCGTTCTTAACTCACTTAGGGTAAAGTAATGTTTTATTATTATTACTATCATTATTTTTTTCTTTTTTAGAATCGACAGTTTATGCTAAATGTGGAGTACAAGTCCTCAGGCCAGGTAAGAAGTGCTGCTATTAATCACTTGCAAATAGCGCCCGGGAAACCAGGCAAATAAGCTATGGTATTACTTAGGGCGTGGTAGAGAAACGAAGGGGGGTTCATTAGTGCTCGTGACCTGCCTCGTTGTCATCAAGAAGTAACGTTTGCTAACAGGGAGAGTATGGCTGACAAAGTGGTAGAAATACTTACCTCTCGTTATGCATTTCAATTTCCGGTGTCACAAGTGTATTGAGTTTGTTGTCGGCTTAGAGGGTTTTATTTCGGATTCCCTCGTTTTCCGCACCTCCTAGATATCCTTGATAATAATGATCAGAACAGCCAATCAAAGCATGAGCAATTATTACAGGGAGCCAGTGAGAACTCAAAGTAAAAAAAAAATAAAATTAAGTGCCTGAAGTGCCATAAAACGCGAATGACCAAGTCACGATTGGTTTTAGTTATGAAACTGATTTATTTAGAAAGTGGTGCGAGTTTCTCAGACCATTCACTTAGCGAAGTCTCGGAAATCCCGGATTACTTTGGACACAGTTAAAAGTTTCTGTAATACATCAATCAAGGATGTCTTAAAATGCCGGAGTATGGCGTTAGTGTAGGACCCATCTAAACTAAAATTCGGGCCCAGTAGTATTAGAGCTGGCAGCAAGTTTATAGCACACATTAGATGACGTATTTTCCGTTGGTTTTTTTGGTGTTAGGATTTCGTGACACTCGTGCAAGAGAATGGGGACGATGTCGCTAAGTCTCTTGTCACAGAAGGCCTGGTTACTGTTGAGAAGAGGAAGGAGAAACGACTGCAAAAACTGATGGAAGAGTATAACAGGGCACAAGATGGTGCGAGGAAAGCTAGGGTAGGTGTCTCGGAGACTTGCGAGCCTTGTAGCCCATTCGGTTGGCACTCACCCTGCTCGCCATAGCTTATAGCGACCAGGGGTATGGTCTATCGTAGGCCACCTTCATCAATTTCTTCTGGTTTCCCTGACAGTTTGTTTTGTGGGTGCCCGTTTATACTCCTGGCTTGAAATAGGCACTGCGAAGGTTGAGTGTCTTTCCCAAGGACACAGCACAATGAACCGGCTTACGCTCTAACAGTGCAGCGCACTAACCCTCCAGGCTCCCCGCACCTTTCACAATCCAAATAAAGCATACGTAAATTTTTGCTGATAATTACAAATGTTCCCTTTTGAACGTACCTGTGAACGGTTTTCTCTCCCATTTTTGCTCTAGAGCCATTTGCAAAACGAAAATGATCCATTCAGTTGTTTTCGCGTAAGGCGTTTAGCGTTATTTCAGGATTAAACTTCAAACTTTTTAGTGTAATTGTCAACCTCGAGACTGAGAATGCATTAGAATAACCGGAAGAATAAGACGGTACGTGTGTTACAAACACGCGACGCACTTAGATAAGCTAAATTGATCTTATACCTGTTTAGTCGCCCTCAGTGTTAAACAATTAGAACATCATCAAAACAGCATAATATTGTTCCTGTTCAGAGCTTAAGCGCATATTTAAGACTGGCGTTTTGTGTAACCAACCGTTTTGTATTTCATGTGCTGTGAGACAAATCTGACGGAAGCCAAAAATAAATGTACAACTTTCTGTAAACCTACATAATTAAAAAAAAAGTCTTGCATGCTCTGGTCAACCTGGCTGCGATCAATAGTATCTCTTTTCTTTCTCTCCTGTTGCTAGGTAAACCTGTGGCGTTATGGAGACTTCACTGATGACGACGCTAAGGAATTCGGGTATTCTACTTAAGGACAAACTGTCGCCCTTTCGTGAATAGAAAATTTTACCAATCACGGATTTGAACTAATTATCAATATGAGGATAACATTAACTTGTGCTGTCGAGAGCAATACAAACATTGATAAGAAAATGTCTACGCGTCTAGCGGCGAGAATTGTCTTTCGGCTTTTCAATAAGGTATATTCTAAATCCGGTCATAAGAATAGTGTGACATTCTGCAGAGGAATTATTTCCTTGTGAACCTGTTGCATTTCCAAGGTTAACTTTCTTTACTCGCCACACTTTCATGTCCGTGTCATGTCGTCTAGTCAGAATTTCTGTTTTAACTATGATCTCGTAATCATTCAATTTTCTTGTTTACACAAGTGAATTTGTGAGTGTAGAGAGAGAACTCACTCGAAAGATATAAAATAGAGGCAAACGAATGCACTGGTAGCGTTGTGTTTCTTTGGTTTACTATGACTGTTTGTTCGTAGGAGAAAGCTTCATATCGCCAATTCCCCCTCACTCCCCTCCCATCCTTGAGACTGTACTTCGTTGTATAATGAAGAGTGAGTTTAGTGTTACCAACTGGTGATTGTTAGCCAAGCAAACTTTTCTGATTTAGGGTTAGACGGAGTAGGCAAGGGGTAGGGAAAAGAAGCTTCTCCTCCCTCCCTGTTATGTTTTTCATCCATCTCCCTCCCCCCTTGGCATAAATTTCTTTCTCTTGCAAACCTTCCTTTCCTTTCATAGATGGCCGCGAAATCTTCGAATTTTCATCCACAAAATATATTTTAAAAAAACACACTAACAAAACAAAGGTAATCTACGCATCGGTAGTAATTTTTTTTAAAAAGTAGAAGTAGAGTCAGTAAAATAGCGAAATTGAATCAGGTATTGTATTCAAACAATAGTAATCCATTTAGACAACAATGCACATGTGCTAGGAACTTTTTCTTTGGGCCGGTTACTTGAACGCTTACACATCCAGACATGGTTGACTTGTAAATCCATGTAACAACCTCAACACATTGTGACAAGACAAAAACATCTATCCTTCTCAATGCATTTATTTAGCAAACATTGGATCAACAAACCTATCAGCCTACAAAGGAATAAGGAGGGGTAAGTTTCGAAAGAGGGGCATGATAAGATGATTTGGTTTAATCAAATGGAAACCACTTGGCTATTTAAAAGCACAATCGAAGTGTTGAACCCGAGACTGTCGAAGTCAGTACAAGAAAACATTGGACTGACAATATTGTCGGTATTTCAACTCAAATCTAAACGAAAAACTCCTTCATCCCAACTGAGGACAATCTGCTTGATGTCCATTTGTTTTATAGATTCTCGCTTAGCGAATTTGGTACCTTTCTTTGAGGTCATGAATACGGCATCTAAATATGCAGCTTTGATTGGTAATAACTTTTAACAATCGTACTTCTTACTGCACTATTCCTCTGCTATTTTCCCCGTCTTTAATTTCTTTAAAATCACATGAAAGGGTAACCTGAGGCAAAGGCAACGGCAACGTTAAACCACACAAACAGACAAGAAATGTTACATTCTCTTACATACTACTGTTTGTAACAACCTAATTTATGAGATATGCCAAATGCTTCATCCATCGTTGATTTATAAAACTAAAATCTCGCTTCAGTAAGCTACACGAGCGCTTCAAGTAATAATTTTCACCCTAACATGACTGATTAAAAATGTTCTTTAAAATGCTGGACGTTTAGCTCATGACACCAAGTCACTTAAAGACATTTCCTTAAAAAGGTTGTCCAGAATGATGGCAGATTCTGAGCACGGTAGTGGAATTAAGGAAGGTTTTTTTTTTCGTCTTGTCACGAACGTGGTACAAAAGAAAGAGAAAGATGTAAATAAAGATAAACTGTTTTAAATTTTGCTACCGAGCTCAAAACCTACCATCTAATTCTATGTACACTCAAGACGCCTTCGATATTGCAGATCCTAGCAGTAAGCAAGGCGTCTGGTTCTTAAGGACCTCGTAATGGCCTAGCCCACTGTAGGGTCCCTGTGGCTCAGTGGTAGAGGTCTGAACGACGGGGTTTGATTCCTTTCGGGAACTCAGAATTTTTTCTTTGTCCCACGTTCGTTACAAGACGGAAAAAGATTTTTAAACAAACACACTCCAATATTGAATATGAAAGCGATCCTCGAAGTAATGAACACTACTTAAACAGTGGTGAAAATAAGGCCTGAAAAAAATTCAGGCATGTTCGGGATTTGAACCCATGAGTTTTTGTGATGCCGGTGCAGCGCTCTACCAACTGAGCTGACGAGCCAACTGGGAGCTGGTCATTGTTGTCATGTTGGTTCCATATTGTTGATAATATTTACAATAAGTTTATATATTCATGACGTTCTTAAAACTAGAGAGCGTTCTTCAGATAAAAAAAACAAAACTCGATTTAGTCACATGGTATCACGGGCTTTGCGCACTGCTCCAACTCTTCGTGACCACGTCATTTGTTATATACAGCAGGTGTCCGGGTTTCTTTGTCCACAGCCGCGGGTATACGCTGTATTTAGCCACTACATGCAAATTTAACACACGCTTTGAACGTGTTGAGTGTGTTTCTTTTCGAGGCACTGCTGCAAATTATCATGACCAAACAATTTAGCACATTCAGCAGGTGTTCGGCCTTCTTTATCCACTGCATTCAAATCTGCTCCATTATCCAGCAATAAGCAGACTACCTCCGTGTGACCAGAGCCTGCAGACACATGCAGCGGTGTATCGTCACTAGCATCGGACGCATTGACATCACTACCAGCATCAATCAAGACCTGCACGATTTCGGCCTTGCCAAGTGCCGCAGCAGTGTGTAAGGGAATGCCGCCTTCAGAATCCTTTGAATTAACACTCGCTCCGTGCTCCAGAAGCATACAAACCACGGACACGTCACTGAAGGCAGAAGCCAGATGGAGGGGAGTGCTTCCTTCACTGTCTCTGGCCTCTAGATCAGCTCCTTTTCTAACCAGTTGAAGCGCACAGTGTTGGCGATTAAACACTGTGCAAATGTGAAGCGGAGTGCATCCTTTGTCGTCTTTAGCCTCAAGATTGCTGTAAACAAAATTTTTAGAAAGGAAGATAAAATAAAATCTTCAGATTTAAAATAACTAAACGCTCCCGAGTGGCACTTCACGCAACTTAAGATCACGTAAGTTTAAATCGTAACCTTTTATCTTTCGCTCACGCCCTGGTGCTCCTTCCCCTAAGTAAACGATATGACCCAGAAGAGCAGGACTTATCCAATATGATACAAAAGAGCCATGGTATTGGAAAAAAATACTGTATTAAACCGTGTCACTTCAAAAGACCCAAAACGAAAATATTTAAAAATCGAACAATTCAAAACCGACGGCATACCTTTTGTAATCAGTAACAACTGAAACAGCTTTACTGCTCCCTGAAAAGCAACCCACGTGCAAAGGTGTGCTTCCTTTATAATCCACGGCTCCAGGATCAGCCCCATGCTTCAACAAGCCTTTTGTTATAACCAGGTTATTTTCTTGTACTGCCAGATGCAGGGGGGTATTACCGAGCTCATCAACAGCGTTTACTTGACTTCCATGCTTTAGGACTTTTTCAATACAATTAGCACTGCAGCAACTGAAAGTACTCATAAAGTGTAAACATGTCCTTCCCTGCAGATTGGAAGCGTTGAAGTCGCCACCGTATTCAATAAACACGTCGACAACTTTTTCTATTCTGTAGCCTGTCACAGCAATATGTAAAGGTGTGTTCCCTTGGTTATCTCTGCGATGAATATCAGCACCCGCTTTCAACAGAAGCTTCATGGTATCCACTGTAGACATGTTTTCTGAAAAAGAAGCACGATGAAGGGGAGTGCAACCGTTTACATTCACGGCATTAACATCTCCGCCGTTCCTTATAATTCGCTTAAGAAGTCTTGGCAAGTTTACGGCGAAATGTAATGGTGTGTTTCCATCTATATCCGCTACCTGAACGTTGCTTCCTTGCTTCAACAGAACTTCGGCTACTTTCTTAAAGCCGACGGCAACAGCAACTAGAAAAGGGGTCTGCCCTTTATTGTTAACCGCCATGATATCTGCGCCCTTCTCAATAAGTCGTTGCACAATCTCTAGGGTGCCTCTTGCTGCCGCCCTGTGAAGAGGAGTGTCCCCATTCTTGTCCTTTGCTTTTAAGTCTAGTCCTTGATCCAAAATACGATTCAAAGAAGTGACATTCCCCGATGTTGCAGCAAAATGTAAAACTGTTCGACCGGTTACCTTATCAACAGCATGCAGGTCGCAACCACTCTCAAGGAACACTTCTATTAAGACCTTGTCCAAGAAATTACTTTCCTCTGTTGCTCCCAAAATTGTTTGCCCATTAAGAGGTGTAGAATTCACGTCGCCTTCGTGACGAATAAGAAATTCGACGATCTCTCTGCAACCGTACTTTGCTGCTAGAAAGAGAGCAGTTCTTCCTTTCTTGTCTACAGCAGCAACGTCACTTCCATTCTGCACCAAACTTTCACCACTGCCAAGTTGACCTCCCGCAGCAGCAAAATGCAAGGGCGTCCAACCCCTCTTGTCAGCTGAGTTAACATCTGCTCCACGCCCAATCAATAACTCAACAGAACTTACGTGACCTTCGTAAGCAGCAGCATGAAGAGGCGTCCGATCTTCCTTGTCCAGGGATGTCACGTCTGCTTCTTGTTCAAGGAGCCACTCGATCACAGCTGTGTTACCATCTTTCGCAGCAAAATGTAACTGAGTCTCTCCGTTTATATCTCGTAAATTTAATTCAGCTCCATGGTTCACTAAAAGCTCACATATTTCCCTCGTGGCCATTTGTGGTAAATAATAAAGAGGAGATCTTCCATACTCATCAGTAGACTTAACGCTGCAACCACGATCCAAAAGGATTCTGATAATGTTGGTCAGTTCTACAGTTTCTGGATCCAAGAACCGCATACTTTCTAGAGCATGAAAAAGAAGGGACTTGCCGTGTTTGTCCATTGTATGGACATTACTTCCATGATGTAATAAAAGCTCGATCATGGGTAAACAGCCAAGACCTACTGCTTCAAATAGGACTGTACAACCCGACGAGTCTTTTGCCTCCAAATCCACACCGTGTTCCAACAACAGTTTGGCAGCATCCAAACTATTTGAACTTACGGCTGCATGTAAGGGCGTCCATTTGTCTCTGTAAGATTTCTCTTTGGAACACGCACCGTACTGAAGCAATGTCCTAACAAGTCGACTATTATTGCGCTCAGCCGCATGATGAAGTGGAGAAAAATTCAAGTTAGCACCATGAACATTTGCTTCACAACCATGTTCCAGAAAAAGCTCAGCTACTTTATCTAAATTCGCAGAACAAGCTATCTGAAGGGGCGTTTCAGACCTGCCATTCTTGATGTTGATGTCAGCACCGTACTTAATAAGGAGCTTCACAATTTCCATCGCACGAGTAGGTTCTGCGTACTGAAGAAGGATAGAAAGCGCGGTATCCCCTCTTACATTCCTAGCATTGACATCCTCACCTCTCTCCAAAAGATGAGTAATAGAATGGTATTCTTCTCTTGAGAGGGCCATTGTTAGTGGAGTTTCGTCAATTTCCGACTTGTCAAAGGTAACGCCGCTATCAGAAAGCAGTTGAGCGAGATCTGCATCTTTGGCAGCAAGGTCAGCAAGATTGCCAAGATCAAAGCTGTCTCTCATACAAGCGGACGTGTTAGCACCACGTTTGATCAGAAGCTTTGCTACTTCGATTTGACCCGCATACAAGGCGCGATACAATGGCGAAATGCTCTCCTCTGGACAATACCAGTATTTATCTATCTCACCTTCTTCGTCATCTTCACCCTCATCGTCACTATTGTCACTTTTAATTTCTGTTGAGTTTTCAAGTTGTGCTGCAGTGCCGCCATTTATGTTAGCTCCTTTATCTAACAGAAAAACCACTGCGTCGTAGTGGCCACCAGCAGCTGCTACAGACAAGGGTGTGTCACCATATCTGTTTGCTTCATCAATGGCAGAGAATCCTTTTTCCACAAGAAGTTGCAATACATCTGTCAGCCCTGTTGCGGCAGCCTCCATGAACACATCATCCTCCCGGTAACCATCTGGGAAACCTTCGTTTGTGGATCTAACTTTTAAATCGCAATCTCTGCTGATCAAAACTTTTGCAGCATCCCCACGCTCACTGTAAACAGCGTCAAACAAAGGAGAGTGACCAGCATCGTCGCGTGCATTGATATCGACACCTTGATCTAAAAGATAGGTTATTGTGTCAGATTGGCCCTTTTCAGCAGCTGCATGTAATACGGTTTTGGAATAGTAATTTCTTGCGTGAATGTCAGCTCCTTGCTCCACAAGAAGACGAACTACTTCAAGGCTGGTTGCCAGGTGAAGAACTGTATCCCCATCATTTGTCTTGCTTAATACACTGGGATTGCTTTGAAGAACGAGTTTAACTACATCTACGTGTCCACCTTCAACGGCATAGTGAATGGGAAGCCTTCCTGCCTCATCGCTAACAACACTGAAATCACAACCATTTTTCAGCAACAACTGGATGGTCTCAAGGTGGCCATTTTTTAATGCTAACGTAAGAGGAGTCATACAAAAGCAATTGGCTTTCTTTACAGAAGCACCATGCTCCAAAAGAAGACGGACAGCCTCTGTGTGACCGTTTTCAGCCGCTAGGTGAATTGCTGAAGACTTATGATAATTTACCTTGGAAGCTTTACATCCGAACTCAATTAATCGTAGTATATTTTCTGATTTACCGCCCATCGCAGCGTGATGTAATGCAGTGAAACCCATATCATCTTCGTATTCTAATGATGCTCCTCTTTCAACAAGGAACTCTACAACATCTACCACGTTAAACCTGGCTGCCAACATAAGGGGTGTTTCTTTGAGAGCGAGATAGTCAGGCATCCTAAAATTGACATCCTCCCCACAGTCAAGCACTCTTCTAACATGCTCAACTTGTCCCCTTTTAGCAGCCAAATGTAAAAGTGATTGGCCTTGGAAATGCTTGGTAACTTTTTCCACGAACTCGCTGATCTGTCGATGCTCTTTCGAGTCACGCTGTCTTAAAACGGTGTAAATGGATTTGCCAGCGTAGCGTGACGCATTCCAGCCAATCTTAATGCTAAACGCAATAGCACTGTCAAGTTTATCTGGACTATAATTCAAGATTGCACTAACTGTATCGACGTCTCCCCTTATGCAGGCTGACTGGAGGTAGCTCAGGCCACTGTCTTTGTCAGGAGTACTCAGGTAATTAAAAGCCAAACTCTTCAAGGGCAACTAGAAAAAAAAAATGGATTATGTTGTAAAGTACTTCCATTTCAGTCACAGTTCACAAGAAACTGGCACAAAAAGAACAACATCAGCATCAACCAGGGTCCAGGAGGGACGCATATCGTCGATTTGACAGGCAGTCAAATCCGCAATTTCAGTAAATTTTGAGGGTAAATTAGACGGCTGTAGGAGCGTTCGCCGAAGTCGAGCGTTTAGGCCACGCACCCACAGAAAATAAAATGTCTGAAATACCTGAAATATCACAGGCAATTGCTATATACCATCTGTACAGCGGATTCTTCAATTGACATGATAAGAAATGCGACTGAAATGTATTTTAGATTAGAGGAAATAGGGTTTGTTAGTATGTGGAAAAGAAGTAATTTTGTGCGAAAAAAGGAAAATGAAAATTGGCAAATCGTAATGACCATTCTTTTGCTTGTCGCTTACGAAAAGATGACAACCAAATGTATTTTACGCTGAACATGTAAAACATATTTGAGTTGTGAATCGTATGGACTTACAGTTTTGAGCTTCCCAAATGAAATAATCCCTCATTAAAGTTTCTCTCAATGTAGAATATGTGTTTTGTTATTCAATTGCAAATAAACTCATAGTTACAAAACCCTCACATCATTGAAATTACCAACTTCCTGCATACCAGTTAACTTTTATTCTCAGGTAATATGCAATTAGAGAGTGAACTGGCAGAAAAGGGAAAAACTAAAGCCATAACTTCAAAAAAATCTGTCCTTTTCTCCTTTCTAGTTACCAGAGAAAGAATTTCAACAAAGCAAAAAGAAGACTTATTTTCATTCATGAATGGTATTTCATCTTTTTGCGACAAATTAACACAACTTGCCCAATCTTTTTCTCTCTTTATTGGCTTCTTTAGCTTTTTGTCACAATATTTTTTGTACTAAATGATGAGAAACTGAAAATAGTCTGTTTTCCTCTTCTCTTTTTGTTGAAGACACCTGATACCCATAGCGGGTCCTAGATTTGTACTCTGCAAACTAATTTCAACAACTGAGCACTTGTGTTTTCATATTTTCAGTTTATTCAGTGATCTGAATGATCACCCCTTTAGCATATGCATATTACAAAATGAGCCCCTTTAAGCTCTAGGAGTCCTTAGCATCTAATTTTGCTTTAGTTATAACTGCTTAATCATTTGTTAAAATCATAAAAATAATGGAAATTATCCCCAACCTTGGAGGCTTTAATCATTGAAAGAATTCTTGCTTTAGTATTATGGGAAATGTAGAGGAAAGAGGAAACAGTAAGCAAATGTTCATACAGATGTTAGGATGTAAAAGGTGAATGAATATGTTAAAATAGTATTATGTTGCACGATGGGCAAAATATTAAGATTTGCACACTAATAAGAGGTCACATTTTTAAGCTACAAATTTGATTTAGTTTTCAATGAAAAAAAATTTTCTGATAAACTAGGTCAGAGGTGACAAGGAAAAAACTTTTCAACTTAGAGCAGTGAAACAAAATGGCACCTTACACAAGTCATTTGGCTTAGAAAGAGGAAATACATCTACCATAATAGATATCATAAGGCAAAAAAACTCAATTTAAGTTAACTATCAGTTAAAAAAAAAGGTTAAAAATGAAACATTTGCTGATTTTTGCTATTTATGTTTAACCCCCTGAAGGAACTCTTGTTGTAGATACTAGGACAATTATTCACTAGAGTCTTTAACCCTTTAACTCCCATGAGTGACCAAGACAGAATTTCTCTTTACAGTATCAATACAATTTATCAATCAGACAAGCAATGAGAACAAAGGAAAATATTAATTTAGGGATAATTAGTTGATCCACTACTAAGTTATCCAAACTAACATTATAAGAATTGTATGGTTGTATGAGCCTCATCCCTTTAAACTCTAGGAGTCCAAGACAGACCATTGTATGGTCCACTACAATTCAGTAACTCCTGATATTTAAATAATTGTTAACTATTTAACAAATACATTCCACATTGCTGTACATCTTTTCAGTAAGAAAACAACAACTTGATTATGTGCTGTATCAAGGAGGCCCTCTAAGCAGTTTTGATGACATTCAACATTGCTTCAAAATGTGACAACAATGGTGTTCCCATGCACCAACAGCAAACAAAAAACTGACTGAAAAGGGGAATGTTTTGTGACAGAGAAAATCCATTTTTAATTTCAACAAAGGGAAATTTTTCCCATCTAACTTTTTTCAACAGAGAATTGATGTGGTAACCAGCACAGCCTCACCCTTTTTTTATCTTTCTGGCCTTATCATGCCCATAAACCACAGAAACATCAATAATATTCAACCCTTGTCATGCATGGTTAGTCCCTTGTTACCTATTGTCTTGTTACAAGTCTGTTGCAAAAGTTGTAGATTGCTGCAAATGATGGGAAGGTATGAAAGCTAGGGCACAGATCGACAATGAAACACAAACACAAAGCCTAGAAGCATGATGTTGGTCAGAGTAAACCAAGTAAGGATGAGTTTCTATATATCTGTTGCAAACTCTGAGACTTAAACTTCAACTCACGCCTCTACAAACTTATGTGTGCTTCATCCTCTGTTAGCAAGAAAAAGCTTGCCAGCACTGGCACAATTCAGAAATGATTGAAACCATAAATTTAGTGTGATAGCCACATATGTATGATAGTGAAAGAGCAACTATGGCATTTGTCCCTGACCAAATAGCAGACAGGAGTGTTGGTAAACAAGCGACAAGGTGACACCTAAAACTCCCATGAAAGGCCTCATTAAATGGAAAAGAATAATTAATTATAATCATGATAACTGGAGGGTACCAACTTCCTAATACAATCCAAAAAGCAGCTAAAAATGACAGGGAGCTGAATAAAGTTAGATGAATTAAATTTGCATAGCAGATGTACAGTATGGCTAACATACACACTCGCTGAACACATTACTTAGCAAAATAAAGAATTATCGAAATTTTTAACAATCTTTGAAGATCAAATGTTGTAAACTGATTGGTCATTTTAGGAGTGACATTTTGGCTACATGAGAAAGTTGGTTAGTTAGTGTGTATTGATTAGTCAGTTTTCATGCATCAGCAATATTTAGTTGCACATCCTACACCCCTTAAATAAGTACATTACCCACAAACCCATCACTGTACTATGTCAGTTGCTAACCAATGTCAAGACAGTGACAAATAGTAGAACAAGCAAGGGGCAGTTTATAAGATAAAGTGCTCTGACTGCCTACCCTCTGACATTGCAGAGACTAACAGCAACCTCACAACAAGACTGACAAAAGAGAGATAGAAATAATTATATCAACAATCCATTCGTTGAACATCAACAACTTATAAGCCATGCAATTTACTGGGACTCTGCACCATGTCTAACCTACAGTGTACTGCAATAACTATTTCAACCACAGACTCTGAAAAGCTGGTTCACTAACTGATAACTGAGAACAGAATTCCCTCTAGTCAGCTTTCAAAACCTACCAGCACCATTTCAAACGACTCATTCACGACATTTACACCAAAAATGAAACAGAAAAAAATGATCTCAACCGGACGATCACACTACTTGATCAAACTTAACAGTCTTTTGATTTTAAGTTACAGTACTATAATCCTGCATGAACATGTTACGTTCTTGCACAGCAAAAATGCAAAAAAATGGCGGAAAAGACTCGAGGTCACAGGCCGATAGAAATGCTAGAGCTTTCTAAAGAAGCTTTCTCATCTTCTCTTCTTTTTACCTTTCATTATATTAGCAACCGTGTATGTATTTTTCATATCCATCCCTTCGTAAGGTGTCGATGCTAGCAGACAATTGTCTAACGACAGCAAATCATTGATAACCTACCACTCTCTTTCCGATGGATCTGCTCATTGCTTTGCGTGCTGCCAAAAACAAACTTAGTTCGAATGCTGATGGAGGAGGAACTACCGAACCATAGTTTCGAACCTACGTGGACTTCGTGATACAGCTGACCACGGACAATAGAGTGCAGTTTCGTTCAAGAACGAGTCAATGATGTACATACGTCATGTAGTAGAATATATTCCGTAACGTCCGCTTGTCCGATAAGTGGAGATGATGAATCAGGACTACGGACTACGGACTACGGATTACGGACCAAGTATAAGACGGCCACTGAGTATTTTTATTTTCCGCTGCATATTTCTTATCAAATGACGGTCTGTTATGCGATGGATACACTTTTACTACCTTTCTACACAGAGTTGAGATATTTCTCTGTCCAGCTTTTCGAAAAAAAGTTAACGATAATGATAATGATAACGACAATGATAAGGAATTTATATAGCGCTAAAACTACAAACAATATCCAGAAGCGCTTTACATAAGTTAAAGTTCTATACTAATAAAAATTTAAATATTCAAAGGCAATAAACATTAGAACTATTGAAACAAACTAAAAGCTTTCCTAAATAAAAATATTTTAAGTTGCTTTTTAAAAATGGCGAGGCTACTACTTGTTCTTACAGTTAATGGCAGCGAATTCCATAAAACAGGTGCAGCATGAGCAAAGGCCCGATCCCCAAGTTAAGAGCAGTTGGCTTTTGGAACGAACAGAAGAGATTGAGCAGACGAGCGAAGAGTATGATTAGTAGCTGGTTTCAGGGACAAAAGATCTTTAATGTAGGGAGGACTTTGGTTGTGTAACGACTTGTAAACAAAGAGGAGCAATTTAAACAGAACTCTGAACGTTACTGGGAGCCAATGTAGGTCGATAAGTGCAGGTGCGATATGATCAAATTTCGGAATCTGAAAAATCACTCTAGCCACAGCATTCTGAACTCTCTGTAAGTGATCGAGTTGATATTTAGGTAGACCGAAGAGAAGTGCGTTACAGTAATCAGGGTACGAGGATATAAAGGCGTGGGCTACTGTCTTAGTCGATTGAACAGTAAGGAATTTTCTGATCTGTCTTATGTTGTATAATCCGCGAAAAGCCTTGCTACAGATCTTGCCTATATGAACGTTCATTCGCATTTGGGCGTCGAACCAGGACTCAAGGTTCTGGACGCTTTCTAAAGGTTTAATGAGGGTGTCACCAATAATAATAGTTTCAATAGATGTTTTTACAAGTTGTTGGTGGGTGCCAATAATAAGAAACTCAGTTTTTGCGTCGTTGATTATTAAACGATTAGCAATAAACCAAGAGCGAACATCAGCAATGCACATCTCAATCGCAGAGACAGCGTTAATTTCGGAATGGATAGAGCAAGGTCGGAAGGAGAGGTAAATCTGGAAATGACGGGAAGGTATGAAATCTAGGGTACAGATCGACAATGAAACACAAATACAAAGCCTTGAAGCATGATGTTGGTAAGAAAAAACCAAGTAAGGATAAAATGGCTTGAAATCGCTAATTTACATAATTTAGGACGAGAACCATAAAAACAACACTTCAGGCAAGGAAAACCCCTCCCAGACTATGAAACAAAGTATTTTGGAATTCTTAAACTAATGCGCGAATTTGTTCGTAACCCGACCTTTTTTCCATCACCAGCACTCACTTTCACATTGAAATTTCTGGTGTAGAAATTGAAATTCAAGATTACACTAACTGTATTGACATCTCCTCTTAAGCAGGCTGACTGAGGCAGCACAGTACTCAGGTAATTAATGGTAAAAGCCAAACTCTCACATCTGGCACGATTAGGACAACTGTTACAATAACAACAGTATGCGGCACCAAAAGGGTCCAGAAGAGAGGTATGTCATCAATTTTGACAAGCTGACAACAGAATCCACATTTTCAGTAAGTTTCAAAGTTGGGGGCTTCAAACGCAATTTAGACAGCTGTAGGAGCAAGCGCCGAAAGCATGAGACTCTAGTGGACCAATCATTATTTTATTACAATGAATCAAACCTCTTATAAAGAAAGCCTGAGGCTCACTGATTGCGTAAAACCGCGATTTTGGTTAGACCTCGTGTAAATAACCGGCCCTAAGAGTCTACAGTGAAGATGCATTTCAACCAGTGCATTTCAAAGCGGTCTTCCCCATCCCTATCCCCTTACGTTCGCATTCGTCAAATACCCCGCGGTTCTAATTTCGCTTGTGCTCTGGACTATGATCTAAAAGGAATTATGAAGTCTGTAAGCAAACTAACCTCATTCTTTACTTACCTTTCAAGACATTTAATTCTACACGTCAGATTTTATATGCGTAGTATAGCCTGCGTGAGAGCAAAGTGCGATCTTTGGAATCTGAGAATAACAATTGCTACCGAGGAAATGTGATAAATCTGGATAAAGACAAAGACCAGGAAACTGCTTCTTTAATCATAGGAGTGGAGTCAAATAACGAGAAAACAACAAACTTTGGTGGAAATTAAAATTCAAAATAGCCTTAGTATCAAAAAAACTTAGAGAGAGAAAAAACGTCGAGAGAGAGGTATGAGACAACTATTTTTACCTCATGGAACTATCATGAAATGTATAAAAAGCTGAGCTGTAAAAATAAGTGCTATATCTATAGGAACCTGTGAAATTTTTCATTGTTTGTTTTTTGTTTAGTTTTGTTTATTTTTTCACTGTGATTTCCCTCATTTGTACTTTCTTTGACTTCTCTGTTTCCTTTGTTCTACTACACACAACGAACACGAGCCAAACTACGTCATCCATCAGGCAGAAGAGGGCTTTATATAAAACCTTTGTCTCAAAATATCACCATTGTGCATGTTGCCTTATTCGAAGTCTTTCTTAAAAAATAAAATACTTAGAATTTCTGTCATTACTAAATAGTTATTGCTTAACAATATGATTTGTTAAAAAAAAATACCTTCATAAATTATTCTAAATTTCACAATATTTTACCCTTCCTACGAGAAATATAACGAGTGCACAAAATGTCAATTCGAGGCTTCGAAGCTTCAACATCCCAGCCTACCCCTGTGCAACCCATGGGCCTTTTACTGTCGTCTGTCCCCGCGAGTGGGAAATTTGAACCTTGCCTGGGTTGGGTGAGGAATTTGAACTGCAACTAACAAGTCTTTCCAGCGGAATAAACGAGTTTTATCTTTAAATATGGCGGCAAAGTTCACTTCGCGGGCAAATGGCTCAGAAGACTGAAAAGGTCTACAGAAAGTCACGGTGGCTAATTTTGCCTTTTTCAAAAAAGTAGACTATTAAATCCCGCACTAAGGTAGGGCATTTGAACAAAGTTTTGGCCTGAAGGGGGGGGGGGGGGCGGCGGAAATTTGAACGAGCCAATCTTCAAAAGTCTAATGCCCGGGGGTAGGGAGGAAGATTCTGAATCTTCGAATTGAGCATTACCGCAATCTTCAGTTCACGGAAGTGCTCAAGCATATGGAAATTATGGAAAAAAGCTTAGTAACTAGATATGTAAATATCTTTAAAAAAAAACGCTACCTTCACTATTAGTAACACCTCAAAAAAATCGCAAGATAGTTTTTCTAATTGTGATCGATTATTTACAAATTATAAATTATTGTCTTAGCATAACTTAACTTAGGTTACGAAGGCCGACGCTCAAAACGGCAGCTTTTTTACTCTTTACGGTGGCCAATTAACGATTTCAACTCAGTTGTTAACACCAAATTACCTACTACACTCTCCTACCAACGCAGCACCACAGTTTCTTTAGAAACTTACCCCTTTATTAACTTAGGGTACGCTAACTTTAAGGAGCTCTTTAAAATACATTTACTTAATCTCTTAAAAAACTCTACTCTCTCATTTAAAAATATTTGAGGTATTCAACTATTAGTTTGAAAATAGTTTCTATTTCAATTGATGTAAGTCTTGCTACAATCACCCTTCCATTCCCTGAATTTACTGTCTAAAACCCCAGTCACACCAAAGCTTAATAAACATGATTGATTTAAAATTGTCTTAAATTGTTTTCTTCATAAAAGCGGCTTAGACTGATGTCGGTTGACTTCAAATACACAGGTTAGCTCTCACTTGAATACTAAGGAGAACTCAGATTTTCATTTCTTTGTTCCTGATTTTCATTCAGTCAAACCCAGTTTTACTAAACATGTTTTGTTGGTGTGGTATAAGTCTTACATTCTATTTAAATTGATTATGTAAATTCATTTCGTATATTCTGATATCACTTCTATCAATAATAAGAATTATTTTATAACATAATAAGATGACAGAAAAGGCAGAAACAGCCTAGATGCCCCAGTTCATTATACTGCTCGGCTGTAATGCTTAAATTTTGTAATTTACCGTCGAGTAATTTAGTCAATCCTTGAAACTGGTAATTTTCCCACACCAAGATCAATACTTTGTTTGGTGACGTTGATGCGTTCATAGAGTTCAGAATCTTCGGAAGAGTTTGCTCTCTCATTTGACATATATTGGTAGTCGCAGTGACCATTCGGAAACTAATAATAAAAGGAAGTAAATAAATAATACGAATCAAGGTATTTGGAAAAGATACTTTGCAGGTACTTTGGATGGCGTGACCACAGCAAAAGCCGGAGAAAAGGGTCGAAGCACGCCCTGTCAAACAGACCCTACGTGAAAAACAGTATCCCCTACCAAAGCTATGCAGCTAAATACTCACTCACTAGGGATACTACAATGTTGTTCAGGTGAGAGTGATCAACATGACAGCCACTTAACGGAGATACCCAGTTTCAAGCTCAACTTTTCTTAGAGACATCTGCACGCAAGTTAGATATGGCAAACTACGCCTGTGAACTTTACGCGCATTTTTTCCCTTATTTCATCCACACTAAGTCCTCCCATAAAGATTCCGAAAACGATTTCGCATTTCTAAAACGATTCTAAAACGATTTCACATTTCTTTTTTTTTTTTTTCTAACGCGCTGTTCATTGTGTAAAGAAGTGAAAACGGAGTCTTCCGAAAATGTCGACGTCTAATGTCGCTTTAATCTGAGTTTAAGGGTGTTTTGGCGTGGAAGATAGACGAAACGCAGCAAAAATATATGCGTTGTTTTCATATGAAAACTCAGTAATATGGATAGTTGAGAGCAACATGAAAACGTTGGCGTGGGAGAAATATTTTGTTTCGTTTCGCATGCGACATAAAGAAAAAATCACAGTTTAAAAAACGCATAAGTTTGGTCTGGGCCTAATAATTAAAAAGGTGCTTTCATTAGGCCAAAAACACACTACTCCCCAAAATTGGTTTCCATCAAATTTAAATTGCATTGTATAATTCCTTACCAAGGGTCCTCCAATTGCAGTCCACAAAGAACTTTTTCGAGCACCAACCCTTTAAAGAAAGGGAAAAACAGTTCATATCACTGAATGAGACTACAATATCTTTGTGAAAAGCTGACGAGAGAAACTACCAGAAGGCATGACCAAAATGGAATGGGCACAAGCAAAAGATACAGAAAGTGCATTACACCTAATCTAATTATTTCAAATCTGGCGCCATCAGTTGGCAAGGTAAGCTTCACCCATGAAACAGATGATTAGGCTGCCAGAAATCTGTTCCTTTCTATCATTTTCCTTCTCAATTTCTTTCTTTTTTATTACTTTTTTCTCACGATATGGAATGATGGTTCTAGATGAGAAAAGATTAAGCAAATATATACACATACCGTTTTCGTTTGCGTAGATAGGCGATAAACACGCACGCGAGGCTTAACCCACCAACTGTTCCACAGACAATAGCAACAACCTTGAGCACTTTATATGTAGATAAGGTGGGATCAGGTTTTTCGGTAACTGAAAATCAAAGAATTCATGTTTAAAGGGTAATCGGCGAAGAAATTGATACTATGGCCAGGCCTTATGGGGTGCCGAACCAGTCAATATTCCCTCTGTATTTCTGTAACCCAGTTTAATTTTGATACTTTCAACTCGACTTTTTATATGGTCAACTCGACTTTTTATGTGTTCAATTTTTTATTATTTATATGGTCAATTCGACTCTTTATACGGTCAACTCGACTTTTTATATGATCAACGTGGAAATCGAATTGACCTTATAAAAAGTAAACTGGGTCATAGAAATACTGAGGGGATATTTACTGGTTCGGCGCCCTATAAATTTCGGCTATCCCTTGCACTTTTTCGGACTTTTGAACACAAATTCTGTAACAGTAACCTAGTATACCTCTACTTTGGTCATTGTAGACGAGTGATTGAAACATACGTTAAAACACTGAAGGTTAAAACTGGTAAGCGCAACCTTCATGCCTTTTGTAACCATCTTGATGCATAAAAATTTGCTTAAGGAACAAAAACAACAACCAAACATAATGGAATGTACGCATCACTAATAAAACTTTCTTCACCCATGTAGCTAACTTGTATATGTCGCAATAACATCATCTCTGGGGGGCACAAGTTTAATCCCACTCGAGGCCTAAGTGAAATTTTTCACACCTCTTTTCTGCAAAATCTTTATATTTCTGCAAATACAGTTGATATGTGTGAAGATCGATTCTTTACTAAACAACTACTCATCAAAGAGTAGGCGGCGAAGCGGCGAGGTAAATTACTACTGCTACCCACCGACACTGAGGTGAATAGTTGTTTTGGGATATACTAAAACAGTGAGATGGTATAGTATATTTATTCCAGCAACGATAACAATATTTTCGGGCACAAATCCGGCGCGTTGCTCGGAGGTGAATAGCAAAGTATATTCAGAGTTTGGTTAGCCAATCAGAGCGAGGCTTCAACACTATCCACCGTTTTAATATATACCGGTAATAATTTAAATTTCACAAACCTTTTGTATTGACCTCATCGCTTGGCACTGAATTGATGATGCACAACTCATTGCTTGCCCATTTACAACCTACAGCCGTACAAATAGCAACCATTGCTGAGTAATTCCTGTGTGGTTGAAGACCGTTCAATTTTACTTCCAGTGTATCCGAGCCATTGGATCCTTCCTGTAACTCCTTCAGAGATGTGTTGACTCTTTCAGTAGTGTTACCATAAGAAACCAAAAACTCACGAGGTATACCATTCCAAGTGTTGACCGGCGGGACCTGTGTAAAAAGCAAAGTTAAAATGATAAACAAAATTAGGATAAGCAGGTTCATGTAATAAAGTACAGTCGAATCTGTATTATTCCCCACGAGGTATAGCGGGATGAAAACTAAATACATCTATGAACTTCGTAATATAGAGTCTCTGTGGCTCAGTAGTAGAGCATCGGAGCGCGGAACCTGAAAGGTTCGATCCCTCTTGGGGACTCAGAATTTTTTCTTTGTCCTACGCTCGTGACAAGACGAAACACCTTTATCTATAACTATACAGTACTGCTAATTCTCTCTACGCATCAGATCTCTGAAGATAAAGATTTCACGAAGGAAGAGGATCAAAAATGAGGAACTTGGCGATATGGGTCTGTCAACAACATGAAAGTAGGGGTGATGAAAACTGAAAACCCTGTTGAGGATAAAGGTACTAGATTGCCAACAGTCCCTAAGTTATTCCCATGATCTATTATACAATCAAGTCAACTTTGCAAGGTAAACAATAAAGAAAACGTTCTAGCTTCTTGTTTTTCGCTAATTTCTTATGACCTGTGCAACAAAATACACTGGATTGGAGGGACTGCTAAAAGTCGATCCAAAATGAGCATTCACACGAATTATATTTGGCTCTTATTTTGTGTAGAAGACAAAGTAGCCATATTACAATAGAGAATGGGTTATAACCATTTCACTTCCGGCAGTGACCAAGATATACTTTCTTCTTACAAAATCAATAGAATATCAAGCAGACAAGTGAAATGAATATTGAAAAATATCAATTAGGGGATTATCATCTGATCCAATACCAAATTCTCCATACGAAAATCGCAAGCAATGTACAGCAGACAGTATGGAGAATCACTAAAGAGATCTTGGCAGTGGAAGGGTTAATGAGGCATTGTTCTATTGTGATCTGTTCTGTGTCTTCTACAACATTAAGGAACCTTAAATTCTAATTCTAACATCCATAACCTGTGAAGCTGTTTAATATGTAAAACAGAACAAAGTTAATTAAATTCAGTAGCTTTAATTTAACCTTTTACTTTCCAAAAAGTTCTCCAATTTTTTAAACAGATTACAGAAAGAAAAAATAGTTGTTTACCTTAAACTCAATAGTCACACTATGTGACAACCTATTGTTTGCCTGACACCTCGTTGGAGCCTCACTTGGAACTACAACATAAGCAAACATTATGATAGTGTTGGAAGAAAACTATTTAGTCAAAACATTTCCTGTTCAGCATATGCACATGCATGTAGTTAACATACAATGTTTCACTGTAAACATCTATAATGCTTGTTGGGCTGTTAGTAACAGTAAGTGTTTCAATAAGAAACTCAATGTCATCTGCTAAACTAACCAAATTCACTACTGAAACCATTATTGCATTTTGGTCCCTCAGGTTTACATGGGTTTTAATAAAAGTCAGTTGCCAGAAATCAACCACCACCTCAACTTCCACCATCAACAGCTACTTAGTTGAGGTGGTAAAAGCAATTGAAATGCCTGATTTACCCCCCATTCCAGCTCAGGCTGATAATTAGTAGTAGATTTATTGGCCACTGTAAAGAGTTTCTAAGGCTCACGTTTGGAGCATCAGCCCTTTTATGTAACACTTTGAAAGTCAACTTTAGAAATTCTTTAATCAACTTAGTTGATAAAACCAAATTATCTTTTTATTCCACCCCATCGATGCAGCACCCCAGTTTCTATAGAAACTTACCCCCTTTATTCAGGCTGGTAATAGCTTGTTTCAACTTTGAACTCTTATTGTCTCCTTATACTGGTAAGCCAGTAAGACTATTGTTTACCATTCTTCTGATTGTCTGTTGTGATTATGTTCCTTTTGGTATAACAAAACTTGATGGAAAAACATTTTAACCCTTTAACTCCCAGATCAAATTTGTAATTCTCCTTACTATCAACCATACAATTCTTAGGATGTTGATTCAGAGAATTCAGTATTGGATCAACTAATTATTCCCAAAGTGATATTTTTCTTTATTCTCATCACTCATCTGGTTAATATGGTATTGATATTGTAAGGAGAAATTCACACGTTTCACAATCAAGAACCAGAAAAGAGTCAAATTTCAATGTATAAAAAATAAATGTATATTTGGAATTAAATAAAAAATACACACACAATCCTTCCTTACTTCCTTCTTTGGACTTCACTTGAGCAATCACAGGAGGACCTTTTGTGTCCGGATCAGCTGCCATGCTGCAGGTTATTTGGAAACTATATCTTGCAAAGTGTACAGCATTGTCACTGAAGGAAGTGTTATCTCTAACTACTTTAGAGTATCTGGTTCCCTTTCAAAAAAAAATTACACAGTCAAACTAATGCAGCTATAGTTAACCAATGTCATATAAAAATCAATATAAATAATAACTCAAGATCATATTCAATGAGTTTAAGATTTGAATTTACTTTCCTGCACTATATATACACTATATATACTTAAACAGTGGAAGGCACACTCTGATTGGTTACTCAAACTCCAAAGATCCTTCACCATTCACCCCTCAAGTAACTCACAAGGGATTTGTGTTAATGCTCCTCAAAAGGTTGATTCAAATCATGATGGGAGAGCAATTTGCTGTTAATTCTACTAAGGAGGAAAACTATTATAGCTCTGAAAAGCCAATATTTCTTTTAAATTTGATGGTAAGTTGTTTGTAAATGTTCCTCAAAGCTTGCTGGTTTCCTCTAGCTTTGGTCTAAGAAAACTATCAGAGCTTGTAATCCATCAAATACTTTTGCTCACATGTGATTGGTCTAGATGCATCTTGTCACCAAATGTGCCCCAGCTAAAACTGGGGAATATCCAAGAATAAATTCAATGTGATATTCTTCAATTTTCAAACCTCATTTTCACTATGAAATAAGTCTTTGTTTGAAATTTCATTCAAGATGAGAGTGTTTTGTGCTTGTTTCAGAAGAAGGGACATGATTTACTTATTCATAAAAAAGTTCATTTTACAGTTGTATGCTTGGTTGCCAAGTGTTTGAATAGGAGTGAGGCTAGGAGTGACCTTGTTGTGATATAAACTTTGCTGCTTTTCAAATGTAGATGGCTTTTTTTTATCATACTAACTAGATACTGTTCTCTATCACAACATGGTCAACTTCAGCCTCACTCCAAATCAAAGGCTTGGCAACTAAGTACACAACTGTAAAATGGCCCATTGTACCAGAGAACACTGAAAAGAGATTTATCACATGCATTTAACAGTAACCAGTTGGAGAGTATTTTTTCCCAGGTGTTACAAAAATATTTGAGGGATAATAAACACAGAAGACTTCATTTGGGGTGAAATATCGTTGTATATTAGTCCTTGGAAATTGTCTGTTCCTCAAAGCTCACTGAGTTTTCCTCAAGCTTCATTCACAGAAAAAAGTTAGCATCTTGGAACAGATTATGTCCACAGACAAATATCCGTGAATATTTTTGTGCCAAATGGAAGCTATTGTAAATGTATAATTCCAAACCAAGTAGAGGCTATTCTTTACATTACAATATAGTTCAATAATCTTTAACCATAATTCTCCTGAAGGACTTAATGACCTATGAAAATCTCCTGTAAATTTTAGAATTGTATACAATGCTAAATACCTGGCCTGTTAGTATCCGAGTGAAATTGTAAGTGATGTGGTAATCCAAAGGAACTTTGCTCTTCACCAGGCGTGGGTGATCCCATGTTAGTGTAAAAGAGTCCCTTGTTGACACAGCTTTCACATTCTCCAGAGGGGGACACATCTCTTTGGTTAAGAAAATCGCAATAAAAGCATTTCATCATCATACTTGTATCACTTTATTGTGGGTATCTTCTTTATTAATTAACATTGATTTAAAGAACTATTAATCTCTTGTGCTGTGATAATGTTTCATACCACAGCTGATTTAAAAATAGATAATTTCAAACAAAACTCACCATGATGTTTTAAATTCCAGTGCTTGGGATGTGTAGTTTCTACTGTTCCAAACTGATTTTTAGCGATTACTTTGGCACAGAAAATGTCACACCTGATTCCTTTATTCTTGCAAGGAACATCAAAATTCTCTATAGCGTCCTCTCCCACTTGACATGATAATGTTTCATTGAGATACCTAGGTATTTGCTTACAATATGCTTGACTGTCAAACACACAGCTCCAAGTAGTAATATCATAGTGCATACTGACAAAAAGTTCATAAGTCACATTTACTTCCTGAGCACTCCATTGTACACTCAACACTTGCGGCACTGGGAGTCCATAAACATCCACAAGCTTCACCAATTTTTGGGTGATCTCTTTTGGTTTCACTGTAAGGATTATAACATATCAACCCTTTAACTTCTATGACAGACTAGCATCTAGTTTCTCCCTAGAATATCACCCCTGAATCGAGCATTAACCCTTTTACTCCCGAGATCTAATTAGTAATTCTCCTTACTATCTGCCATACAATTCTTATGATGTTAGTTCAGGGAATTTGCTATTGGATCAACTAATAATCCCATAATTGATATTCTTCTCTATTCTCATCACCTACCTGCTTGACATTGTATTGATATTGTAAGGAGAAATTCTGTCTTGGTCACTTGTGGGAGTGAAAGGGTTAAGGTCACAAGAATAATTAGAAAAAATACATTTAATGATCACCAACTATAGAAGCTCCTGATTTTTCAATTAATTCTTCTTGTCAGCTCCTTAGGATGTGTATAGAACATAATGGAAAAAATGCACCCTGATGTTAGGTTGTGCAGGGTTAAAAATGACTTAAAACTAAATAAATTAAGTATAGACCTAAATTATAAATCTCTTTGTTATTATAAGCTCTAACTGAAAAGAACTAAAAGTAGAAAAACCAAAAATTAAAAGTTTTATGTTGCTGCCAGTAAATTCAATTTATACTTCATAAAAAATCTTTTACAGCCCTTTACTGCCACACTATGACCAATCATACCATTCAAATTTGTAATCAGCTAGTACCAAAGTGAATGTCATTTGACAATTTGTGACCAAAGGGCAAATAAAATACTTTTATCAAAGTCCTGTCAATTTTTACCATGTAACCCATGTGCGTATATTAATCTATTGGGGTTGCAAGACTAGTATGAAGTGTCATGAGTTATAGTACAATGGTTGTGAGCATTCACTCTCATTAAATAAATATAACTGCAAAGTCAAGTATAGTTGTACAGTACAAATTCATATTTTATAGTACATACCTCCTATTATGACTCTAACTTGATGAAACGTAATAATAGGAAACTTTGAAGAATTACTGAACACTCCACAAATATAAACTCCAGTGTCTGCGAACTGGGTGTGATTTCTCCTCAGTTGTAAAGTGCTGTTATCAATCGTGCGGGTGAAACAGCTTGGTATCAATGTATTGTTATGTTTCCATGCCAAGAAGTGTTTCGATGTAGTCTTCTTGAGTGTCCAATTGACAGTACAGTTCAGCTCAAGAGCGTAACTGTTGGCAGTGTAAATTACATCTTGGAAATCTTTCAACTGAAAGGAGAGTTCATCTGAAACAAATGCAAAAGTATGCCACGTGCAAGACATTGGACCCTGCGCTTTCACTAATTAAGCTAAAATGAATCACTTTCTAGTCAAACTGTGGAACTTTGATACAGCGCAATTACTAATTTTCTAAAAATACCATAGATCAAGATGAGCTGAATCAAAGAACTATGTGTTACATCTGTGAAATGAAATTTATTGATAACACATGGTTATTATGCCAAAACTTCCTTTAGGACTCAATGTGACATTCAGTTATTTATCTCTCCTTGTTTTATTAGGTGAGTTCTGACATTTGCTCCCAGCTGAGGATCATATTGTTTCTAGACCAACGAAACGTCCACTGATCCCGTCTGAAAAAGCTAGTACGTAATTATGATTTTAAATTATTAATTAAATAACATTGTTGATACAACCCTGCAGTCTTCACATGTCAATTTTACTATGATGTATTTTCCCTTCGAAAAAGATGCAATCAAAGTGATCTTATCTACCAAGGCCGCATAAGAGCTCAAAAATGGTAACTAATTTATCTGAAGGTGTAACAGCAAAAAGTTAATCTTTTCGCTGACACAATTAAAATATGCTCACATGCCCAACTGGCGACATTGGACTATTGTACGATCGCATGATTTACGAATGATTCGGAAGACGAAAATAATGCGTTTTCAAACATAACTATAGTAAAATCGACTGTACGAGTTGGGAATTACACACATTAAGAAAATGAAAGTAAGATCAATTAACATGTATCGGCATGCGAATGAAAATCGCTTTTCTATACCAAAGCTAACAATTTACCTCATTAAAGTTGAGATGAAATGGATCTAATAAACATGCAGACGTTAGCGTTTATTTTTTTCTGACGGTAGAATTTTGTACGACTGCAAATGACTGGTCATTCATTTCCCTGGGGCAAAAGTCGATGATTAAGGGAAATTGCACATCAACTGGGCTGTTCATTTGATTAGACTCCGAAGGCATCGTATAAAGTTCGACCGCTTCCGTGTGCGTGATTAGAGACGCTAGTTCCAAACAAACACAGCAAACTTACCTCCCTCCTTTGTCTCTAAACAATTTACATTTCGAATTGCTCCAATAAGTAAGAACAAAAAAAGGCTTGTCAGGACTCTCATTAGCATATCATGCTCACAACATACTCTGCTTCCATTGAATTTTCGCCGCCATGTTTGTACGACACGAGAACCAATCGGAGCGACGAAAATTCTTAGAAAACCAAAACTTCCGGCCTTCCAAGAAGGTGAATGTGCAAGATCGGCGTTTTTAGCCGTTTTCAGAAGAAACACTGGCATGTCTGCCTTCCTTGGAACTACTCATTTGGTAACTTTTATACTTTTCATAAAGTGTGTTCCAGGTAAGCCTTAGATGCTGTCAGTGTAGTAAGAAAGTTCATTGATACACCATGCATGTACTGCTAGGGTAAGCTCGTGACTTCTCGAAAGTACCACGAGATCGCATTGTGAATGTTATCAAATTTCAGTCGCAGTCGAAAGGTCAGTTCTCTTGAAATCGCGTGTTTTTTCTTACGTTAGATATACGCGGCAAGTGTCATTGTAGTGTTAGTGGAAATGAACCTCTCGGCGTTTCCATGGTTGTTAACGTATTATCCGTACTAACCAGTTTCGAGACGTATAACATATGCACCTGAGTGTGGAGTTTCGATTTTCGGTCGATGTAATTTATGATGGATACTGAAGCTGAATTCCTTCGAGTATGGAAGTCATTTCGATTCAAGGTGATTTTAGTTTTGTAGTTTTTAGTGCATTGGTTAAATTACTAAACGGTAATTTCGAAAAAAAAAGGCAAATGGCGCTTTGGAACAACACTGAACAAAACACAATTTGCAATTAATAGTATATATGAAATGGTTTTGATACGTCGCAGTTTGAAGGAGTCATTATTTTAGGGACAGTGGTGAATCTTGTTCGGCATGTGCATTTTTTGAACGAGCCCGCATTATATCTTCCTTCATAATATACATTTACAATGGTAAAATTTCCGCATAGCCCCATACTATTGTGAAACAAATCTGGTTTCCCAATGGCAATGTATTGTTTTTGTCATTGTTTTCTCAATCCAAGAATTGAATGCATAATGTAGTATGGGGCTGTGCGGAAATTTTACCCTATTGCATTCCTACACGCTCTTTGTGTCAAGTCTGGCGTAACACCATGAATTAAACAAAGCTAAGACCTTCACATCTGTTTGTCTCTACATGCACTGCCCCCTTACATCAAGATCAGGCTAGTAAATGGGTAATTGTGAAGAAGAGCTCCCCAAAAAACCTGTTGGCCAACTGTCAGTCAACTGTCGGACGACAGTTGACCGACAGGTTACTGACAGTCTACCAACAGCATTGTTGGCCGACAGTTGACCGACAGTCGGCCAACAGGTTTTTTGGGGAGCTCTTCTTCACAATTACCAGTAAATGAATTACTCATTAATAATAGGCAGCATTTGAGAAAAAAAAGCCAAGCATCATGAGAATTGACTGCAATATGAATAAACTGATGCATCTTGGGTGGGTCTGCTTGTAAATTCCTACGTTAACTGTTCCCATTTAAGCTTCTGTGAACTAGACAAAAATCATCAAGATGATCTTCTGGAATCACAAAGGTAGTCGGAGCAATTTTCATATACATGTCAAAAGTAATCTGGGATTGCTTTGGTTTATGCCTTCATACCCCTTAACATATACAATTTTTCCAAAAAATGGTATCAAAGTACTTTCTTAACCAAGCAGATTCAAAACTTAAACCATGCAATCATGCATATATCAACAGTCAGTTTTCCCAAGCTTTGAGCACTTTTCTTGTTTTCTTGTTGTTTATGTCTTATTTTACCTGATTAAACCCTTGATTATCAGTTCACTATGATGTGATTTTCCTTGTTGCTTTGATTGGCTGTTTTGATTGCTATCAATCAGTGTTTTGCTTTTATGACAGTCAAGTTTTAAAAATGCCCCCTTATGAAAATAATTATATTTGAAATTCGTAATTTTCATAAATCTTTGGTCAATAACTCTTCTACAAAAGGCAATTGACTATTTAAGCCCAAAAGTAAATTTCAATTGGCTGATAGAGTATTTTCTTATTATTGATCCAATGTATATGTATGTGTGTGTGTGTGTATACATACATACATATCTATATGTGTGTGTGTGTGTGTGTAGATAAGCATTTTTACTTCAAGTTCTTTGATGTGGAAAGTCTTCATTCTACTCCTTTAAACTCCTTCACATTCCTCACTGAGCCCCCTAAAAGGAAGCCAATTGTTTGTTGTATGGGTAAAACTATACATATATTTTAAGTATAGTGCTGCGATATAAGAATGCAAGACAAACACCACGAATCGGCAGAATGCTTCCTTTTTGATGAGGTCCTTAAATTAATGGCAATTAATGTACAATCTTACTTAAAAAATCACACCATGATCTATACAGTCATCCCTAATGACTAATTTTTTATGACCTGACTTTTCAGGAAATTTCACAATACCAAGACCTGAGAAACCAGTGCTTTATGCTTTTGGTTGGCCAAATGCTACTTGTGTTACAGCTTCTGTAAAAACCATAGACATGGATGAAATAGTCAGCTATGCAGATTTGTTTCTTGGAGAATGCTGTCCAGATGATTCATTTAATCCCAGTGGGAAATGTTCTTCAAATATGACAGGTCTTATTCAAGGTGGCAGATGCCTTCATAATGAAGATGATTCACGTTCATTGACTGACAAAGTTCTTAACTGCACTGTTTGTAACAACTCGCAAATGTGTGAATTTTTTAAGTGGTTTTCAAAAAAGAAAACGGTCTGTGTATATTTCAAGGTGACCACTCTAAATGGCTCTGTTTGTCCTTCTTGTTTTTGCAGGAGCTATCTTGATATTCGTAAGTACACTGATTTTCTTTTCTGTTCTTTACCTGATATACTGTATTTCCTCAAATAAGCACTCAGCTCTAATAAGTGCACTCCCTAGAAGAAGCATCCACCTCCTAGGTCATGACACCAAATTAGTGCCCCCCCCCCCCCCATCCCCCTCTATTTCCTCCTTTTCTTAACTGAAATAGTAGCAGTACATGGAAAACCTCTTTAATATATTTCTAACCTATTAAGATTGACTTCGCCCAAATCAGTACAGGATAGTAATTTCCTTACAAGTGCCCCCTTTGATTAAGCACCTTCCTTCCTGTTCAGCAGAAAAATTTTAAATGAGTACCCAGGTGCTAATATTCAAGGTTTCTTTAAATTTAAACAGTCAGCTTCGTAGTTTAAAATTAATGCATGCACACCCAGTGTATAATTACAATAGTCCATTTTACAGTTGTATGCTTGATTGCCAGGCCTTTGAACAGGAGTGAGGCTAAGGGTGACCTTGTTATGATACAAACCTTGCTGCTTTTGAAATGCAAATTAATTTGTTATCATGCTAACTAGATTCTGGTCTCTAACACAACAAGGTCACCTTCAGCCTCACTCCAAATCAAAGGCTTGGCAACTAAGTACACAACTGTAAAATGGCCTATTGGAATGCTTTTTTCTGCTATATTGAATTCTGTTTTTAATGTGAAGAATTCTTAAAAATGTCAAATTAGCCCTCTTTGTTGAACATTCATATGATAAGGCAACTGAAACGTCTTAACTCTTTAACAGAAGTGATTTAAATGAAACTTCTCCTTGCAATTCCAATCAGTTATCTTGTAAACGGGTTTTTTAGAATGAGACCTGCATATTTTCATGTCTAATTTACAAGGAAAGGTGTAGCAGTAAGAAGGGAGAATTATTAAGTGGATCTTGGGAGTTAAAAGGTTAAATTATTCCCCTGTGGGAGGGAGGTGCCCCTGCCAATGTTCAGCATGCTGGACTCTTGATTCAAACTTGAAATTCAATATGCTGTAAACGAGTCTATTGCTCATTGTGGTGGTAAGCAATAATAAACTGTTTCATTGTTTGTCTCATGATGTAATCACTTGTGATGAAGATTGCGACCTTTTGACTGCTTACTGGTGGTCTTCATCAAGCAATGGAGTTGGATACTCATGCATTACTATTTACATCATGGCGATCTGATGTGATTGACAGATTTTAATCCCCAATGTTCCAGTGAGTTCTGGTTTTCCAAGAGGTCTGACTCTAAGTTGTTTTCTTGCTGGTTTAATGTTGTACCAGTCTCCTGTTGTGTTTCTTGATTGTTGGTATCCATGCTTCAGGAATTTTGATTCCATTATCCCTGTTGATGTTATCAGGGTGAAGTCTTCTGTGGATAGCTACCTTGACTCTTCTGGTGTACCATTGTGAATCTCAATCAATAAACTTTACTTTGTTCCAAAGCAGGTGGAGGCCAGTCATGTTAGCATTCTCAGAAATGGCAGAGGTCTGGGTACAGATTAAACATATATCTCTCTCAAGTTCTTTCATCCTCTCTTGCATAGGTCTTCCCATTTCACTAATGTAGATTAATTGCTGCATTCACAGAAAATTCTGTAAACCACGCTGTCCTGTCTAGCTGGATTGACACTGTCCTCTGGTCTTACCAAATTTGATCTAAGTGTCGTGTGGGGCTTGAATACTGTGGGGATGCCTTGTTGTTGCAGGCATTATGTCCAAAGGGCTCTGATACACCTTTTACGTAGGGCAAAACCGCTGTGGACTTGAACTGCATCACAGGCTCTCTGCATGGGGAAGAGTTTCTTGTTTTTGTAACCTTCTGTACAAAGGAGAAGGGATAACCATTGGAAATTAGAATTGATGACAAAATTTAATGTTTCTTTTCCTTGGAGATGTTAGGTTAGCTAAGATGTCAGTGCTGATTGGGACTGGACCATACAAGCTCCTTAAGAAAGATCCAAAAGTACATGAGAGGAGACTCCACTCAGATAACATCAACAGGGATAATGGAATCAAAATTCCTGAAGCATGGATACCAATGATCAAGAAACAACAGGAGACTGCTACAACAGCAAACTGCCAAGGGAATAACTTGGAGTCTGCAGACCTCTTCAAAAACCAGAACTCACTGGAACAAAATCGAAATCTCATATCGCATTAGAATGCTGTGATACAAATGGTAACGCGTGAGCAGTTGACCCCATCGCCCGATGAAGACTAGCAGAAAGCAGTTGAAATGTTGTGATCTACATCTTAACTGACCACATCCTGAGACAAATGATCAAACCGTTTATTATACATTTGTTATAAATCACAATAATCACAACCTGGCTTCATGGTAAAATACTATCATATTAGTGTCAATGTGATACTGAACGGATTGAACAATGCGCTACATGATCTTCTCGCATATTACTTAATTGTTTTGTTCTCCCTTCAATTTGTAGTAGTTATCCCTCCAGTTAGGAGTCTACAACTTCTTCCAGTCTCACGGAGGAAACTAACAGTTCTCTGGGAAAGGCCAGAAGGAATACATAGTGAAACACTCACCTATAACGTGATTCTTCGTGACCACTTGGGGAAATGCCAAGGGAACATGGAGGTACATTATCAGACTTGCTTTCAGCAATTTAAGATGAATGCCAGTGATACCTGCCTAATACCCTTTAACTCCAATGAGTGACCAAGACAGAATTTCTCCTTACAACATAAACACAATATTATATGAAGCAGAAAAGTTAAAGGAGACTTAAAGAGGAACATCAATTAGAAGATTCTTAGTTGATCAAATCTCAAATCCTCCAAACTAGCATGATAAGAATTTTACGGCATACATTATTAAGGAGAATTACTAATTGGATCTTTGGAGTGAAAGGATTAACAGATTAAGTCCTTGTAAGCTTTAAGTTTGTAAAAGTGAATGGGTCTATTATCTGCAATATCAGGCATGTGCCTTTCCCTTTTTTCATTTGATATTTCATACAATGAACAGGCAATAACTTTTCACCTGACTTCATTCTTCTCCAATGTTTTTTACAAGCTTACAAACATGTCTTAACAATAGTTTGATTGTTTACATCCATGTTACAAGACCAGATCAACTTTTACATACAGACATGTAACTCTTACACCCCATGATGGCCCTCTGGGATCTCCCTGCACTTACACCCCAGGATGATTACTATTAACTTTTCACAGGGCAAAAGTATGTAGCTTTTTGAGTGAAATGTGTCCTTTTACATACTCAAGAGTTAGTTATTTGCCTATTTATTTCATTGTTATTTTTTTCAAGCAGGAAGTGGTGGACAATGTTCAAGGCAATAAGACAAAAAATGCATTTAGCTTTACTAATCTAATGCCATGGTCCAGCTATTCAGTCATTGTATGTCCTTCCATGAAGACAATAAATGTAAACAAGACAACTTGCACCTGCGGTGATTACCAGCATCAACCTGAAGGGCCAGTCTTCAACCAAACATTACCTGAAGGTAAAATATACGTTGTCTGTGTCGTAGGTACATTTTATTTTAGGAAATTTATTAATAGAACTGGTAAAAATTATCCTTAGTTGCTGTTGTGATGTTATTTCAAATTAATTATCAGTTGAAATTGAAGGCAAATAACCTTATAAATAAGAGTAATTGTATGCTATTTTTGAAATTAATTTCAAATTACAAAGTTCACCTTCAGACAAAGTTTTCTACTCCTTGGTCAAAAGAAAACTATTATTAAATATCCTAAACTGTATTATTATTATTAATAATGATAATTAAGGTCTGCTTGGTGAGGACTCAGCCAGGGTATGCAAACAGCGCTAATCTGAGATACTAAGAACAGGAGTACAGTGAAAACAGGAGTACACAGTAAAAACCTGCATATAAGAACCTAGTACATGTAAATGGTTGCTATGAAATTTAAGGCTACCTTAGGTTCTTGATCAGGTGTGGGTGTGGTATTGTACATGCTGTCTGCCAGACTTTAAGTGTCCTGCTTTGCATGATTGGTTAACTAATATACACACAGTTAGATATGTTGCACATCTGTGGATCTATTGACTGAACACTATTGTCAGTGGTCTTATATAACACTGCCAGTGTCCTGGCTAATTTCTGTTACCCATTTTGAATACCAGTGGTATGTAATGTACTGCTTACTGTAAATTATATTTGAAAAAACTCTATATTCCAAAAATAAGAACCTATATTGAGATTTTAGCCTAGAATGACTTTTATGGGAAGGCTGCTTATCTGGGAAATTTAAGCCTAACAGTTTGGTGCATATTTGGTTCTTAACACTTTCACTCCCAAGATCTCATTAGTAATTCTCCTTACTGTCTGTCATACAATTCATATGATGTTAGTTTGGAGAATTTGGAATTGGATCAATCAATAATCCCCTAATTCATTTGATATTTTTCTTTATTCTCATCACTTGCCTTCTTGATATTGTGTTGATAGTGTAAGGAGAAATTCTATCTTGGTCACTAGTGGGACTTAAAAGGGTTAAAATAGGGTATTTGCTGTGCTGTAAAAATGGTGCAGGGCATCCTTAGCCAGAAGTATGGCTGTGTATTTCTATGCACACTGATTTGGATATAGTGATAATGGTCAAAAATAATTATGATATTGATAATCAGTGATACTCAGATATGGTTCTTTCTAAAAATTAATGATGATGGTGATGTTAATGTTAAATATAAATGATGAAAGTATGATCAGGTTTAGAGGACATATTTGATTTACTAGCAGTATTCCTCATCTCCTAGAACCAACTGAACGTCCAGATATACGGCCTTGCGAGGCACAATGCAGTGAGACAAACTTTACTGTCACTCTAAAATGGAAGGTAAAAATTAACATTACTACAATCAGATCACTGGAAACACTTAGAAATATTCCTAGAGGAATCTTAACTACTCTCAATGACAGTATTGATTATTTATTATTTAGAATGATTTACTCTTATTGAAAAAATTTTTGGCAGCTGGCAGCACAGATTAAGACCCAAAATATCTACAAAAACCTCCATTTGCAGTCCATGTAGGATGTAATATTTATGTAGTACCCACCAAACATTTTCACTCATGCAGTTGGTTTCAAAGCATCATGTCACTGACTTCATAATTATATTACAGCCCAAGTAATAAAAAGGGGAAATAAAAGGTGATATTACCCAATTTTCAGACCTTGTGTCCAGCTTGATTTTAATGTAAGTCCTCCTCTAAAAGTTGACTCAAGTTAGAATGATATTTGCTGACATTGCCACAGGAGAATTAAGAGAATGACTTGTTTGCTCAATCAGTTGCTCTGTAAAACTCAACATCCATTTTTGATGTTGGTAAACAATTTGTTCATACAGTGCCACCAAAGATTTTTAAAGGATGATGGCAACAGCAATTTATTAGTATCATTTTTACTTGATGTTCTTGCATTTGTATTTTCTTCTTGAACAGTAAATGTTCATGAGCTGTTATTGCTCAGCTGAATACTTTTACTTCTTGAAACAGTTCATGTCAAAAGACTGATTTCCATGCAAGCACATGCAATGAATATATGATTTATTTCTTTCTTTTATCTTAATCCCTTTGATAGGCAAACAACTTGCTAATATGGAATGGAATCCCTAAGAAGTCTGTTATCAGGATATACAGAAGGAATTCTTCATCCCAAAGCATAGAACACATGCACCAAACAAAGTCCCTTACTGGGAGTCCTATAATAACAGTCCATTTTTCCCTTGAGCCTAATTACAATGGGTCATTACTGAGATATTCTGTGGGTAAGCTGAACAGCAAAGTGAAATACTCATATGAGGTGCAGTTTTGTTCAAATGGGGGTTGTGGCCCAAGTGCAATGGCAGCACTAAGCTGTGATTCTTGTGAATTGCTGGGACTTTCATCAGGTAATGGCATATTCAGTATTATATAGTCAACCTGGAGTATATTTAAGATACATGTAATCTCCTCCTGACAGCATCTCCATAGATGAGTCACAATTCTATGATTACTATGTGATTGTGAGGGGTAAATGTCTTATAAGTGCAAAAAAAATGGTGTTGTGAGTCTTCTCACATTTATTTAGTAGCCCCTTGGTGGAGAAAAGAATCATTTTCAATTTTTACATTAATTGAGTAAGGCTTTATGAATTTATAGTGAACTTGTAGTGACAATCATAGTGTCATCAATTGAGAGACATTAACTGGTATTGTGAGGAACCAAGGAGTTTCTTTAAGACTTTTGGTGTTTTCATGAATTAGGCTCTTTTTCTGGGAATGCTGTTATTGGCTAATTAAAGTTGTGTGTGCATTTGCTTTTTTCTAAATTCATTTGATCATTGATTATATATGGTTAATCTATTTACCCTAATCAGCCTTTGGTTGAATTTAGACTTTATTGGACTTAATTGTTTCTCTGATATTCTGATGTATTTTAGACTTGAAGTAATTTAAATGCTGGATAAATTAACAATTAAAAGTGCTCTACCAACCTAGATCTTTGAGAATTTATGTTAAGGTCAGTGGCAAGTCAATACTGTTAGGTGCATTAATTTCAACTTAAAGCTTGTAAAAGATTTTCTTTGGTAAGCTTCTGTATGATGTGTTTAGTTCTAGAAAATCCAACCACAGAAGCACTTAATAAGAATGAAGACAATAGTGACTACACTGTGACCTTGTGGGCAACAGTTGGTGTCGTCTCAATTTGCAGTTTTGTTGCCGTAGTTGTTATAGTATGGACTGCAAAGAGGAAAAGCAACAGGTATGTTTTTGTGCCAATATTTTCGCTACATGGGATTTTACAGTGGAAGTAGTGTCATGACCATGGGTCACTTACCCAAAAAAATGCCTATCAACTCTTCAACCTCCAAGATCTGAGTGTTAATTCTCCCCCACTAGATGCTACATCAAGATCAAAAGAAAAAAACTTTGAACCTACCCGGTGATTTTAAAATTATTCCCATCATACTTATGTTTGCTAGATAATGTATGGATTTGTAGGGTGAAGGTAGCTTTTAATCACTTTTGGAAGTTAAAGTGTTAAATTACATGCATGAAACAAGCAATGAATATTCCATCTATATACTTTGTCATCATTGCTTGCGTTGGCTCTGAGCACTGAATGACACAATATTATAATATAATGTAACTTTAACTATTGCTTCCCTTGATGGCATTGGTTAATTTGGTATGTGAAAGAGGCTCAGAAATATATTAGAAGTCCTTCTGTTAAAGTGATAGGGGGTGAGTTTCTAAAGAAAATGTGGTGCTGTATTGGTGGGAGAGTATAGCAAGATAATTTTGGTTTTATCAACTGCGTTGTTAATGTAAATTGGCCACCATAAAGAGTTTCAAAGCTGATGTTTGGAGCGTTAGACCTTGTTAGCTTTGAAACTCTTTATGTTGTGAACCCTGTAACCCCTAAGAGTGACTAGCATCTAATTTCACCTTACAATATCAACCCTGAATTACACATTAAGGTTACAAGAATAAGGAAAATGATCACCAGCCAAAAGAAGCTCTTGATTTTTTTGAACAAATTTTTCCTTGTGGACACCTAAGGAAATGTATAGAGAACAGTATGGAGAATATGCAAACAGATGTTGGGGTTTAAAGGGTCAAAGTAATAGTTAACCTGTTATCTTTTGTGAAACACCAATGTAGCCCCTTCTTTGGAGTTCTCATTTGTTTTTCATGCTGTCACTCACGTAAGACCTAGAAAGTCTACCTCAAGGATTCAACCCTGGCTTGGTTATTACTAAGTGCTTAGGGAGTTCACTGCTGAGTAAATAACTAACTAAGATAATTTGCCTTTATCAACTGAGTTGATCATGAAATTGACTAACACTCAAATTATTGGCTTTAGAAACTCTCTACAATGGCCAAGTTACATTGAGCAACTCAGTTATTAAAATTGAATTATCCTGTAATGTCCCCCATTCATGAAGCACCACAATTTTTGTAGAAACTTACCCACTTTTTTAACTTGTAAATACCAGTAATTCCTTTTATTATGCCTCTGACAATCTGACTTGAGTGTCAATGGCTGCAAGCAGACTGTTAAGGAATTGTGTTTCTAAATTAATTCCCTAACCTGCTCAGTGAACATATGATTTTTTTAAAATTTAAAACTCTTAAACTTTCTTGCTTTCTTTGTGGAAATGTCACAAAATTTCCATCACTATTTAGTACTACATGTTGGCAGTAAATACACAAGATCTCAATTGCGTTACATTATCATAATCATCATTATCATAATCAAAATCATTACAACTGTTATTTTAAATGCTACTAATATTGTATTTATTATTTTAGATCTTGTGATGGTTTTGGGTAATTTTTGATTTTTTTATTTTTTTCAGGCCCGGGAATTTACAGCTACGGGATAGAGTAGGATCCTTGGTAGGTCTCACCAAGATATCTTACACAACACTTAGCTAATGCCTCAGCCATTCAACAATCAAATAGTAAAATTATCAGGCGGTTGGTGTCACTCCATCAATCGATGAATAAGTCAATTCATCAACCAATTACCAGTTAATAAGTCAATCAACCAACCAGTCTGTCAATCAATCAATTAGTCGATCAATCAGTCAGTGAGCTGGCTAGTCAATCAATCAGTCAAACAATTAATTACTCGTTTATTCAGTCACTCAGGCAGTAAGTAAATAGGTCAATCTGTCAGCCAATCCTTCACTCACTCAATCAAGCAATTAATCCATCAGTCTGGTAGTCAATCAATGCTTGCATACATAAAATGAAGAATTCTTGTGTTCTGAAGTACACAATAGTTTATTTTACAGATGCTAGTGAAATTATCAAACCCATTTTTAAATCTGTGTTTATTGGTTAATTTCCTTTGTGTTTGCAGCCCATCAATATCTACGAAGGGTCTGACTGTACGGACAAGGCGTCGGATAGTGAACCCTACAGTGTGCTGTTATCGTCAGAAACCCAGCTGTAAACGGAACTGAACAGGATACAGAGCAAGTCTAGGTCGGCCCGCAGCCTCTTTGGCGATTTTCCCAACGAAGAGTGCGAAAAAATCTGCAAGCAAGTTGATTTTGTTAGCTAAAATGGTAGCCATAGACATAGCGTCGAGAGAGACAGCGAAATATCATGTATAACCCATAAGCAGATCTATCTAACTCACATTATGGTCACTAAAGATGTAACGATGTTCCTGTGGGATTTACTCTTTCGACTGGTGTTGTTGTATTCGCGCTCTAGGTAAAGCTGCATGACAAAAGACCCTCACCGCTGTTGGCATGGTGCCTTCGCAGTCACATGACCTCAACTGTTATCAACGGAAGCTCTCTACCCGCAAACATTTGATACTTTATCGTGCATGCGCAGCATCTGCATCACAGTATCAAATGCCACCTTTATCTCAAGCATTGTTATCCACGTTCAGCATGCAGAGTAGGCGGTCTTAAGAGCAAAACAATCGGAATCTTGCCTGTTATTTTTAAGTTCCAAATTGCCGTAGAGTTTTATAATATTTCATTTATCCAAGCTTTTTTTAAGACGCTTCTGAGGCCTTTTTTGTCAAAGCTCTTTAGCAAACAAAAATGAACTTCCATTTAATTAGATAGGATATTTATTGTCTGACGATAGACCAGGCTCCAATATAGTGGAAAACGAGAAATTCAGTTCTATTTAAATTGGGTTGAGTTGCAATGTGCTGTCATCCTTGAGAGAAATGTAGTCTAATGTAGCCCGCCATCGTCGAAGTCGGTTCACTTCACGAAGGAGATTAATTAATTTAAAGTAAGATTTGTTCTACTATTCCTTACGCGTACACGCAGATTACTGACGATAGGTCGTTCCACATAGTCTGCAACGGAGCTCCTGAGCTGGGTGGGAAACTGCTTGGACACGGTTTTTCCGCCTTTATACTACTTCAGATTGGCACGCCGCGAAAATGGCAGGGCCCTCATTCGAAGTATAAAAAAATCATTTTAAGGAGTTGATCATAAGACAGGGTTTCATTGACTGTAGCTAGAAAATCAGTTCTTCAACTCTTCTTAAATTCACAGTATTTTAGTTTTAGGTCAGTACTAACTTGTAGCGCGACTTTTCCCTTCTGGCTAGGTTTTTGTACAGAGTAAGTCTTTATTTAATAGTTTTATGATGTGAAAGAGTTGTTCCTATTTATGTTTTTACAGGTCATTTATTTGAAACTATGCATCCAGTGTGAAATTAGAATTCAACTGATGTTGAGTTAACTTGTTTTACGTTACTTAGGACTTAATTTTCCACACGCTTAAGTTGTTGGTGCTTATCGTTTATCGTATATTTTTACGATGATCGCTACGTTTTGACTGCATACTGCAAGTCTTATTTAAGCGGTGAGTTCGGTAGAGACGGTTACCAGCATGGATGCGCGTCACCTTGAAGACGTTATGCTCGGCTGTTACTGGCACATTTTGAATAAGTGTTCTCATGACAGTCTACCGTCGCCTAGCTGTCACCGTGTCATGGGGGTACTTTCCTCGAAATGCGCGCGCTAATCACAGCGATGAGATACCAGCAAATCACAGCTAAGTAGAACGGTCCACGAGGTGACACGTATCTTGTGGACCTCATCACCGGAAGAAGGATAGTGGAAACGTTGCTATCTACATTATAGATAAACTAGCTACGGGATTATTTAATTACAATAAACGTTTCGATAGTGATGCAATGGGAAGCTTTACAAATTACATCGTGCAATTTGTGACGCGTGTGTCATAAAAAATTGTAGTTTCTGTATATAGCTATAGTTCAGTTCCTAATTGAAAAATGATGTTTGTGACAGTTAGCTTATACTTTCCACAATTTTGACCACGCAAGCACCTAGTACACCCCAAGTGATGGTTTTCTAACAACAATAACTCATGTATGTTCTTTCAGTTTTTTCGAGAGCAAAAGGTTTATATCTTTTACACCTGAGGTGTAGCAGGGAATAATTTGATTTTAGGCGGATTGTAAGGTAATAATGGGTGAAAGCCTGGCATTGACGGTCGTTCATCAATAGAATTTGCTTTCACTAATCAATTTGTGATTTTGGAGTACTCTATTTTGAGAAGATGTATTTTCAGGCTGAAATTTTACTTAATAGAGGACCTCATTAAATGTATTTTTGTACAAGTTATTACTTTTGTTGTCTGTAGTGTTGAGATAGTAATTCATCTACCGCGAAAACACATCAGAAAGTCAATTTCGTATTTGATCTGTGTGGAGTTCTTTTTTATTTTTAACTGCAAATTTTTTACTAATTTTTTAAATTTTTTCCCAGCTTTCTCGAAGAGAAGAAAAGGAAACCAATTTACTCACTCTTAAAGAAGAGAACAATCGGAGTGCTCAAATTTCCTTCAAGACTACCTTGCCTTTATCTTGCCAGTAGTAATCACTAACATATTTTTGAGCATGTTAATATTTATACTAGGTCTCAATGGGGCTAACCGGTACCGTTAGCCGTAGGATGGCCGCAAAATGGCCAAAAATTCCTTAAATTTTACTAATTTTAACCGTTAGCCGTAAAAAAAGTGAACCGCAAGCTCTAAAACTTTTATGTATTTTATTTTAATTGTGGCCAATACGATTACGATAGTTAAAATTTTTATCCCGATATAACCGAAAACAAAAAAATTTTTGGCTTAGGTCCCCTAAGAGTCATATTCTGCGACTGGAAATGTTTTCTTTCGCGCGGACAGACAGCCGGACTACTTTTAAGATCTTTAGTTTCTTCAAATCATTCAACATGTGAAGGATGACTGTCCTAAAGGGCATAAATAGTTTATATCGAGCTGGGGAGGAGAAGCCAATCGGAAGATATGAGGGAACAATTACCTTCGAGTAAAGTTTTTGAGGGATTCCCTCCTCTTTTTGTTTGTGCATCTTTTAGATTTCGCTCACCAATGGTTGTCGCTCTGACAGTTTTTCATGAGCAATTAAATTAGGTTAGGCACTGATGGTTGATGTTGTGTCACAGTGAATGACGGCAGTCCTCGATCAAGAGACTGTACAAAATTGTTTTGGATACTGAGGTAATCGAGTGAAGGAAGGAGAAAAAAACAGAAGGATGGAGAGATCCGGCGAGTGGAATCTACCCGCATTAACATCAATTCTCGCTTGGTAACGCTCACTACTAAAAATGAAGAAAGTTGGTTTTGAATGTTTTTATTCCCAAGCAAATAGCACCCACATATAAAAGAAGAAAATCTTCAGCCTCTCCTCTTTCCACTGAAATTATGTCGGAACTCCACAATAACCTGGCACTCGTAAGTCATAGCTCTAAAAGCAGAGCTGTTCAGTGATTTTTCTGGCACCGAAAAAGTAAAAAAAATATCTGGAAGTATTGTGATCAATATGAAAATCACCCTTACAATTGTTTCCACCTTAGCTGATCAACACGAAAATTAAAAAAATTCCACCTAGCTAGAAAAATTAATTAACTAATTTCATTAACCCTACCAAAAGTTTTAGTTAACCTTTTTTTCTTTCTACATCAAATACCTTTGGAAAGAGAGCTGAATACTACTAAAATGACTCTTTAACCCCTTAAAACCAGCATAGCAAATAAAAGTTCTTAATCGTTTGTCCATATCCGATGTGTTTCCTTCTGAGGCAGGACTCATGATGCACCCGATGCAGCTAATACACCATCAGGCTAACAATGGAGCTGACAGTCACTTTAGACGTCATCCCAGTGGCGGTCACCACCACGTCATCACCGGTTCCAGATATGACACCGGACTTTGTAGTAAACCAGACGTGGAAGAGGCCAGTCCGGTTTTGGAAGACACGGACTCGGGGCCGTGAAACCGAGGAATCGAAAACTGTCGAGGTTTTGACTTGGAACTTAAAAAACTCGGTTGTAGCTGTGTTGAAAACAAAGAATATCACCAATCCTTTTCCGCCAAGGGGTACAGTGAATTCACGTCTGGCAAAGAGAACCCTAAGCAGGGCGTGACCTGGCTGAACGATGTTTGGGGAGTCGCGCTCAAAGTTGAAGTTCTTTTTGGTCTTGCCTTGCAGTTTCAATTTAAATGGGACGGTGGGAGTCGAGAAAGACGCTGAGAAATGGGCACCACTTTTCCCCACTGAATGGACTGAACTTACATTCAAAACTTTGTTATCTCTGCTCAGGATTCCAAGTTTTAATGACGTTCCACGGATCTTATTTGCTGCCCTTACAATCAAGATGACGTGGGCGGAGTGACCTGTGAGTGTGAATCGGAAAAAAAATAGTCTATCACTAGTTTATCACTATTTACCATTTAGATGTGTCTGGTAAATCTATGCTCTGCAGACCGCTTTTGTAATTACATCTGCGGAGTTGCTATCTAGAGCAAATTTAATCCTTTGTTTGTTTGTTTGTTTTTATTTCAATTGGCAACAACCATGATTTGACAACGATGAGCTTTTCAGTTAGAGGAAAATAACCTTATTGAAACCCGTATACCATCGGTACACACTATTTCCAAGCCAAGCAAGTGAAAGATGTTAATCAACATTAACACGATATACCTTCATGTAACCCATCAACCCAAGAATAACCTAAAGAATCATTTTCAGAAATAAAGAAGTGTCAAAAAAGCATAGAAAAGAAGAGAAAATTGGCATGCGACACACTTACCAATGAGGGGATGGGGGACTGGGAGAGGAGGCATTTTACCCCGGGGATAGACAAAGATGAAGTCAAAGTCCAAGTTTGCCGTACCGGATCCTTTTACCACGTAAGAGTGCTTGCCTGCTCCAGGTGATACAAACAACTTCCAGACCCCTGGTTTAGGGATCTACCACAAATATCACGCCTCTGGTCAGGTCAGTTCTTCCTTTGTTGACGCGAACACCAACAGGATCTTTCAGGAAGATCATTGGTCCTCTGTTTTGGGTTGTAACGGAGACAATCACTTTGTTCATAGAGTCATCAAGAGGTATTTTGTAGATTGTGAAAGAGCTGAGACTTCTTTTCTTCCCTATGGAGAACGTACTACTAGAAGTGTCGCAGTGTACAGGGGCAGCTCCACCGAGTAGATTCTTGGTGACTTTCTTCATCTTTCCGAGGTCAGAGCCATGCTTAGGGAGTTCGAACACTTGACCGCAAGTTGCTTGAGCAAGTTTGTCATATGGGCTGTACTTGCTCATACCACAAAGTCCAGTGGTAAAGAAATAAACACTTGATCTTAGCGCCATAGCTGCGGTTGCCACCATGTCATATTTGTCCCGGTCTTTAGCTGTTGCATCAGTAAAGACGTAAAGCGGTGATTTTTCCTTGGCAAAACCGCTACTGAGAGCATCGTACATTCCTTGGAAGGCCAACTCTGGACAATCTCCTCCTCCACGTGGAATAAGATTTTCAATTTTCTTTATAAATTCCTTCCCTTTTCCAGCATTCATAAGCGTTAGTGGCCCAGTTTCTAGGGGAAAAAAGAAATGTAAAATCGATCTTGAAACATAATTATGAAAATATACATATATAACATCTAAATTACAAAAAAAAGGTTGGTCACTTATCTGTCCCACTTCGATCCAGTGTGCGTAAATATTTGTACACAATGACGCCACATTAAAAGGAGAGAATCAATCTAAAAAAGAAAACTGAATACATACTCGGGTCGTTAAAGGGGGAGAGCACATAGTCTATTTCCGTGTATTGTCTCGACGGATATTCGATGATATATTTTGCAATGGCTTTCACAGCTACAATCTCACTGCCCATGCTTCCAGTATCATCAATAGCAAACATCAAGGTTACTCTCTCCACTACACCAAGGAGAGCATCAAAAACACTTGCTTTGACTTCTTTCTTGATGGTTTCCAAGTACTTCTTTACTGCAGCTGCGCACGGAGCACAGCGCTTCGATCGGGAAAGAGTCGTTGCCCTCTTTCCCGTGAGCCCAGTTGATGTTGCCTTCCTTTTCTCGATCTCAATTGATGTAAACAAACCATGACCAAGCAGTTGCTGAATGAACCGAGTGTTACCGTGTTTGGACGCCAGCTTGATGTAATCTTTGATCTTTTTCGCTCTTGTTGTCGATTGTGTATAATACCACTTCATGGCCTGAGCATCATACACGGATTTCACAATTTGATCTACGGTTGTCAAGAAGGAGTTAGATGGTCTGCTTGGTTTTGAACTCGATGCTCCTAAAAATAAGAAGACAGTACCTTGAAAAAGTGTCATTACGGTTCTGGAAAAAAAACTTGCATCCAAACCGAATTTAACTCAAGGTGCAATCCTGAGAAGCAACTGTAAGATGGCATGAAGAAGGAGAACGCAACACTAAGTACTTCTACAGCTTAGAAAAACGACATCATGATATTAAAACAGTCTCAAAACTCAAAGTTGGGGATAATTGTTATATAGAAGATCAATTCGATATCTTAGAAGAAGAAAAAAAGTTCTATGAGTCGTTATACCGCTCCACCAATATCAACCCCGAAAATTTTAAAAACTCGCCTTTTTTTAGTCCAGAAAACGTAACTGCACTAAGTGAAGAAGAAAATAATTCTTGTGAAGGATTGGTAAAGGTAGAAGAAAGCCAAAATGCACTCAAAGACTTTGACAATAACAAATCCCCGGGCAGTGATGGTCTGCCTGCTGAATTTTACCGATTTTTTTGGCCCGACATCTGCCATGATCTGGTAGCGAGCTACAACTTTGCTTCTCAACATGGCATGCTTTCTATAAGTCAAAGACGAGGAATAATCTCGCTTATCCCAAAAAAATTTAAGGATAAAACTATTCTGGAAAATCTAAGGCCCATCTCACTTCTCAACGTCGACTACAAGATTCTCACTAAAGTTATAGCCAAGCGAATCGAAAATGTCTTGCCAACTTTAATAAACCCTGATCAAACCGGTTATGTTAAAGGCCGCTACATTGGTGAAAATATAAGGCTAATTTATGACCTAATACATTACACAGATAAAACAAATCAAAAAGGGATTGCCATTTTCTTGGACTTCAAGAAAGCGTTTGATTCCATTGAATGGAACTATCTCTTAGAAACATTGCAGCTCTTCAACTTCGGCCACGACATCCAAAATTGGATAAAAATTTTTTATAATAATGTTACTAGCTGTGTTCTGAATAACGGTCATGCCTCAACTTTTTTCTCCCTACAGCGGGGAGTCAGGCAAGGT